TCGGGTTGTCCCATTTTAGCCTGTTTCCCTTTCTGCCCTTCCAAGCGCCAATCGGCCTGAACTTTGGATCCGGAATACCTCTAGAGTCTGGGTAGAGTTTAGAGTCCCGAATCTTCCATTGTTTCTTTCCCTTTGATGGCCATGTGATTCCTCTCTTGTTCTGGACCATTCTCTTTGTTGCCTTGGACTTTCCTTCCCGCCTTTCTTTTCCCTCGCGCTTCACGACGGCTGCTTGCTTACCGACAAACTTCCCCGGCTACTCCATCTTCCTTCCCCTCAACTCTCCAATTACCGCTTTACTGGACCGACAACCCGACATTGTGTGTCTTCACTTTCCTTCTTCTCGTCTAGAGCCTGTCTAGAACTTTTTTTTTTTGGTCCCAGGTCCATCTCTTGTCCATCTCTTCCCCCCCCCCCCCTACCGCCAGAGTCCTAGACCTTAGGGAAGCAAGTAGACCAAGACGATATTGCCACCAATTAACCACGACCCTTTCCTCCGCGTTGGCGCGCTTTCCCCCAACTTTGCCTGCATCCCGTCCGTTTGTTGTGCCGTTCCCCTGTCAGATGGTCATTCGTTGAGCTGTCAAATCTCGTCTGCTGTGCCGACGGACAAATTCAGCACCACAGCGCGCCTCTCTATCCCGCATCGGGGCTGTTGAAGCTTCAGGGTCCAGCTGAAAAGGAACAGGCGCAGGTTGCAGGAACAGGGGCATTCGGCTTCGAGGCAATCCCTTCCGTTTGGCGACGGCTGCACATCCCGTCTCCCTCTCACGACACTCAGGCAGATCTTTTATTGGCATTCTTCAAGCTCAAGGACTACCACTCAAGAGCAACCCCATCAAAGGCTCAAGGGCCTTCGTACTCCGTACCAGACAGACACAGTCCGAACTCGTCCAGCTCCATCTGCTTCCTCTCCTCCTCTTCCTTCGCCCCCAAATCAACGCCAGCCCTTGATCTGCTTTCTGTCCGCCCATGCTTCTTCGTACGAATACCCACCCACACACACACACACACAGACGCCCGACAACCCCTTCTCCCCCGGCTGATCGCGTGTCACGAGAGCGACAGACATTGGAGACGGAGAGAATAAAAGGCGGATCGGGCATGGGAGTTACCGCTGGCGCCGCCCTACCGAAGCAATTGAATTGCTGAATTTCCCCATTATTACCCTGCTACCCCCAGTCGTTCAAGTCCACAGTTTCCACACTCGTGCACCTCACCTACGAATACGTACTCCCTACGGAGTAGTACAGTAGTACCTACCAACCCAAGGCAGGCAGTCCAGCCCAACCTCTGCACCTACCTTCCCTACAGATACCTCACAGTAATCGTACGGAGAAAAGTACAGCAAAGTCACAGGCCGCAGTATTTGTGCCCGCAATACGGTGCGGTACCGATTACTCTCATCTCACCGGCACATCCACCCAAGAACCCGCTCTGGAATCGGTCACTGCCCTGGTTGGTACGGATACTTCACCCACCCGCTAGACAACCTCCGAAATTCACCTCTGTCCGGCTGACCATCAAGTACCTTACCTTGCAGTACTTGCCCAAGGTTCTCTTATTCGTCGCCCCGGTCACCTCTTGCCTGTCGTCGTCCTTCAGGTCTTTCTCCGCTACGGTGCACCTGAGGTACGAAGTACACACATCCGCAACTCTCATCCCATTTTACAATAACCACCCCATCGCCGCCCTTCCCCCCGTCCTCCGTCTTCTACTTCATCCTCTCCCTCGCGACTCAAAAGCTCCCAACAAGGAAACAACCTTCATGCGTCGGGCTGGTCATGCCGTGATCTGGATCGCGAATTCGACTCACCACCAACCTTTCTCCCTCGATACACACCTGGACGCTATTGAAGCCGGTACCTTGCATCCGAACCGTACAAGTAAACACACACACACACACATACACACCTACGAATACAACACTCGTACTCTAGTGGAGCACTTGTTCCTGATTCACTCAAGGAACGGACGACTCTCCGCCACCAAACCAGATAACCAGAACACGCCCACTACGCGAATCTTTCTATCTCGACATTCTCCCCAGGGCGGAATCCCGACGAATTGATTGCTAGGTAAGTTCCAATCCGGCCTCGCTCTTTTGCATACCTCGCTGTGGAATTCACCATCCCCCAAGAGTATCCCACGGCCGAGGTACCCCAAGACCAAGGCACGAAGAGGCGCTCGCCCTGAGAGAGCAATTGCGCTAACAAGCCATCCAACAGCTTTTGCGTCATCCCTCCTGCACGCACGCTGCCACTGCGCATCGCTCACTCCCTGCGGGCAAGCCCCCCCAAGACATTCATCCCACCACCGGTGTTGATGCTCCTTACCTGGGTCTCAAACCCCGACTGCCTCCTTCTTTCTCAAGAGTCTTAATCATGTTCGCCTCCGACTCTTTCCTGCCATCGGCCTTTACCGACCACGATCCCAACATGCCGCCCTCTGCCGTCATTTCTCCATTGTCACTCAATCGAATGGCGAGCTCCTGTTACTTCGACAATAGATCGACCACGACGGCGAGTGCCACGGGCAACTCTATTTACTCTCCCCAATCATCCGGCGCCGTGCGCTATCCGCCGCAAACGCAAAGCCTTCTTTCACCCCATTTACTTCCCAACGGCGTCAACGGCATAAACGGTATCAGAGAGACGATTGCGAACGATCAAATACCAAGAGTCGTTTCGCCGGCTCAGTTCGAACATTTCAACGGCCATAACCCCTCCACATTTGCGTCGACGGCCAGAGTCTCCCCGAACGGAATGCCTCACCCACGATCAGTCTCTGCCGATGCAGCCTCGGCGCCTGCGTCTGCACAAATCATTAAACGGCTTGCCCAGCAAAATGCGCGAATCCGTGAGGCGTGGGAAGCCGAGCGCAAGTACATGGAAGCCAACCGCGAACGTATCGAGGAAGTATACAAGGAGGAGCGGATGATTATGGAAGACGAGCGTCTTGCATGGGATGCTGAAAGGAACGACCTGACGGAGCAGATCCGCCGCCTCAAAGAACAAGTTGCAGCGATCGACAATGACAAGATTCGACTGCAAGGTGCGCTGCAAAGGGCCGAGCTAGAGAAGGCGGGCAAAGTCGCCGGCGTCACTGTTGCAATTCCAGGAACAGGAACGCGAGGTGGGGCCGACGGCTCCACTGAACTTTCTTTCCCAGGATTCTCCTCGCAACCCAATGACGCGCGGTTCGGCCTCTCGAACGGCACTGGACAGCGGAGGCCAACCAATGGCTCTGCCTCAGCCTCCGTCTCGCCAGCCCAGATCCGATCTCACTTTATTAGTCCTGGTAGTTCCCGGATTTCTCCCTCCAGGCAACCAGAGTCTTCGCCATTCATCCCACTCAACCCCAACATGCAGCCCACTACCGCCGATCCCGTCGACTTCCTCGGCTCTCCCAAGGACGAGGAGCCCGTTCCCATTGTCGACATTCAAATCATCAACCCTCAGCTCGAGGGCGTCCCCCTCAAGGCACCCGCCATTCAAAAGAGCACATTCATCGACTCTGGCATGACCCCTCCGGAAAACTCAAAGAACTCTTCCAGAGCCGTTTCCCCGCCGGGAGAATCTGGCAAGTCCAGGCGCAGCCCTACCCAGGAACACACCCTCGAGGTACTCGCCGCCCCCGAGCCCGCCAGACTCGTCATGCACGCCGGCCACACGCCCAGCCATTCTCTCTCCGTCCTTGGAACAGCTCCTGGCACAGAAGTTGCGACAGTCGCTGACGGTAGTGGAGGCTCTACACCGACTCTGGCACCGACGGACATGAGCTCGAACCCGGCAACGCTCTATGATGTCAGGGCCAGAGCAGACTCATCCGATCTTCAGGATGACGTTTACGGCGGTACCGAAGAGCCCCTTCCCACGTTGGAGGCGGCAGACGACGTTGCCCTGAAGGGCCCCCTAATGGTTCGCAATATCCCTGCTCATGACGAAATCTTCTTCAAGCGTCTGTCCGAAAAGCTCGAAGACGTGAGCAGCGGCGCCGATGCCGTCCCGACTTGCATGAAAGCGCCAACCCCGGAACTCGTCGAAGAGCCTCTGGAAGCGAAAGAGAACCTTTACGTAGCAAAGGTGGACACAGATGCCGCCAGTGACAAGGGTTCGACCAGCGACAGGGCTTCTTCCTCCGATAGAGACGACATCTCCGGATCGCAGAGCAAGCTCGAGGAAATTGACATTCCGCTCAAGCTTAAGCAGAGCACCAACTTTGGAGCTCCCTTGGGCGCCATGTTCTGAACCTCGCAGAATTAACTTACGACACTCTTCTTCGCAGGAGCCAGCTCTCCCCAACACTACAGCCGAAACCCGCGCATAGACTTTTCATAATTTCCGATCCCATTCTGCACATACGAGCATCCGCCTCTCTGTACAAAGTTGTGGACTTTCTACACTCACTTGGCTTTGTCTTTTCACAATAGACCAACCCCTTCACCTCTTTCCTATGTATATTCCCACATGGTGGGCGGCTTGCTTTTCAATTCCCCGGCGATAGACAGGATGACGGGAACGGTTCCCTCAACGCTCCACGGAGCAGCATCACTCGATTTTTTTCATGGAACGGATTTCACGGTGTTTACACAAAAATGCACAATACCCCCGGAGGATTGGAATTCCTTCTCACGAATTGGCTTGGTTGTTTTTAAATGGATACGGTGTCGATGGAGGCGCATACGCCTAGGAATTAGCGGAGAAAGAAGTAGGGAGAACCCGACGCGATGGACGTCGTAGATGGGAGGCAAGTGGGAGTTGATCCCTAGACCCCCATTAGCAAATTGACAATGCAACAACTAGATGGACCAGTGCGTGGTTTCAGGAAGTTGGTTGCAAGAAGCAATGTATAGGCATAGCCGAACAAGAATTCAACATTGCTATTACGGTCATTGACCGTTATTTTGTCAACGCATACATTGTCCACCGTCAGCATCATGTCTGTGACTCTTGAGGACTAGCGTAGCAGAATTACTATAAGTGATTATAAATATAAAAAGTCAACTAGTTCAGTGCTTGTCTCAAAGAACGATGGTATCAAATTTGATGTCGATATAGCTCATGATATGCATGTTCCCTCCTCATGTTCCCTTCCCTTCTCCCTTTTCAGCCATCCGTCCTCCCAGCGATACAAGTAAATTGGCGGGTGTTGTTTAGATCAAGGATCCAAGCACATTGAGAAAAAGGGCTGCAATACACAGTTACGCAGCAGGTCATTGATGATCCACCTCCTTTCGGAGATGAGCGTTGATGATGAATTGGGCAGTGACTGATACTCCCCCACTGACCCCTTTCCTAATACCGAAGACGACGGCTTGAGCTTGACAAACCTATTTTTTTTAACAGCATTTGCACGGCTTCAAGGCTCGCCAGGGGATCGGGCGGGGGTTGGGCGGCTGGTATTACGCAGCCAAGGGGGGGAGGGGGCAACTTCGTACAAGGCAACCACTCTCCTCATTTACGCTTTTCCATCGATTTTGTCGTCGTTTCAAATCCTCGCAATCAAATCATCCAAAAGCTCGCCCGTCTCTCCTGGACTCGCGATCCACGCCGTGGTACCCACGCTCCGCGCCTTGAAGTCGTTGCTGCCCGCACTGAGGAACTGGTCACCAATGTGCAGCGTCTTCTCGCCAGCGATGGGGGTTTCCGGGTGTCCCGCTTTGGCGGCGAACCAGCGCTGGCAGACGGTCACGCCCCACGACTTGTCGCCAATGTCGACGAAGACGTCGCGGCCTCCGTTGAAGGCGCAAAAGGGGACGCGGCGACGGGTGGTTGAGGAGGACTCCTTTGCGTCGGCGGAGGACGTGGGCGCGATTGTTCTGTGGCCGGCTGCTTGGGCGGGTGAGCCTAGCGCAGAAAGCTCGAGAATCTTTTGGACGACGAGGACGGTTTCCTCGAGGGACTCGCGCGGGATGCGGACGGCCGGGTCGGTTGCCACGATGCCGACGGCGCGGTCTTTGCGGAGGAGCGTAGCGGGGAGGTTGAGGGTGCGGATGCACTCGAGCAGGGCGCCCTCTGCGACGTCGAGGAGCGCGGAAATGTCGGCGGCGGACCAGGATGCCATTTCGGGGGTGAGCCATTGCTCTTGCGGTACGGGGCTCAAAAGGTGCGGGGAGGATGGATCGTATTCGAAGAGGTAGTTTGCTTCGCCGCCCATGATGACGATGGAGGCCTTTTGGGAGGGGGACAGGTCGGGGGAGGCGGCGATTGCGTCGAGGAGGCCATGGAGGCGGTCGTAGTAGCGGTCTGCTGTGGTGTAGCCTGCTGCTGTGACAATGCCGATTTTGATGTCGCGGCGGAGGAGGGAGAGGAGGCGGGGGATAAGGGGGGAGGTGGGCAGGAGGGATTCGCCGTCATCGTAGAGGGTTACGTCTCCGTCAAAGGTTGCGAGTTGGAGGGTGGTGGTGGTGGAGGAGGGGGATGGGCTGGAGCTAGGACTGCCGGGACTGGGACTGGTGACGGCGAGGATCTGGGCGGCGTTGAGGATGAGGCGGACGTCGTTGAAGGAAGGGGAGACGTAGCGGCGGGAGGAGATGAGGCGTTTTGCGTCCATGAGGGTGAAGGCCGCTTCGAGGGGGAGGCGGGTGAAGAAGGGCCCTGCCGAGGGAACGAGCATTTTCAGTTTTGAGGGGAGGTCTTCGTCTTGACGGGTTACTATTGGTGTGTTAGTCTGACAACGTAGTTTGTAGGGGTAACAAGTGGATGGGGTGAAGTCAGTGAGATGAGATTGGAAGAAGCTTACTGTGGTCGTCAATCATGTGCTCGACGTCGCGAAAGATTTCGGCGTAACGGCGGTGGGATTCCTCTGCCATACGGGCTATGCTCGTCGCTCTAGTGTCGAAGACGCCGGTTGGCTGGGAGTAGAGGACGAAGGGGACTGCCAGGAGACCTTTGATCCATTCTGGAGGTGAGGATTAGCTGGTTGTTATGTGACGGAAGAGCTTGGTAGGCTTTGGATATTGGGAGGTGGCCGACAATGATGAGCTAGGGGGCATCAGGACCGCGACTTCGCTGCCGGCTAGAATATTGACCACCGTCGCTCTTCAAGGTTTCCCTTGAGTAAGAGGTCTGTTGTTGGCGAAACTATCGTGAGAACCTCTGGACACTTGTCATGAGACTCAATGAGCTTGGCAGGTGCTGCCGTACCTATGAACTGATCTCTTCTGTGGGTCTTGAGAGCGTCTGTACGAGCGTTAGTCAATGAGTTCGTCTAATGAACAGATGGCAAAATTTTCTGCTTACACTCTACCCTGTATCTTGTCGTCATGATGGGCTGCCTTCGGATTCGAGGTGAAGGTTGAGAGTGAGGTTGAAGATGGCGGGGTGAGGAGGGGTAACAGCTTTCTAGAGGTGTAACCGATTCGTGCTACTATCTTCCAGTCTTGTATCAAATCTGTGAGATTGTGAGATTCCCAGTGACGAAGTGAAGCTTTTCAAGTTGTCTATATGGCAGCAGGATGAAGTAGTATCAAGAAGAGAAGAGGTTGTAAGAAGGAATGCAGTCAGAGTCTCCGTGGTGAGCAACGAAGTGAGGTTCAATTCCACCGCCGATGGAGCTCGGGATCCACTTTTCCCCCAACTGAGGAGTCTGAGGTGCAGACCCCAGTGGTCGGGCGGTCCAGATTCGGGGGAGAGCTGCTGCAGCTGCACCTGTCGCAGGCGGAATGCACCAGTGCCAGGGGTGTGCTGCAACGCTAACATCTACCGGAGGCCGCCGCTACCCGGCTGGCTCAGTTCAACATGTTCAGGGTTCACTGGGGGAGATTGGGGAAACGCAACTGCTATGACCCCGCTTTGGGGTGCATTCGTACTTCACGGTTTGTGTTTATGACTGAAGCGGTTGTCGTTTACCTAATAGTTGGACATGGAGTAAGGTATCGCAGATGAGAGACTCTGAGATTGATAGCGTGCTTCGCCGACTTCATATCCATGGCTCTGCCTTTCCCAGATGGGGGGAAATCCACACTTTGAGTCGTTGAGTCACGGATACACTCCAAACTTGAGGACAATACCTGAGGTGCCTGGGTGAACCAGATGGAATGAAGCTGAGAAAGGCTGTAAGCGAATCAGTGAACTATGATCATCTCTTTGACCACACTCAAGACTCAGATCAACCTACGAGGTGACAGTCAAAGTTGGTCGCTGAAAGATTGAGGGGATACAAACGTAGTGTTCAGTCACCAACAAAAGTCACAACCAAGACTTTCCACAGTAGGCATTCACAATCGTCATCCGGATGCATGAATGAAAATGAAGCACAGTTGCGAGTCAACATGCAGCCCAAAGCTCTTCGTTTTCACGATATAGCAAATTACGTGACTTAATACGGCATGAATGACGGGGCATCTAGAACCAGGGAACTTTGGGAATATACTCGGCTTGTATACTATGCCATCATCCACAACGCCATTATCAAACCATGACGAACTCCCAACGATGGAAGGAAAGCTGCGATTGTGATGGAGGCGCCGGACGAGATGTTGGAGCAACTGTGGCTGCTTACCTGCTTAGGTGTTTTGATGTCCCTAATTTGTCATCAACTGAGTAGGATCGATAGCTCAGTGGTAGAGCGGGCGATTGCAGTTCCATGCAGTTATCGCCAGGCCCCGCGTTCGAACCGCGGTCGATCCTGTCATTTTGCCCTCGTCGCGAGGCTCAATTTCTTTTGGTCCTAGACACGAGCAGGAATGCACGCACTTATGACATCTTTGCCCTCGGTAAACCCCAAATCTGAGCTTGTACATGGTGTTTTTGAATTTCGTCGAGCACGAACGAGTGAGGTTCATCCAACCTAATCCTGGTTTACCACCACACCATCGTCGAGACGGCATCAGCTTGCCAATCTGCCAAACCTTCGTCCTTTATACCGAAACAATAACGACGTCTTTTAGGGGTACACTCTAACATATTTGTACAAGCATTACACAGGAGTGTGGCCCGCAACCTGGAACTCGAAGGTCCCAAGTCGGTCTTAGTCATGTCTATGAAGCCGAAGCCCGGAATACCCAGCAAATGGATGCAAGGCGAATGCTAATATGGATGGATATCTCCCTCGCGAGAGACACAAGATGATGTCGGAATAGGAAGTCAACCACCGTAAGCACGAGTGACAGAGTTCAACCGATCCTGGGTGAGTGCAATAATACATGTCGTTCTACGCCCTACGGACCCGAAAATGTCATCTGCAAGGTTTACCGGAACACGCAAGACGGTAAAATTCGAGGACACTTTCAGAGACCAACCCAATCACAGTTCACCACTTCTGAAATCTTCTGACTGAAATGGAACTGAATGAGAAGATACGAACATTGTTAATCGGAAACCAAGGCAATCTTTTCGGCCCCGGGGCTCGTAGAACGGCCGCCCGAAAGCACGTTCTGCAACGGAGTAGTCCGCTCCTCTTGGAGCTGGCGGGGTTCGGGCATGGCAATATCGGCCGAACTCTGGGGAAAACACAGGATGGGATCGCCGCACCGACTTTGAAGTCGAGAGATCGTCGTGAAACAGTATAACATGTTACGGTTACATGGAGCTAAGGACCTTTGTTATCCTGCGACGAATGAGAGGGGCTCGCTTGCTAATGGGGACGGAATCGGGGGTGCGGGCGAGTGAATGCCGATGACCAGGCTCGAGGCGACTTGGAAAGGGTGTGTGTAGTGATATCATGTTTGCATGGAAGCACAAAACGTAGAGGGTTTTTATAAAGAGGCTGTTCGGCCGATTCCCCAATATGACTGGGCATCAATTTGTGTCCTTCAAGCCCATCTTTAGACCTAGGAAACAATATGCTGCAATTCTTCAGCCTCAGCGAGGCCCGGTGGTCGTTGATACTGGTCTTACCAGTCGCAGCATCTAGCTTTGTAAGTCAGATGCCCATGTTTGTCACAAATTCCATGAGCAAGCACAGCTGTCTACTAGGCGGGGCATCAACGATCAACACTCACCCACCGTCACCAGATCCTCGCATACTTTTTAGGATACGCCGCCTACCAGCTCTACCTCAATCCCCTCCGCAGATTCCCCGGCCCCAAATTATGGTCAATCTCTTCCATCCCCTACGTCCGCGACTTCATCGCCGGCACCTGCCACCTCAAAATCTTGAAACTCCATCAGAGATACGGCCCCATCGTGCGGGTAGGCCCCAACCACCTATCCATCAACCACCCAGACGGCATGCAGGAGCTCCGCGGCCACCGCAAGAGCTACACCGGCGAGAACGGAAAGGACCCCGTCAACGCCCTGCCGAACCGCGATAACATCATCGGCTCCGAGCGCGGTGATCACAGCCGCTTCCGCAGGGCGCTGGCGCACGGGTTCTCTGCGCAGTCGATGCTTGCGCAGCAGCCTATTATCAAGGGGTACGTCGACACCCTCTTTGAGAAGCTGCGGGCAGCATCGCGGGGTGGCGAGGAGACGGTAAATGTGGAGAAGTGGTTCAATTTCACCACGTTTGACGTTATTGGCGATTTGGCGTTTGGGGAGCCCTTTGGGTGTCTTGAGGACAGCACGTATCACCCCTGGGTGGACCTCATCTTCAAGAGTATCAAGAACATGGCCATGTTGACGAGTTTCCGGCGTCTGCCATGGCTGAAGCCGCTTCTCATGTTCACGCTTCCTAGGGAACTGATGAACAAGTACGCTCAGAACCGGGAGCTGTCGAGGGAAAAGGTACGAAAGAGGTTGGAGCTTGGGAAGAGCCGGCCTGATTTCATCGATGCGATGATCAGGAAGTCAGAGTCAGCAGGACAGGTACGTGTGGCCACTTTTCGTGTCTAGGTCTTCAGATGCAGGTTTCTTCTTCTGGGTGCTGTAGGCTGATGATGTATTCACGAATCCAGACCATGTCGTTCGAGGAGATGACTTCCAACGCCATGGTCCTCATCATCGCCGGCTCCGAAACGACGGCCACGCTGCTGACAGCGGCAACGTACTTTCTCGCCTGCAACCCGCGCGTATTAGCCAAGCTAAACGATGAAGTCCGGTCGGCGTTCATGACGGAGGACGAGATCAACATGCTCAGCGTGCAGAACTTGCCGTATCTCTTGGCTGTGTTGGACGAGAGCCTGCGAATATTCCCGCCAGTGCCGGGTCCCAGCCCGCGGGCCATTGGCGAAGGCGGCGATACGATTCTGGGCGAGTTTATTCCGCAAGATGTAAGTTCTTTCCCCAGCGTCTGGGTTATGGGGTTGTGAGAGGTTATGTATGCGCTGACTTTGAGAATCGTACGTTCTAGACTGTCGTGGACGTCTGGCACTGGTCACTTTACCATAACCCCGATCACTTTGCTTTGCCGGAGGAGTTCATCCCCGAGCGATTCTTGGGCGACCCACGGTTTGCAAATGATGCAAGGCAGGCTCTGCAGCCATTCTCCGTCGGTCCTCGCAACTGCATTGGGAAGAAGTTAGTAACCCTCAGACGTGCTTCACGGCTTAGATGAGGAAGCCATCGTCTTAAGGAAACCTCGCTGACCGATGTTGATCTAGTCTTGCCTATGCCGAGATGAGGTTGATTTTGGCGAGGCTGATCTGGAACTTCGACTTACGACCAGCCGCCGAGACCCAGAAATGGTACACCGAGACAAAAGTCTATATTCTGTGGGAGAAGGGCGGGTTGAATGTCTACCTGACACCTCGGGTCTTGAAAGGATGAAAGCGAGTTGTCCATAGTGGTCATGCACCGGGAAGGAAAGTCTGTGTGCAGGGATAGCATTGCTCACTTTGTGCATCTACGAAGTTGAGACGTGCGGCTGAAAAAAATGCAAGGGAAAATGCAGGAAGACCGCCTTCAATATGGCGTAGGCATCTCAAGCACTGGCCTTACCAAGATATCATACTAAATGTTTCCTTCAAACAAAAGCGAACGGTTCACTTCTGCATTCGAAGTACCCAACCTCGATGGGAAATTGTGTGCCCAGAATAAAGTAGGTTGCTGATGGCGGTTCCTGTGGTTGCTGGAAGCTCCGGAATTGATCCGGACTCATCTCCGCTGTGGCAGGCAGCTCCTCTGTTTGTGCTCTTTCATTGGTTTGTTCCCAAAGCTCCACCCTTGCACGGAACATTGGAAATGGTGGCCTCAGTCCCCACACCCACTCCTCCTGGGGCGCCTATATAAGCTCGACCTCCTCCTCGCCTTTGCTTGTTTTTGCCTTTTCCTCTTCTTCATACTTACCTTCATGGGCGGTCTGGGGATCAAGAAATCCGGACCGCAGAGAGGGATGCCTGCATTGCACATCGCGGAGTAGACCTCTCTCGATTGTCCTTCGGGGCCATCGCTGTGGCAATTTTTGATTTTCACCCTTTTCATTTTCATTGTGTCCATCCGCTGCTGGCGATGGTATGAAGAAGATGTGCAGCCTCTCCATGTGGCCCTCACCAAAGGTGGAAAACACCTTGATGGACAGGTGATAAGGCTGCCACCCTACAGAGGTCAGGTCAATTCCATTTCTGTCATCAGCACAGCAGGCGCACTCTTGGTCGGAGGTCAGGTCAAGTTGTGGCTTGAATGGTGGAATGGTTAATGGTCAACAATTAATTACGCCAACCAGCCTACTCGACGACAGGCTGGCTAAGCGACCGAGTCCGATTCCCAGCATGAGCACCAAGAGATGTAGCCCCAATTCAGCACCGGAGCCGGAGGGTGAAACCTTATGCTATGTGAATTGATTTTGTTGGTGATGTTTTTTTTTCAAGTGCCTTCGTGATGTGTTTTGGTGTTTTGATACTGCGATCCCGAGTGGTGAGATGCTTAGTCATCGATTATTGGGACCGAAACGTCCCTCGACACCTCAGTTTATAATGAGATGGATTGTCGCGCGTTGTGCCAGAGAATCCAGCCACACCGAGAGATTTGGTAGAATATCTCTGTGACTGTATTGCAATTGTCAGCGCTGGCTCACGAACGAATGGGATGTTGCCCTGACTCTGGCGATCGAACTATACATCACTGCCTTTGAGGATGGGCCTGTTTCCACGAACTCCCTCGAATAAAAGTCCGAGATAGTAGGACTAGATAATCCATTGAATAGCTTGATGTTTCTTCAGGACCTGAACAGCTCAATTGCTTCAGGCGCGCGTCATCGTGTCGTAGTCATTGTCGAAATCCATTTACTCAATGTTCCTTTATACAGCCGAAGAGGAGTGGTTGGGTCAGACGGATATCTGGCATTGAGCATCTGGCCTTGGTTATACCTTCCGGCCGGAAGGTCCCTATGGAATTAATAGATTATGTTTGCCTGAAAAGGATCGATGAAGTATTTGCCTTAATTCGCCTCGATGTCCTTCTTCCCTTTGGATAAGAAGTACAATAGCTCTCAAGGCAATTGGGTCTTTGACAGGAAATCGTCAAAGGGTCACGAAGTCACCGAACGTTCTTTGTATAAAAGCTGTCTAATGGCCATTCAGTTTCGTGATAATATCTTCTGGCTGTGCTCGTCCTGGGAATCTGGAGACTGGGCGAGAAGCTTCCCGCATACAGCATCTTGGCACCACCGAAGTCACATGTCCATATATTTGGGGAATGCTAAAAGCTAAGTAAGCCAGGGCGAAAAATCCATCACGCTCTTTACTTATTTTGCGTTAACGCATTCGTTCACGATATGTCCGAACTGTAAGGCGAGTAGGAATACTAGTAGAGATCCATATCAAACTTTATCACCCGGCTCGCATTCCGATCATCTTCGTTTACGAATACATACGAAAGTAAGGAATAGTGAGAACGCTAGATACGTATGGCTAGTGTTGCTATGTTTATCTTGTTAGATTCATCGTGCCCCTGCTACTATGGCGACATGGGAGACCACTCTCCTCATCCGATGTGTTTCCCACGCAGACGTGCGGGTACCGCCGGTCCATGCGCGACTATTGGAGGTATTCCGGCGAGATGTGTTTTCTTATATGCCTTCATCGCTCGAATAATACGAGCGATGTCGAGCCCAACGTCGATTTTAGTCCAAGGCACTGTAAAAGATCAGGCAAAAGCTTGGGCACTAACGAGGCTCTGACCTGGTTCCAGCTTGACAGATCACCTGAACGACAGAATCGTCGCTTGCTTTGGTATGCATTTTTAGGAGCTCGTCAGAGCGGCGGAAACTGGGGATGCGTGATGACAATCCTGTTATCAATCAATATGTTCTCTAATGTGAACGCCTCCAACGTGCGTGAAGACCTCTAAACCCTGCCATGTTCATCATCCCTCGTCCTTTTGTACATGAGTAACTCTGTCAAGTTCAAACGAGAAATAACAAACTCACCTGTCTAACGTATGCTTAAAGCTCTGGGTACCGGCTGGTAGCACATCATGCTTAGAGCCTGTGGTGCCGTTCAGTCGGATCAGAATAGGACCAACAAACAACTTGAATGACATGTGAGACCACTATTAGTGTTAGAACTCTTTCTGCTGGATGACAGTCCCTATAGCTTGACTTAGGCATTATTAACAGTGCCTACATCAGTTACTTTACAGCACATAGAAAAGAGATGGACTTGCTTCATAGATCAATTATATAGATTCCTATGCGACACGTAGTGGCAAGCCCAAGCGCACCTCTCTGAGCCACCGTACTTGTCAGAAAGGACAATGAGGAGCAACATGAAAGGCGGTAATCTCCCTTCTTATTTATCTTTCTCCTGAGCCTTGATCCTATCGACTCCTTATCCTCTTAATAATGAAAAGAAAGAAAGCCGAACGCAGCGCCTGTTGCTGTACTGAATCCCGTTTCCATAACGTATCTGTCACCCCGATCGGACAGACGACGAACAAGTAGAAACGACCGTGGTTTCAATAAATGATCATTACCTCTACCTTATCACATTGGTTCCAAAGCTCCCTCGATCAAATGAAGCTCGACCCGTTCCCCGTCGTCACCCGTCCGATGTGATGCGCGGTCAGCTTCTTGCATTCATTTGACAATAACCTCATTTTATGCCAAGTCGTCATGTAGAAACGCAGGAGCACTACACTGAAAGATGCTTTATTGGCTCTGGAAATATGAGCTGGGCTTAGAGCTCTTGGCGAACCGAACTGTTCCCCGCCGTTGCTGCTAAATCCACAAATGATTATGCTTCGTGCGAGCCCAAGGATAAGAAGTATGCCACGAAGCTCTTGATGTATCGTAGAAGACCGGACCAGACTCTCTCCAAGGTCAGTGATGCATCCAGTCTTTGCTATGAACGCATGCCCTTAGAATAGTACAGGCTATAAGGCTCATAAGACAGCATCAAGTACTCACGCTCGTTATCTTACCTTTCAAAAGGGACGAATGCGATCGGGGAACACGACGATAAAGGGCGAACGCGTTGCTACTGTGAGATGAGCAGTCAAGTTGGCCGAAAGTACCCATCATCACTCCACCTAGGTATCCCTCAGGTCCCCCAGCCCCCGTCATCTACGCAGAAACATCTCCCCCCGCCAGCCCTCCTGAACAAATATCTGTCCTAGCTGAAGTTGATTATCCACGTTCGGAGTCGGAATTCCCACCGTCGTACAGTTCAAGCTTTCCTTATCTACCCCAAGACACTTGCTGAATAAGTTTGTAGGATGCCCATATGGAATAGAGCAAGATAGTCCCTGATCTTACATCGATTCCACAAAGATATATGCGCAGGTTCATCAGGGAAAAGGCAGAAAATCTATCAAATCTGCCAAGGTTCACGCCAAGGCACGAGGAAACCATCAGATCAACGAATCGATTGCTCATATTTCCCGCTCATCCCCCCTCATCCAGGTTTGCTACATAATCCAGACATCCCACCAAGGTCCGTCCCCTTGTGACTTCCCAGACCCATCCGCCAGTCATCCCACAAAGGGACCATACGAGGAAGGAAGGAGAGAGCTGCAAAGAAAAGAAGAGAAAATCAAAAGAGGACGCTGAACGCGACGCTGTGCTGTGATGTGATACAGAACCCTGGTATCCCTGAATTTGAAAAGAAAAAGGATGGAGTTCTGAACCCCCCCAAACGCCACCCTTACGCTTTGCCGAAAGCCGTTGAATCCAGACCAATAGTTTCTTTTGAATATCCCTGTCTTGCAACCGACCTTGAAAGACATGTCATCGGTGGACAATTATCCGCCTGAAGACATGGGAGGTGTATGTACGTTTCGGCCCAATCTGACGTAAATCAGGAAGGAGACCTGCGAATGTTTGTGGACTTGAAACAAGGACGCCAACACAAGTGTAGACCACGCTGCAATCATTCATCGTCAAAGATCTCGTAGGTGTTTTGCAGAATTGTATCGACAACCTTGATCTGCCATCCGGCATCGGCGATGCTAGTTGCCGGATCGGTGCCCATGACTGTGGGGCCAAAGATGACGGACAGGTTGTGGGAGTTCATCCGGTTGACGTGGGAGTTCTCCATGACGCGGTGTAGGTGCAGGGTCAGCGAGCGCAGAGTGGCGTAGTTGGGATCGGGGAGGCTGTTGATAATGGCGTGGAGGGAGTCTCGGCGGACGATATCATCCTCTTGTTCTAGGACGGGTCAGTATTACTCTAAATAGTCAAGCAAGGACAACTTACTGGCTGCCTCAATCAACTCGCTGTGATGCTCTGTAGTGAGCAGAGGGTTGGGAAGATCACGCAAGAACTGCTTCAACAGGCCAGTAACACTATTGACGTCATGGTAAAAGTTCTCGGGATTTCTGAAATCCAATGCTGGGTTGCTCGAGTCGGTGTCGAACATGGTCTTAAGCTTGTTGATGTGTGTCAATGAGCCGGACTGTCGATAAATACCCTCGACGCCAAGTCCGTAGAGGTCCACTGCCTGGATACACTGATAGACGACCATGGGCACAGGCAGGCCGTCTCGCTCATACAAGCGAGGCAGGCTTAGCCCGAATGTAGGCCTCGCGGCATTGGGCGACGGTCCGGAAGAACCGCCGGGAGGAGGGGACTGTCTGTTCTGTTGTGGGTAGCCTCCTGCACCTGGTGGTGGTCCTTGGGGAGGGTATTGTTGTGCAGGGGGAGGCTGGTGCTGCTGAGGAGGCTGGTACTGGCTTTGCGGCGGCGGCGGCGCCCGTTGCTGCTGTTGCTGCGGTGGCGGAGGCGACTGCGAAGTCTGGAATGGCAGGGCTCCCAGCTGTGGCGGTCCCTGGGAAGACATGCCACCGCTATTGTATGTTGGCGCTACAACACCAGAGTTGCGGTTCGACTGGAATTGTTGTTGCTGGCTAGGCTGGTTCAGCATATTGTTTGTGCTGAAGCTACGTCCATGTTGTTGCGCCTGAGGAGGGGGATGCTGCTGCTGAGACGATGGCCTTGGCTGTTGGGCAGCCGGCATGTTAGGGGGCGCAAAGCTTTGGGGAGGATCGGATGACGGCTGGAAGTTGCCTGGTCTAGCAGGAGGTGGCATATCTCGTTGCGGTTGCTGATTTGGTCCTCCTGGCGGCCCAGAGAACTGTCCGGGTGGCGCCGCTTGCGGTACGTTTGATACCGAAGCATTGGGCTGGTGAGCCATTGCTTGCTGTCGAGCGGTTGCCAAGATCGGGTTCTTCTCGTACTTGACCTCGCCGTTGTTGTTGGCCACCTTCGAGTGGTGAGATGTCAGGTAATCGTGGAGGTCCTTCTCGTTGTTGATGGCCAAAACGGCCTCGCGAAGACTGCGCGGTCCTCCGCCAGAACCCTGGCCCTTGATGGGGCTAATACTAAGGCCGTTACTCAAGAGCAGCTTCTCATTGAAGGAGGCTGTGACTATGTTAGCTCAAGCTTCTTCAGGAGCGACATGAGACCTACCAAACTTCTGCATTTGCAGCGCCAGACCAGAATCAGTCTCCTTTACCAAGTCCTGAAGAGCAGAGATGGCCTCCGGTCTCGTTCTCGCAATCAATTCAGCCTTCTCACTCTGCAGTGTCTGTACCTTGGCCTGGTAGTCCTGATCGGCGCCCTGAGCTTTGCGCAAAAGGTCCTCCTCGTGCTGAGGGCCAGACTTGGACTTCAAGCTAAACATCTTGCCACTGTTCCTGCTCGTGTCGCCGGTGCGCGCGCGGTCGTACTCTTCCGCCAGACTGTCGTATTTGGCCTTGGACTTGCGCATCGCAGCTTCCAATTCTGCCACTCTGTGTTCCGCCGCCAAGCCGTTGGCTTTCCACCCTTTTCTGCTGCGCTCCGCAACGGCGGCCAGCTCGAGCAGGTCATCGTGCATCTGTTGTAGTGAAAGGGCGAACTGTGTTCCGTTTTCGGCCATGCGCTCGTGGATGTACATCATTTCGCTGTAGGCCTGGGCAAAAGAGCCCTGCCTGTGATCGGGCTGGTGCATTGTTTCCTGGCTTATGCGAGATAATTTCTTAAGTGAGGAGGCGTGACTTTCTTCGATGTGTGATCGCTTCTTGAGGAAGAGTGCAAATTCCTAGAGTATCTGTCAGCAGCTGTCACCCTCGTTGGGGGTTGGGGTCGGGACTCGGTCTCACCTTTGCGGAAGCGATGCTCGCCTTGAGCTGGTTCAGCATGGTTGCGACACCAATCTGGGCTATTGTCAGTATTCGGGTGGACCGGAGAGAGAGCAGAGGGCGTCCTTACATCTGATGACAGCACTTCTTGGACCTGGCGCGAGACCTCAGAAGTAGGCGCAGAGCCCGCGTCGGCACCGGTGGGGGCGCCGCCGTTTGCCGTTGCGGCTCCTCCATTCTGTGAGGGAGCAGCGGTTTCTGTGTTTCCTAGCGACATGCTGCTTGCTCTGTCGCGCTGTTCGTTGTGGGAGGGTAGATTGTCGTCGGATGGGGAGCGGAGGTCGGCCATTTTGAGAGGTCGGGGGAGTTGAGCAATGCGGCGCAAGTCTAGTCAGGTAATACGAGATGGAGGCTCGGGCTCGGGTGGCGGCAGGCTGCTTGCGAAGACGGGACGAGACAAGGAAGAAGCCAGGACAGGCGCTGTTTCGAGGCGTGGAGTGAGTTGATTGAGGGCGCGAGCTTTGCGGATTTGCGGCTTTGCCGTGGTGAGAGGTAGATTCCCGGTGCGACGGTGGTGGTGACCGTGAGCGAGCAGAGTTGGGGGATGTGTTTAGGTGGAGAGGCAGGGGGTGAAACGGAGGTAATTCATGCGAGAGGCTCAATGATGGGTTCGTGGGAGGATGGGTCGTCCAATGTGACCGGTCGGACGGGGAAGTGATGGGTATCGTGCGGATGAAATGTGGCCTTGGATACACGGATGAGCGCGGGACGACGATGGGGGAGGTGGTGGTGGTGGTGGTGGTGTGCTGCACAAGATGGACGCCGCTTGTGCGTGGGTACCTGGGCAGCTGCTGATGGACCAGGGGAGCACACGGAGAACGGATTAACGTGGGACGAGTGAGGGACCACGACCTGGAGCAATCGACGGAGGCGACGGACGAGAGTGGTACGTCAGGGACCTATCTACCTTTGGTAAGGTAGGTGGCTGGAGGTAGGATGGTGAGGTAGTGGACGTTTAACGGTGTTGACGCGTGGAATTGGAACTTGAAGAGACTTGATCTGGAACAATGCCGGAATCGACAATGGAATGGATGTCTCGGGCTATTTTTTTTTCTTCCAAACTCTTGAATATTTGGGACGAGACTACCACAAAATGGAGTATTCGTAGGTACCTACCTACTCCGTACAGGCTACGGTGCCGTGGTCTTAGCGTACATCAGGCAAGGAAGCCGGGCCGCAGGTGCAGAACTGAAGGAAGGAGGGAATGGAAGGAACCTGACGAGTACACGAGGTCCTTGGGTCGCGGCGGAAGGAAGCTGCTGCTACGGGGTGGAGAAAGGCGACGGGAGAGAAAGAGCGAGAGAGGCAGAGAAATGTCTGAAATCGGCAAGCGACAGCTAGAAGAAACGCCCTCGTCGCACGGCCTTTACGCAAAGATGCAGTCAATGTCTTTCTTTTTGTTTACACCCGACAGCTATAACCTTGCGTTTATGTACCTGTTTTGATACCCGACATCAGAGATGCAAACAAAGCACGAGACCAGAGTAATTCGTCCTCGACGCTGGTAGGTTGCGATGCTTTGCGATCAAGAGGCACAAGACCATCCAGATGACGAGTGCCACTGCTATGCGCCTCAGAGATGGACGTAAGTCAGTACGTGATGGACAACCACACCTCAACTGCGGACAGTGAGTGAGTTTCTCCAATTATTACCTAAGGAACGAATTCGTACTCTTGAGGAACGATTCAGTTGGATGCTATGAATAGCGACACTGATGTCGACCGTAGCGCAATCAGATCGAGACCCCCGGTGACAGCTGACTACTCTAATCTCCTCCCCTCCACTACTTCGTACTATCAAATGGACTCTTTTGCTGAGGCGTCCCTCTCTCTCTCCACTATCGGGGCTAAAACGAATAAACTGGATCCCCCAGCCTCCCACCCCTCTTCAACTCCATTCGCAAATCACACAGACCTCGCACCACCCGCCACCGCCGCCCCAATCGACAAAACGGGCACGTAGTCTCTTTCGAGCTTAGCTCCCCTCAGTTGAGAGCTGAGCACTGCCCACCCGTGCTCACTGCTCAGTGTTGAAGAATGACACAGTTCCAACGCGGGATGGATGTCTCTCGATTTGTTCTGGTAGGGAGGCACGAGGTAGCAGTTCACGGCAACCTGAAGCACCAAACCTGTAGATCATCTCAGACCCACGGAACGCAACATCAGCCCAGTGACACATCGCTAAAGGGTACCAAGCAGCCATCGCGCAGGTTTAATTCAACTCGGGTACGGATATACTACGGTATGGAGTACACATTGGGCTTCTGAGATGCCTCAAGTGGACCGATCCAGGAAAGGCCCTGTTTCGTGGTGCTCGTATCTTCATCTCTGGTCACATCTGGTCACTTCCCAGCTCGACTATCACTATCAACCAGGGACGGTTGCAGGAAAGTCTGTTGAGCAGTCGTACTGAAGCTTTCGAGCTAGCCAAGGGTTCGATTCCTCCAACGTTCGACAATGGAATGTTGACAATTTCTTCAACTCTCGAACCATTGATGCCGGTTCCACTTATATCTCACAACGAGTTGACAACTCAAGCGACAAGAGAGCTTCCTTCAGCATTCACACTTACACATATTGCCCTCCGCATAATCGACGTCAAACCACCGACTGAAGAATTGACAGCAACTGCCAATCCACCCCTTGGGCATCCCAAGTACCGACTTGGCCCCATCCTCTTGTCGTCCCAAAACCATCCCCTCGATGTCGATCTCGTACAAAGTGTATCACGCCTGCCCTCCCCTGTCCCAGACACCACGGCAAAAATGCAACTTGGCATCCCGAGTCCGACAACTGCGACAGAAGATCTTAAAACCCGCCCAACTCTGGACATCCTCTTTAAACGCCATTCTTCTTCCCAAACCCCTAGTTTAACCTCGCTCGGCCATCCTCCCTCTTCATTGCAACGCTCCATGTCACCTCGACCGTCAACGTCCCTCGCTTATTTCGATCCACGCCCCGCCGCCGCGTTCGTCTAGTCTAGACTTGAATTTAAAGTGACGGATCAAGAACACAAAAAAAGCCCCTGGTACCGGAGGTGTGGACTCGAATTGACACCTCAAACGCCTGCCGAGCCGACTTTAACTCTACACAGGCGATCCCTACCTTCTAGACTTTGGCGGGGAACATCTGACTGACTTCAGACCGCCGAGCGCCCACTGATCTTGGTGATATCAGAATGTGATATATCACCACCATCACCTTCAGTCACTAACCCAGTGTCAGCAATTGCATAAGGGACATCCCATAATGCATAGAGCACCGTCCCGCAGACTTCCATGGATATGAAGTGGGGGAAGAAGATGCCATCCAATACGTCGGCCGTTCTTTCCGTCATAAGGCAAGTGGACTATGAATTAACAAAACTCTCATGGATGCAATGGGAGGGATCTCATCCACCGATCTCATTCGCATACGACCGTCTTCAAACTCCACCCATCCGTCGCCCAAGGACCTTGTCTTGGTCCACTGTACATGTCGGAACCGGCATGACAGACGTCAGCGTTTCAAGCTTTCGCGATAGTTGTCATTGAGCAGGCGTCGTGCCGGACTTGGTTCAGATCTGGGTATGGGTGTTGATTGCTCGGTGTCAAGTGGCCTTCATGCCTTTCTCTTGGCCATAAACCACGGCAATGATATGCCACCCAGTCCCAGGCGAAGCTGACGAACAAGCGCTCCCCTGATTCCCTTTTAAACCATCCCAAGACATGTGAGACTGGACGAAGCGGACGGGACGTGACGTGACGTCTGAATAAGTACCGGCTGTCGCCGTAAAAATTCTGATACGCATCCTTGACCCGGCGGCTTGAAGAAGCCTATTCTGTGAGATGGGGTCGGCAAGTTCCTAGCATGCACTCTCCATGCCCTTCATCAGATGCTCTCCCGCCATCGTGACCCCGGTGGCACTATACCGAGACCAAATCCATCACAACCATCTCTCCATGTCCCTCTACCCCGAAGAACCTCATCACTCCCCCAATAATCCTCACCATACTTTTCCTTCATCTCGCCCTGCCGGGGAACATCTCCGAGCTCCCAACTACACATGCTCGCCAGGCCGCAGCCAGTATCGCAACCCTTGCATCCTCTAGTAAAACATCAAATCCAAAGGCTTCTGCTCATCCCCGTACCGCTCCTTGAACTCCTTCCTCGTCAACCACCGCGCCAGCGGGAGCATCGTGTCCTTCATGTCCATGATGCCGCGCTTCTTCTGGTCAATGTGCGAGGCGTCGACTACGAGGCGTTGAAGCTTGTCTAGGGATAGGGCTCCTGGTTTGTGAGTGTACGGTTAGTTCCCATGTTTCGGAATTTCCGTGTTTCTGTGTCTCTGGTGCCGTGTTTTGGGTGATGACCCGCAGTGATGTGAAGAGAGAGAGAGAGAGAGAGAGAGAGAGAGAGAAAGGGGAGGTAGGTTGTTTGAACTCACCATTGTCTACCAACTCCATGAGTCTGGCGGGCGTTCCGACCGCGATGCCGGTTCGTGTTTTCTGTAGGAATTGGACTTGTTCGAATACCTTCATATGCTTTGCAAACTATGAATTTGCCCACGTTAGTCTCCTTACATTTTTGTCTCCCAACGCATTCTAGATTAACCCGCCGTTCTCTCCTGAGGCGTACCATGACCACGTCATCGTCTCGGCTCATTAGTAAGACAAAAGGGAATATGGGAACCATTCGTATACGAAGGACGTCCATTCCAGGTCAACGGATTCGGAACAAAAAAGAAATGAGAAAAAAACTCACCAGCTTCGAAACGGTACTCTCTTTCCCCTGAAACTTCCTCACGGCCCTCACGACGTCCGCCGCCCTCATCCCCGCGGCGGCGACGATGATGGTGTGCGGCGCGCCCTTGACCTTGGGCGCCGTGAAGAGCCTGTCTGGCCTCTCGGCGAACTTCTCGAGGAAGGCGGGAAGGTTGTCCAGGGCGCGGGGTTCTGTCCAGGATGTGGTGTCCTTGATGGCGTTTGCTATTTGTGGTGTTTTAGTACGATTTTTTTTCATCTTTTCGTTTCTTCGACAACCTTTGCTTTCTCTTTGTAGGAAAAAGTCATGATATGCATGAGAAACGAGATGCTAAAACTCACCTGAGATGGACAGATCCGACAACTCAACCGAACTCAGATCCGTACCGAAGCGAGAAATCTTTTGCGCCGTGTAGTCTGCGAGAAGCTGATTATCCATGACGGCAAAGGACTCGTTGATGCCCAGCTCGGCGTTGAGGAGCGTCTCGTCGACCTGGTAGGCCGACTTCTTCTTCTGCTTCTTTGCCTTTTGGCCCTCGCCGTCGCTGGGCGCCGCTCTCTTTTTCGTGTTGGACATGGCTGATGATTTTTTTTTTTCCTGTGTGGGTGTGCCTTTTGTAACTTCTTAGAGTACCGTTGATCTCCGAATGAAGTGAGTCCCCGGTGAGTGAGATGCGCTTTTAGGTGAAGAGTTATTTTCTTGTTATGGCGGTTATGAGTTTTCGGTGAGGATTTGGTGTACTAAGTTGATATGGGAGCTTGACCGCGTATGGAAAAATTTCATTGAAGCCTGTCGAGGGAAAATTCGGTTTCGCACTGTGTTTACCTGGAAGAGACACTTGGCTGACACCTGGGAAGAGTTCCGTTGGGTGCTTGGGCCCGCACTGGAGCACTCACAGTGCGCATGCTTTCGTCCGCTGAAGCGTACCTCCAAACGGGCAGTTACCGACAGATTGACCGAGTAACAGACATTGTCAACAAAAACCCCTTTCCTGTGCGTTTACCACCTTACCTGCGTATACCAAGCTTGTAGAGAAGATAGTTGTAACGATTTGCTTATTAAATTCATCATGTGACTGAAGAATGACAGCAGAGTGGCCGTAGAGGAGCCTTTATGTAGAATCTTGTTGTTCCTCAGCTGTTACGAACGAGCCTCTACATCAACCTCCGCCAGGTACCCTGGAAGAGAGGACTACCTGCAGTTATCTCTTCTATACCAGGTGGTCGTCACTACTAAGACAAGGCAACTCATTGGATGTATTCATTGTTTCTCTTCTGACTTCCAACAGATGATGGTACAATACGCCTTGGCTAAGTCGTATTACTCGATCTATACTTGCTCTGCTCGGGAGAAGACAGCCACCACAGACCACTTTCCATCGCAAAGGACGGGAACCAAGACAGATGGAGTTAACACGTATAAAAGTAGCGATTATAAACGCAGAAACCCCGATTCTAGCCATTCGTAAAGCAAGCAAAGACTTGTGGCACCTTCAGGTATCTCCAAGCTCTTGGGCTAGAATGAAAATTTGAATGAATGCTACTTAAATCAAGAGCATCTTCAAGTATTTGCTTCCTAGCAACCAAAGCTCTCTCTGAAATCACGCCATCTTCTTTCCATATTGCCATGGAAGAAAAGTAGAGGAGAACGGAGTAGCTTCCTAAAGTCTCACCAACTTAAGAACCACCATAACATGACAGAACTTACAATGCGAAAGATCAGAAAAGAAGGACTCCCCGCCGAATCTAGACCTCCGTCCTGTGCTTCGCCCTCCGAGATCCCGCCTCTGAGCCCCACAAGTGGCCGACGGGAACAGGCCGCACCCATCCCGGTATGTGAGCGCGAGCGTGTGGGTGCTCATCTGTCTGTCTGCGCCAAGTGCCGACCAGTCCCATAAAAGTCTTCCTAATCGCTGCCGCCGCTCCTTATCGCTCGCGCCCCCCCACACCGAAACTTTTTTTTTGTTCCTCACCCCCGTGTAGAGTAGTCCCTGGGCAACAATTTTCAAAGGGAAATATCTTGTTCAAGTCCCCTTCTTGACCGCGTCTTTTTTTGTGCTCCACACTCGGTGACCGCTACGGGGACTCTTTGCATTGTTACTCTCAAAGTCTTTTGTTATTGTTCAATTCGACACTTTACACCTTACGAATTCCATTTTCCCATTCCACTCTGATTCCAAGACCCAGCAAGCAACAATGGCCTCCGCAGAACTCTCCAAGAAGCGCAAGCGCGCCGAGCCCACGGCCGCCGTCACAGACGAGTCCTCCGCCGTGACGAAAAAGTCCAAATCCGAAAAGAAGGACAAGAAGGAAAAGAAAGCCAAGAAGGCCGCCGCCGCCGAAGTAGAACCCGCAACCGAAGGCGGCGAGTTCATCGCCCTTGAGGAATCAAAGGCCGAAAAGAAGGAACGCAAGCGCAAGGAAAAGGAAGCGCGTAAAGCAGCCGAGGCCGCCGCCGCCGCCGCCGACGACGATGCACCAGACGCCGACGCAATGGACGTTGACCCCCCCGCCGCCGTGACGGAAGAGAAGAAGGCCAAGAAGAGCAAGAAGGAGGACTTGGACGTCAAGACGGAGAAGAAGGAGAAGAAAGATAAGAAGGAGAAGAAGGACAAGAAGAAGAAGGAGGCCGAGACCGAGACCAATGGCGTAGAGACCGTCGCCGAAGAGAAGAAGGAGAAAAAGTCCAAAAAGGCGAAGAAGGCAAAGGACGAGGCTGCGCCGGCGGCGGCGGCACCCGCTGTCGAAGAAGCAGCTGAGCCAGCAGCCCAAGAAGAAGAGACGCCCGCCGAGGGAGGAAAGAGGGAAAAGTACATTGTCTTTGTCGGTGAGTCTGACTCTCTTCCATCCCTCCCATCCACCACCATCACCACCCTCACCGCAGCAACGCATCTCCCAAAACAAAAGCTAACCCACCCACCCCTCCAGGAAACCTCCCCTACACAGCAAACAAGGACTCCATCAACGCCCACTTCGCCGCCTACAAGCCCTCCTCCGTCCGCTGCCTCCACAAGGACGGCAACCCCACCGTCTGCCGCGGCATCGCCTTTCTCGAGTTCTCCAACGGCTCCAACATGCGCACCTGCCTCGACAAGATGCACCACACCTCGTTCGACGACGGCCTCTCGCCCGCGCGCCAGATTAACCTCGAGCTCTCGTACGTTCCCGTCTCCTTCCACCCTACTACTCCTCAACTTGACACTTACCCTCATCCTACCTTGCCTGAACCAACCCCTTTACACCCCGATACAAAAAAAAAACCCCCAAACTAACAACCAACCACAGCGCCGGCGGCGGAGGCAAGAGCAAGTTCCGCCAGAGCAAGATCAAGGAGCGCAACGTCCAGCTCGACGAGAACCGCCACAGACGCATGCAAAAGGAGGAGGAGTACAAAAAGGAGAGGGCCAAGCAGGGTGGCGCCAACTCCCAGCAGGAGAGCATCCACCCCAGCCGCCTGGCCATGATGTATCAGTAGACGGACGGACGGAGGGATGGCATGTATGTTGGATGGTGTAATTTGGTTGTGTTAGCACGTCAAGGCTGTTGAACAAAAAGGCTGGATCTGGATATATGTGCCCCCGAGACAAGGTCTGATCTTGGATTTCCAGGAGTTGTGGGATAGAAAAAAGGGGTCGACAGATGAACCATTTGAGTCATTGCAACACTCGGATCTCACTCGTTCGATACTCAAGGGCATTTGCAATGGCAGTCAATTCTCAAGACGAAGCTCATCCCTTCCTGACCCAGTGTCTAAATTCCTCCATGAAAAAGTAGTGTCTTTGTGAGAGTGAGTGCTATCTACAGAAAACGTGGGATATCCTTGTGTTATGTGTTGCAAAGCATGCCCGCTACCAACGATTTTTCCCCCTTGTGTCTGTCATTCTCTTCTTTGCCCTTTGCCTCTAACATAAAAAGGCCAAAGAGCAATAACGAAAGCACTGATTCTGCCAAACTGCCACGTCCGATTCCGGAGACACCACAGTGCCATTCACAAATCCGGCGTGGTAGGTGGGCAAAATCTGATAATTGGGGGCTGTTGCGATCTTCGCAGGCTGTGCTCAGCTGGGGGCTCTCGAGTGGGGATGTGCCTCTGAAAGTAAGTTGTCTCTTCTCGTGTTGGATAGCGTGAGGCACCGGGTTGTGCAACATGGTTGAGCCCTGACGGAAAGGCAGCGGAGAACTAGGCGTGTCATACACTGCCAAACGCCAATCCAAATGTTAACCCGCAACGCTTCAGATCAAGTAAAGGTGTTTACAAAATCGTGCACTTGGACTTCTTCTTCTGCGCGGCAACTGGGCGAGGGTTCAGGACGGCACTAGTTCCAGGTTAGCGATATCATCTTGCACAGTTGCACCGATAGTTCCTCACCGAATAGCCTCATCGAAAACGCTCTTCAAATTTCTCTGTGTCAAAGCAGAGCACTCCAGGTACTTGTGCGCCTTGATCTCCTTGGCGCAGACCAAGGCCTGATCGTAAGAAACAGGCTCCATGCGCTTTTGGCGGAGGGAGTCGAGGGTGTTGGGGTCCTCTCTCAAATCCAACTTGGTGCCGACGAGGATGATGGGAATGTTTGGCGCATGGTGGTCGATCTCGGGGTACCACTGCATCAAATTAGTGCTGATCTCCATGTGGCGGTGGGACGCCGTACCTTGGCCTTGACGTTGTCAAATGACGGCGGGCTGACAATGGAGAAGCAAATGAGAAAGACATCGGTCTGGGGGTATGAAAGCGGTCGCAGTCTGTCGTAATCTTCCTGACCAGCAGTATCCCAAAGTCCCAGGCTGATTGGCTTTCCATCAACCATCACACTCGCCGAGTAGTTGTCGAAGCTGGGAGCTCAAGGTCAGATCGGACTCCATCGTCAATCGTCATGCAGAGTGCTTACACGGTGGGAATGTATTCGCCGGGGAAGGCGTTCGTTGTGTAGGAAATCAGCAGGCATGTCTACAAGATGGATTAGTCGCGAGATACGGAGGGATATGATGATAGGAGTAGCTTACCTTTCCGACAGCACCGTCACCTGTCACCACGCACTACAAGATCATCAACCCATTAGCCATTCGTTCCTCCCCACTGATAGATAGCAGGACGGTGATTTTCGCCAAGCGCGACGCACCTTCAGCGACTGGACTCCTGGCTGAGCCATTTCTGTGATATTCTGAACGATGTGTAGTTGGATTCCACGACAGTCGTTGATGCGAATAGAGTTCGCAGGTTAGGAGAGGCGGCGTCGAATTGGAAATCGATCCGAAATGGGATTCTGTAAAGTCAAGTGTGACACCGGGTTGGAGGGACAAGGAGAATGGCGAGTGTTTGGATTAGGCGGTGGTCGCTCGGGTGTGTTTGGTCCTGAGGAATGGCAATTATGGGTGTGGTATAGAGAGCTTTGGTATAGTATGGTACGATGTGGGCGGCCTGGGCTGGCGACAAACGTCGTGTCGTGTCGCGTCGTGTCGAACAGACAAAGCGGCAGAGGAGATTCAGGTTCCAGGTAGCAGGAGCGGAAGGAACGAGGCGAGAGCGGAGGTCTGGATGACAAGTCTCTGTTCGACGGCAAGGTTAGGGTCGGGTACAGAGTGAGGTAGATGTGGTAGAGCAAGGCGAGAGAGAAAGAGAGAGTGGACAGGAGTATGAGGGTTTGGGACTTGGGTATCCGTACAGAACTGAGTAGAGTTGGCGTGGCAGAAAACGAAGCAGGCACACTGCGCGGCAGTAGCAAAAGACAACTGGAGTTGCGGAGTCTGAGCTCTGGTGGGTTCCGATGGCTGCATAAAAAGTCGAGGTCAGAAATGTTTTGACACAGCGGAAGGGATTAGTGCCGCAGGAGGTGAAGCTGAAAGGGTGATAACGGTACCCTGTATATCTAACCTTCTTCTCAGGCAAAGAAAGTGGGGATGGGGGCAATTGGGAAACCTGAGGGAAGGGAAGTGGAGGGGGTCGGGGTGGGCACTGGGCACACTGGTAGGTATCCGTACTGGGAGTGGGAGTGGGCAGGCGGTTTAGAGTCGCAGTGCGGTAGGGTCGTCGTAAGGTCCAGGGAAAGAAAGGTATGAGGTGAACCGTGAGGTGGTGAGGTAAGGCAAGACAAGGTGAGGTGAGGAGAGCAGTATTGGGATCGGAATGGGTAGGTAGGTAGGTAGATAGGTACCAAAAGGTACGAAGTACGGGGTCTGGTCTTGGGGCAGGGCAAGGGGGGGAAGAGGCCGACGGGGGGGTGTTGAAGGTGGTGGGAAAGGGAAAGCGTTGGACAGTGGGCGGGAGACGAGAGGAGGAGGCGAAGGATGAGGAGAGAAGAGGAGCGAGCCCGAGGACAGCCCAGACCAGCAGGACAAAACACTCACCAGGATAAGGTGTAATGGACAGTCACCAGTGTGCTGTACGCAAGTATTGGTACGGATTCAGATTAGAGCAGCAAGGAAGTCACTGCTGATGGGAAAAGGTATCCAATGTTTCGAGGTTGGCGGCTAGGTACCTTGCTGTTGGAGGTAGGAGTGAGTGTCCCGGCCGCAGCAAGCTAAGAGTGTTGAAGAGAACCTGAAGACGGGATGTTTTGTGAGTTGACTTTGGGCAACAAAGAAGACGATAGGGCGGTGGCAGTGGAAGCGGCCGGCCGTGGCAGTGAGCGATGTCGAGGCAAAGGACGACTGACTGGAGGCTTCAAGAGATTAGTTATCAGGGATTAGGAGAAGACGACGGGAGAGAGTGTTGGATGGATAGAGGGAAATCATCCACGGCTACAGGTACAGAGTAACGAAGTGACGAACAAGCAATGGAAGAAGGCAAAGCAAGGCAAGGCATAGGAATGGCGAGGTGCGAGGTGAGTTGAGGTGAGGATGAGGCAAACCGCACCGAAAAGTACCTTTGGTAAGATACTTGGTAGAGAGGTACCTGGGGTACGAAGCACAGTCTACAGATAACCAGGCGCTGGTTTGGGGAGGAGGGGAAGGGGAGGGGGAGAAGGGTGGCACGTACCGGTGTGCGGTCTGCGATGCGATGCGATGCGATGCGCTGCAGTGCAGTGCGTCGCGGGCAGCAAGGAGCTCCTGGCTGCAACAGTTTCGGCGTCAACGTGCTTTCCCTTGCAACGACTGTCTCCCCAATCCAATGGGAAAGCGGCGGCAAAGAGGGCAAAGAGGGCAAAGAGTCACTGGACAGTTTCTGAGTTGGGGGTCCTGGGGAGAGTTGCCAATGGAGGAGCAATGCGTCGCGACCAGATGAAGACTCACGGACTGGCACTTGGCGGTTGACCACAGGTAAGTTTGGAATGGCAGAGTGATTGATTGACTGGATGGATCTGGTGGTGTGCAAGGTGAGGCGAGAAGGATTAGACCAGCCGGGGGCGTGTGAGAGGTCACTGGTGGTTCACACCTACGACGAATGGAGGGAAGTTGAGGCTTGTACCTTAGGTAAGGCACCGCGCAAGGTAGCAGTGGACGACGGTGCACTGCGTTTGAAGGCGCGGGATGGAGGACAGGCTGGATTGGGTGGTCAAGATCCGGCAGGCGGGCACGGCGCAGGCCAGTCAGCGGTGATATTCTTCGGGGGGTGGACGGTGGACGGCAGGTCAGATGTGGATTCTGAATTTCTGATGGTCAATATTAGCTGGTTATGAGGATGAGGATGAAGATGCAAGCGAGAGCATTTTGTTCTGGAGTTAAGCTACTACTGCCATGGGTAAGCAACAATGCAAAGCTTGTCTGCCGGGAGGCAATGGGTGGTCGGCGATGATGCAGAAGGTACCTTTCCAAGCTTGCTTCCTTCCTTGGAGGCGGAAGGCGGGCGAAGAAAGATGGGAGGCAAGAGCAAGGGAAGTCTCATCAAGCACAAAGAAGGAGAGGCTGGTGTTGGGTCCCGGACTGGGTCTGGATCTGGATGGATCCAATACCTACCGATACTTGTAGTTGGCGGCGGTGTGGGTGGTCCGTGTTGACCTCACCTCCGACCTTTCACCTCCGTCCTCGGTGGTTAGCGCTGCGATTGGCGCTCTGCTGTCGGCGGTTTTTTTTTACGGACACTGGCAGATGAGGTACTCGGAGGTACGTGCAATAGACACCAGCCAGTCATGGCTGCGAATGACGATGCCAATATCGTACCTCGAGGAATGAACCGAACTCGACCTGGACTTTGTCTGGGATCGTCAAGGGAATGGGACGTTGGTAGGGAAACAAGAAAACTGTTTAACTACCTACAGCTAAGCGATGGTGCCTCTATTTTGGAACCCGAACCACAAGCTGGAGACACAACGACCTTGGCCAAGGATGCTTGCTGTTCGAGGACACCTACAAGACGAATCACGATGCCTGAATAAGAGCTTGGATGTGTCAAGCGCTAAATCAACGTCAACTCGATGGCGCAACATGTTACATGGTGAGATCGGGTGCCGCTGGGACCTGCTCAAAACCGACTCAACTCGTCCCGTCTGATCAGTCATAAAGGTATGACGATGATGCTATCTCCAACTGCGAGACGTATCCGCACCGATCTGATGTATAGGAGAACTCTGCTGTTCATCTTCACAAGACTGACCAGTAATTTCTAGCCGTCCATTTATATCACGGTCACAATGGGGTAATGCGGAAGGCATTCGTCAACTCTGATATCGGCTCGCTTTGCCAAAAACTCATCCATCTCTTTCATGCCTTGAACAGTGAGGTAAGCAAGAAAGGCTATGGAATCCATCCGTATGTAAGTACCTTGCATGTCACTACTGCGGTTCGTGATGAGCCAGAGCTAAAATGTAGCGCGCACAGGGAGCTCTCGCGGCTTCCCAGGGGAGCCTTGGTTAATCCCTGAGGGCCCCGTCAATGTCCAATATTCAATAATCGCACCGGCCGACCGTACATTTTCTCACTCTGCAATTTGGATCATCGCATCGGCCATCTTTCCCTCCTAGGGATTATTCAGGAGTAAATAATCATAAAATCAGGTCAGGTTGGCCTATTGCACCGTACGGATAGAGACGGGCCCCCCCCCCCCCCCCCCTTTTTTTTTTTTTTTTCTCCTCTTGAGCAACTTCTTGCCATTCTCCCGAGACTTTCTCGACCCGTGCTTTCCTAAAGAAACGGAAGGCTCTGTCATTTCAATGTCACTGAACAGGCAATAGGAAACTGAAAGGGAAGGAAGGTGGAAGTCAGCCAAGGGTGGAAAGGGCCTTCAAGATTTAAAAGTGGATACGATCTTCCAAAATGGCTTAGTTCCGGCCCGTCCATCGAACTGGGAGACTTTGCGAAACTTGCCAGGGGCCGGGCCACGATATCTGTCAATCGCAGCCTCTAGGAATCCAGTTAGCCACTGCTCCGTACTAACCTGGAGCCAACTCTTGTCTCCCCCCCCCACCACCAAAGTCAGCATCTTTGCTACAGGCTACGGATACAGAACCACGGTAGTCAGTCCCAAGACGCGAGCTGATGGTACGTAGACATTGTTTCCGTTCCCTTTGTGACGATGAGTCGGGTCACGTCTCCTTTGTTTCCTGTCAGTCTCCATCTCCCGTCTCCATCGCCAGTCTCGTTTCGTCTTTCTGCCCTGTGGCTAAGGTAGTCCACACACACATTGTCCCTCTCTCGTCCTCTAACGGAGTATGGGAGTACGAGTACCTACACACTCACACATGCAAGAGAGACGTCCATCCCCTTCGCCGCCCGTCCGCCCGCTCGCTCGCCCCAGAATGAGAGTTCAGGCGCCACTTGACGCACGTCTTGTAACAAATTTCTGCCTTCGATGGAACACTTCGAGGAACGTTTTGAAGCTCCTTCTTTTCGCCTTCCAACCCGTCCACCCGACCTTGCCGCCTCAAACTCTTTCAAGGAGTACCCGGCTCTGGCGCTGATCCATCCTACTGGCCACGCGCACATTCACTTACATCCACATCGTCAAATCCATATTGCAATGTCATACGCACAGGCTATAGAGTATCTGTACTGCTCCGCAATATTGAGATTGACGAGTCCAAGGCGGCGGGAACATGCCGAGTCTGATTCGCCAAGGTTGAGCGATCCAGCGCTTGTATTGGATTTAGAGACCTATCTGTTCATATCATCCGCCCTCGCCTCGATGTCAAAGGACACAGATATTGAGTGGTCTTCATTCACCACCCCCTCGAAAGCTTCTACACCTAGGAAATCATTAGTTCGCTTCAAGTGATTCGCTGTTCAAGTGGCCGTTTGACACTTCAATAGACCCACTGTCGTTGGTCTTTCAAGATCATCAGACCAGAGCTACCCGTATGCTCTTCACTGACTTTTTCTGATCTCTGTCACACTCACCCATCCTATCTATTCCTTGTCAGACAACTCCTGTCAAGTCAAGGAAACACGGGTCAGATCATCGACTTCCTTGGCGGAGAGCACAAATCACTCCAAGCACATCAGCTATTTCATTGCGGCCAATCTCTATATACTGAGGAAGAGAACCATCAGTCTTCCAATCCAGCGTTGGATCAGATCGTTGGCTCTAGAAGAACGTTCTTCGAAACGCTCAACAAGTGTCGTTTGTTTCCCGTCACAAACCCGGTCCAGTCCGTCGCACGTCGCACGGATCGCTTCTTCACATGTAACCGTACCTGTTTCCCCATCGCTCCCGATTACGCACTCCAGCCCACGGACGCCATCACATCACCCTGTCTGATAGCTTGACGCACGGCATCGCCGGCCAGGACGAGCTGGGTCCATCTTCACTTCACCCAGTCGCAGGTAAGGCTATGAGCCTCATGATGCTCAACGACGGTATCTGTTCCTTGGATCCGGTTTGAGACTTGGAATGTAACACTACTTTTCCTCATCGAAAGGAACATGGCGTTGTCTCGTTTGATATGTGGTTTAACACCATGGACTATTGTGCATGCTAGCTAGTCCTCCTCAAGGTTACGGACTAGTTCGCATCAAGCTGCAAAAACTGGCCAGCTACATCCCTCACCATGTCTTCCCCGCTTGCACACTTACGGCCAAGCAGTCTTTCGCCCTCGGAAGCATCCGTCGGTACGCTGATAGTCGGCTGGCTGCCGTCCGCGCTGTAGACGCCATCCGCAAACGCCTGGGGAAAGTTCTCCATCGCGATGGCCCTGGCTTCTTCCATGGCTACATGCCTGCCCAAGAGGAAACTCTGCTTGCCGGATACCGATGGGGACAATGCGCAAATATGTGCCGCAGCAACGTCGTCGACGGAGACGAAGCCGGAGAGGATGGGTGTGTCGCTCTTCCTGCCTCGCAAGTACTCGAGCAGCACACTATTTGACCCCGAAAGGAGCGACTCCGCTGTCGTCGAAAGCTCGTCGTGGCCCCAGATCCACGCCGGTATGATGGAGACGAGGTTGAATTTCGGACTGTGCTCCTTCATCCAGGCTTCCGAGGCGTGCAGGGCGGCGATCTTGCTCGCGCGGTAGGCTCCGAAGCCCGATCCGTACGGGGCAGCCGGTGTCGCCACCCGGGATTCTCCATCAATGGCCGGCCGGTCTAGGCCTTGGCCCATGAAGCACTCCATCGGGACGACGGCCACGATCGAGCTCGTGACGACTACGCGCCTAAGGGTATCTACGTCATGGCGTTTAGCGCTCTCAAGTAGACCGAGTACACTGGCAACGGCCGGTCTGACGTAGACCTCCTCCTCTGTCCCGACGCGCTCGTCTTTGCCAAATGTGGGCACGGGAGATGCGCAGTGGATGATGTACGTCACGCCCTGGACGGCCTCGTCGTAGGCGCCGAGGGCGGAGATGTCGGGTACGATTGTCCAGGTGAGCTGGCTTGATGTTGGGTTGAGGTTCTTGATGCTCGGCGCTGCGAGGATCTTGTCAATGCCGTCTTTTGATCTTACGGCGCAGCGGACGCGGAAGCCGGCTTTGAGGGCTGTGATGAGGGTTTTGTAGCCTACGAAGCCTGTTGCGCCGGTTAAGAGGATGAGGGTGCCGGGCATGGTGCGCGTCTTGTCGTCGGGCTTTGCGAGGAGAGGTACTGGAAAGGCGGCTTATGGTTGGCGACTTATTTTATCGCGGGCCGGCTTCATCGTTCTCGGCGATGTTCGATGGACTTGTGAACACTTTATCTTCTTTCTCTCTTATCTCGCGATGCATAGAGAGATGAGCCCCCGCAATCTGTAGATATCCCCCCCACCTTGGCAGACGAGCTGAAAGGGCGGTCGGAAGTTCCGTGATACGACGGGTGAGCATTATCCTGAAGCCAATCGATTTTTGGAAGGCTAGTTCGACCAGGCCCTTGACTGCCGAGGGACGATCAATAACATCAATATTTGGCTTAAGCGATAACAGAAGCTGAGAGCTACACACTGGATTATAGATGCTGTGTTAGATATGACAGGTAATACAAGCCCTGTCTCTTGACTGTCTGAGTACGTTATACACTTCACCAAGGACATTTTTTGAGGTCTTCGTCTCAACAGCAGAGTGTATACCAGGGCCGCGAATGGTTCTGTACCAAGTATGAAAGGTCTCCTGCTCTCGTGGTCTCAAGCTGTAATAACCGCCTACGGTGTTGACGGACGTCGTATGCGTCCGCAGACAAAAGCTTGCTCTTTGCTTGGCTGAGTCGCAGTCCAAGGCCCTGTTACATATGAAGCAGCGTGAAGAAATAGACTAGTCTAGAGGATATGTTCAACATTGACCAGGTGCGTACTTGTTTGATTCTATTCTAGGAGTGAATACTAGGCTTGTGATCATCATTGAATAACAAGCAGAAGTTGAGAGATGAATTGAGCTTAGAGTGAGGTCGTTGTTTTTCTTAGGTATCAAACCCCGAGGACAGGAAGACGAATCGCAAAAGATTCATAGAGAGTCTCAATGCTAGACTGCAAGGCGAAGCTGGATGACTCTTGGCGCCCTCCTATACCTTCACTATCCAACAAGTTTCAATAAGAAGTTCCAAATAACCTTCTTGCTCTTCCTAGTTCGACTTGGTTAGGAGGTTAAATAATCCTAAATTGTCTTATCATGTTCAGAGGATAGGTGGGGTGATGGCTCGTGTGTAGTTCTGAGCCTCGACACTGGCCGTCGCTCTGGTAACCAAAACCTACTTAAGTTTTTCTTCAGAACAAGGGGGATATACATCACCTTGGAAAGTAGACACTGCCTGGCAGCAAGACTTTCCCCTCTACTATTCATCAAGGAAGCTATAGGTAATAGGGAAGCCGAGAAGAGGAAAAACATCAAGTTGCCTATCTAATTGCGTTATCAATCGAAGGAATGGATACCCGTGGAGCCCTACCATAAGATGAAAAGTGTGCAGCGAGGGCCGTCTGCTTGAGGCTGTCGCTCGATAGCTGAAAGCCCAAGCGGAGGCCGCCAAGGCCGTGGAGATTATGAGTTCTGGGAGTCAGGCTTACCTTATATAAATACCAAAAGATGAAGAAATAGCTACCCGTGGCCTGCAATCGATTTATGCGCCTCGTGAAGCCGAGGAGTGGAAGGACTCGTCAATTCAATTGATGTTTGTGGACAGAACCTGCAGCTACAGAACCCCCGTCCCGTCTACGAGCCGGTGGAGTGGGGCCGATATGCCGGACATCTGAATGTAGTCCGTGCGCCAATTTGCCTTTTGATGACATCCGCCGGCGCGTCGAAAGTCGCGTCCCCCAAAGTTACAAAGCTCCGAGACAGCGGGGGGCACCTTGACGCCGCGCCCACCACAGAGTACCGTCGACAAACTCCACACCACCCGCTATCGCTCCCGATCGCATTTTGCGACAGATCAACATAGGCACACTGGGAATCGCCTTCAACAACCTTACTGATCTTGCGACAGAACGGCTGTGTGCCATTCATCAAGAAGTCATCCCGACACTGATATATATCTTGCGCTGAGAGAGCACCAATACCACCACCGCCCGGCGTCTAGCGACCCCGTCGCAACCCAAAACGAATAATGTCCTCCTCACCAACATTCACAACCCCCCTCAACCCACGTCTCGCAGCAGTCGCCGGCGCAGAAGACGACGACCCCCTCTTCTCATCCGCCCTCGACACCGTAACCCCGAACCGCCGCGCCCTCAGCCTCGACCCCCCCTCCAGCCGCGCCTCCCTCGTCCCACGCACGCCCTCTAACAACAACCCGCTGCGCTCTTCTTTACGCAGCTCAGCCGGCTACCGCGGCCTCTCCGCCTCAGGCCGCCGCTCCCTCGCCGCGACGCCCCACGCTCGCGCAGCTTACCGCACAATCGACCAGCGCCGCGCCGCCGCTCTAACACCAGGCGGGAACAAGCGCCGCGAGAGCTTCCGACCGCGAAGGGAGTCTCTACACGATGTCCTGCGTGGCCTAAGTCGCGTGGTAAAGCACGCCACGCAGCCCATCTCGTCTTCCTCGTCACCTAGCGACTTCGGATCAAGGGGACCAAGCGCGAGCCTACCAATAAGGACGGTGGGCGGAGGTAATCGGAGAGGCACGGTATACGATGACGACGACGACGATGACGAGCTTCCGATCGATAGGCCGAGGTTGTCGTTACCGCTCGATGTTGAGGACGATGACGAGGACGAGCTTGTCGCGCCCGAGTTGTCGCAGATTGACGAGAATGCGACGATTGAGTTCCCGCGGCGGGCGTATGTAGATCAGCCGTCGCGTATGTCGATGGGGAGTGCGCGGTTGAGCGGGTTTAGGAATTACGGGGACTTGGACGACGATGACGATGATGATCGCGGGGAAGGATTCTTTCCTGCGTTCGAGGTCGGGGCGTTGGATGAGGAGGGGAGGGAGGCGGAGGAGACGTTGGACAGGTGAGTTTTGCGGCGAAGAATTTCCATGTGAGCGGTGGTGAGGTCGATTGCTGACGGATGGGAACAACAGAGTCGAGGAGGAAGACTTGAGGCGGCAGACGTTGGCTTCGGCGCGGGACAGCGATTTCGGGTTCGAGGTGCCCGTTGACGCGGATAACCAGACGACGTTCATGATGGCGGTAGACGGACAGAGCTCACCGGCACGACCACTACCCGAAATCACAGACGAACAGCCGTCGCTCAACATCGCGTCAGTAGACGACGAGCCAGCGGCACCCATGGACGAGGACCTAGGCTTCGGAACCTCGTACTACGACATGCGCAGCTCAACGCCCATCGAACCCACCGAGGCGACGCAAGGAGACCTGGACGGCCAGACGGAGGTGAGCGCCGCACAGCTGTTGGAACAGGAGCAAGGACAAAGGCCGCGCAAGACGAAGCGCGGCGTGAAGCTGTCAAAGTATGGCGTGGAGTACCCGTCCCTGCCGCCGGCGGTGGTGAAGCGGCTGGCGAATACGTTTGCCAAGTCGAGCGGCATCAGTAAGACCAAGATTGCGCCGGATGCGCTGGCTGAGATTCAGAGAGCGTCGGACTGGTTTTTTGAGCAGCTGGGTGACGATTTGTCTGCGTATGCGAAGCATGCCAAGCGTAAGACTATTGATGAGAGTGATATGCTCACGCTCATGCGGAGGTATGTCTTGTTGTTTTTTCACTATGCGAACATCGCAAGCTCCAATTTAGGGGTATCGACAATCTTTTGGGGGGCTTCCCCTTTTTTATATCCACAAGCTTTTTGTTCTTTTGGTACAAATACAATGGTGTCTAATATCCTTACAGACAACGTCAAACTAGTTCGACGACGACTCCCTTTTCTCTGGCACACAGACACCTGCCCCGGGAGCTGTTACAGGAGTTAAGAATGCCCAAGCCGCTGCCACCGGCGGAGCCGAGGAAGAAACGCCGTCGCGTGACCGACGACGGACAGGAGGAAGTGACTTGAAGAGTCCAATTTGCTCCCACTTTGACTGTGACTCTGATTCCTTTTCGAAAGGAACACGACAAAGTCCTTACCAATGCTTATTCATGCGCACCTTTCGCGCGGTGTCGGTTGGGGGCTTCTTGACGACCATCCACAACATGATGGAGGTGGCGAATGCAAGACCGTACCTGTTTGTCGGATATTAGCACCGACTGCGGTCGAGGGTGCGTGGAGAGATGGATGATGAAGGAATCAGGGGTTGGTTGGACTTACCATGTGAAGATGTACTGGGCATGGTTATTCCGCAGGTTCACCTCCGCGGCTCTTCCAATAGGGATACCCCTGTTCTTGAGGTCCATGATGCGGAAGAACTCGTGGTCTGCGAGGAAAGTCAGTATGAGCTTTGTATCTCGTAGCAGAAGACCCGCAAGGAACCTCCTCCCACAAGGAGGTCAGCAGCGACATACCTATAGTAGCCTCAATCCAAACAGGCTGACTCCCAGTCAGTTGCGCCATCTGGTGCACGTCGGGGAAGAAAAACTCCCAGCGATCAGGTCTGTTATCGGGCGTGAACATATTCTTCTTCCACGGCTCCCGCAGCAATCCCTCCACCGTGACCTCCCCCCTCGGCAGCGCAGACGGCCTCCGTCGCTGATCCGCCATCTCCTTGCTGATCCACCCGCGATTCACCAGCACCGTCGTGCCCTCGCCCTCCCTCTCGAGCGGCGTCACGACCATGTACCCCTGCTCACCCTCCCACATGCGCGGGCCGATGAGCATCTCTTTGTCATGGCGGAAGTGGCCCGTGGCGTAGACGCGGCGGTAGTCGAACTCGCTCACGGCATCGGGATCGATCTTGGGCGGTAAGGGGAGCGGGTCGCGGACGAGGCGGTCCTCGAATTTGGCAATGAGCTCGGTTTTCCAGCCGAGGCGCTGGACTTGCCATGTGCCGAGGGCGAAGGCTGTGATGGGGATCAGGGCGAGGATGATGAGGCCTGGCCCGTGGCGGTTTCCTGCGCGGACGAGCTCGGGGGGGTTGTCGACTATGGAATGGAAGTCTGGGGCTGGTTCGGAGGCGAGGGCGCGGCGGGTGGTGTGGAATTTACGGGTTGGTGGTGTTGCGCGTGGTGGTGATGGTGATGGTGATGGTAATGACGATGGGTATATTCTTGGGCGGACGATTGAGCGTAGGCAGGTTTGCGCCGCGGGACCTGGGGCCCGGAAGAGGGCTCGTGGTAGAGGAGGCGGCATTGTTGAGGCTCGTCGGGGGGGAGGCGCCGGTTGGTTGATCGGTGGTTCCCCGGTGGTGATGCGGGTGGGAGGCTTTCTTGAGTGAGAGCTTGCCCGGGTGATGAGGTCAGGATATTTCGGTTTTTTGGGGTCCGGCCGGCCCGTTCTAGGGTACCTGAGCAGTGGGAAATTTAAAACGGATGAGCTGGGAGCTCGGAGAGCTGCAGCAGTGTGGAGTGGCGTGAAAAGGTGGGGGCCAGCGCCAATAGGGTGGCTCACTGTCCGCCCCCCGGAAGGGAGGGATACATTGGACTAAGGCAAGGTCCCCTGCTGCCGTTCGCAGCAACACGACGACACTTGTTCTCCCGTCATCTTTGAGCTTTAAGTCATTCATCAAACGACGAGGTATCACTCGAGACCGAAACGGACTGTGGCCGTGACGAAGCTATTAAAAGGCTACATTCAACACCTTGAAAGCTTTGTTGGGTTCTTTTCAGATCTAGGTTCAGCACCGTCCTAGATTGAGCTCCACAGCGTCCGTATCCCTCTTCTTCTCAGAGCAACACTCGACCGTGAACTCATAGCCTTCTAGACTCAACCCAGAGAGAGATCATTATAAACCTACACATATCACTATCATGTTCTTTACGGGAGGTTTGCAAGAAGGCATTGCCACTGCGCTCCAGCAGAGCAAATGTGTATTTTGCTTTGTCACAGGTAAGCTTGCATCTCACAGCACAAACCCGTAAGACCTTTTCACTGATGAGACGTAGATGAGGAAGCCGAAAGCCAGACTTGGGAGACTGAGTATCTGACAGAGAGCTCGGTACTTATTTGAGCTTCTATGATAAAGACACCTTAGCCCAGTTGCTAATGACTGGATCAGGTTGCGACCTTACTTCAAGATGAGGCCGTCGCGCTGCGCCTGAAGAAGGGCTCGGAAGAGGCGGGCTACCTGGCAGCCATCTTCCCCCTGCCCAACACGCCCACCGTCATCGTGATCAAGAATGGCGATCTCAAGGAGTACATCGTCGCCGGCACCAGCAAGGATGAGTTCGTCAGACGCATCACAACCGCATTCCGCGGCGCTCAGGGTCAACCAGCAGCTCAGCCCGCGGCAGCTACTCCAGCACCGACCTCAGCTCCCGCTTCGGCCGCACAGCCCACCGACGACCTGTACGACGAGACCCCGTACAACCCTCCCCGCGCCGCCGCAGCCGCAGCCGTCCCCGTCACCACGGACCAGCAACCCGCCAGGCCCGGCACCTCCTCCCCCAGCCCGCGTGGCCCCGACACCCCAACCCAAGAAGAAGACAACGCCGCCACCCTGCGTGCCGTCCTCGCAGAGCGCGGTGCGCGCCTGGAAGCCCAGCGCCTCGAATCCGAAAAGAAGGCAAAGGCAGCCCGCGCCGCCGCAGCGGAGAAGGCCGAGACGGACAACTCCAAGCAGGCGGAGCAGACGCGCAACCACAAAGAGGCCCTGAAGAAAGCGCGCCAGGAGGCGGCTGACGAAAAGGCACGTATCCTGAGGAAAATTGAGGACGACCGCGCCGAGAGGAGGGCCAAGGCCGCGGAGCGCGCTGCGCTGAGGGAACAAGCGTCTTCGCCCAAGCTGGGCGAGGTCGCGGCTGCGCTGACGAGGTCTGAGTCGAGTTCGCTGGCGCCGTCGAGTTCGTCCGCGAGCGGGATGACGGCACTGCAGGTTCGGCTTCTGGACGGGTCGACGATCCGCTCGCGGTTCCCTAGCGGGAAGACGCTCGGCGGGGAGGTGCGCACGTGGGTTGAGAGCGAGAGGACGGCCGGCGGGAGTAGCGGTGGAGAGCCGTTCCGGTTCAAGGTTGTGCTTGCGCCGCGGCCGAGCAGGTTGATTGACGATACGGAGGAGGGCAAGAGTCTCTCGGAGCTGGGGCTGTCGCCTTCTTCGACGCTTGTGCTGGCGCCTGTTGGGGCGCATGTCGGCGCGTACGCGGGCGGGTCGTCGTTTGGGGAGATGGCTGTGACGTTTCTTTTGCTGCCGTTGAGTTTGCTGCAGTGGCTCTGGGGACTTGTCTCGGGTGTGTTTTCTGGGCTGGGAGAGAGGCAGCGGGCGGCGGCGGCGGCTGAGGAGCAGGGCGCGGAGCCGGTTACGGTGAGGGAGCAGCGGAAGGGCAAATTTTCGCAGTTTGCGAATCCTGATGACCGGAGGGGTGATCACCAGTTGTACAATGGAAACTCGGTAAGTCTTGTTGTCCGCTTTACCCTGGAGGCAGTGGTGAAGGTGATGTTGAATCCTGATTGCTGACTTTTATCATAGCTCAACTTTGAGCCGCGGCCGGATGAGAAGAAGGACGAGTAAGGGGCCGGGGCTATGTTGCAGACATGTTTAATATCACATCACATTAGACCAGAAGCAGAGTTGTTAACGAGTGGGAATGTCATGTATTGTACACCGTTGGGAGATGTAGTTCTTCCTCAATGGCCCATCTTTCAATGCTTCCGCCAATGCAATAAAATGCCATATGAATCCCATGAAAGCTCCATGCCCCAAGTTTTGTTTGCTTGTTTTGCTTTCCCATTTGCCTTTTTTGATTATTAAGTTACATATAACACCCACCCCGACCAATTTTCAGCCGGGGGGGAAGTGAACATTTCAACACCACGCAACAACGCCCTTCTCAGACGAGTCTCAGACGAAAGGTGTGTCTAATACTGGCTAGCAGCAGCCTGGCAGGCCTTGAGCTGCTCGAGGTACCAGTTGCAGATCTGCATGTTGCCGCCCTGCTCGTCCATGCACTTTGTGAACTGCTGGGTGGCGCCGGCGCAGTTGTTGCCCCACTGTTGGGTGGTCTGGGACTCGCCTGTGGCGGCCATGGGGGAGTTATTCTGGGGCGCGGCCTCGGCGGGCGCGGAGGAGCCGCCGCCGAACATACCGCCGATGGCGTGGCCGATGGAGGAGCCGATTGCGACGCCGCTGTTGGAGGGGAAGTTGGGTTAGCTTCTCGCTGCATTATCTGGATTATTGGGGGGGGGGGGGGGGGGGGGGGGAGGTTGTTGTTGTTGAGGGAGCAGATGTCTCTCGAGCAAGAGAAGGACTTGGTGTCTTTGAGAGGGATGGACGTACGCAGCGGTGCTAGCCATCTGGCCAAAGAGGCCGGGGCCCTGGGATGCAGCAGCGGGAGCAGCGGGCGCGGCAGCCGGGGGAGCGGCGTGCTGTTGGGGGGGAGCGGCCATGGTCGTTGCCGGGCGAGTCTGGGTGGGAGCGGGCTTCGCGGCCGAGACGGTAGGGCGCGAGGGGGCGCTGGGGCGGCCGGCGGAGCGTTGGCGAGGCATCTTGTCGGAGGTTTGTGTGTTGAACGTATTCGGGAGTGAGGGTGGTGTGGTGAGCGTTGTAAGGTGGTCGTGACTTCGTGAGGTGAAGGAGCGGTGGTGTTTTGAAAGAGAAAGCAGAAACGCAGGCGTGGATGGGGAGGGAAGTCGGCAGAAGTTATGCGCCCGGGGTTAAGGTGACAAAAGTTGTCGAGGTTGCTTTCCGGCGTGGTTGCAAAGCTCGGCGGGCTGGGGTAAGTGGCAAGGTGTAGCCAATCAGGGGAGGGCGAATTTGGTCGTGGTCAGGAATTGGGGAAGGGGTCCTGTTCTCGTTAGGTGGGTATTTTGCTGGGGTTAGTGGTGAACATGAGATATGTAACAAAGGGGTGAGTGAAGGTTTCAGAGTGGCAATGCTGTGGCATACTTGTAAATATGGAATAAAGGTGTTTGGACAAGATAGACTAGACATCGGAAAGGGTTCGTTCATTATTTGGTATTCATCTCTATCTAGGGGTATCCTTTTTCCCAGTGCGCAAAATAACACAGTCACTCCAGTCCATGAGGGCAGTCTTCAGCCAATCTTGACGGGACCTACTTCTGGGTCCGATCACGCGACGCAGCGAGATCAGCCGTAGTCTTCATCTTTCCCGAAACTATACCAGGCAATCATGGAACCATCAAAGCTTGCAGTATCTCCCGTGGCTCGAGGATGTCCAACCGTTCCGGCGACTCGTCCTCCATATCCTGTGACTGCTACACGAAATCCTTTTTTGGAAGTGGCATCAGGGGCGCTCGTCAAAGTCTTTCAAAACACCTTGTTCTCAAGACTTGTTCTTGTTCGAGCTCTTCCTCCTTGAGTTCCTCTGCTTCTTCTCCGGGCCAGAGGAGCTGGCGGACGGCGACTCGGGAGCCGGCCTCTTGGTCTTCTGCATCGAGTTGAGCAGCGCCTTGGCCCGCTCCTCGGCGAGCTTCTCCTCCAGCCTCTTCTTCAGCGTCGGATCATTGCTTCCCTGTGATAGTGGTCAGTCCGCTTGCTCACGGATCTCGTTCTCTCCCAAGTCGACTTACAAGATCCGCCTTCAGAATGCGCGTCGCGGCCTCCGTGTTGACCGTCGCTGTTCGCTGTGCGGGCGTCTCCTCTGCGCCCTTGATCTTGCCAAAGTACTGCTGCACGCGCTTCAGTTCCGTCATGACCTGGTGGTCCTTGGCGTCGACCCCTTGGAGACGGAGTGATGCTGTCATTGGGATTAGCCAGGGTGGACGACGACAACGATGTGTGCTTGCTGCAAGAGGGTACTTACAAAACAGAAGAGTCTCGATAGCGTAGGCAGTCAGAGCGAACATTTTGGCCTTGTCGAGCAAGGGGAGCTCGTTGGCCATCTCGGGAAGGTTGTCAATCAGGGGCTTGAGTGCATCTTCAAGAGAGTCGACGTGAGTATCGAGCTTCTTCAGGTCGGAGGTCATATCCTTGAGCGCCATGATGGTTAATGTCGATGTAGTCGCGGAAAAACAAAAATTGTTTCTGTAAAATGCAAGTCGTCACGTTGCCGAGAGAAACAATGAAGTGGATGCGATGGATGTAAGTGAGTGCTGGTGCTAGCTCCTTCTCATCGATGAGACGGTCGTTGAAAATTCAGAAATCCGGGCGTTGAAGGATTTGCATGCATCTAACGAGGTGCAGGGATCGCCCGCGAGCTCGGTGGGTCTCCTGCCGGCCGGGATTCCACGGCTACGGATACCACGCGCCAAATTTTGAGAAGGAACCTAACGATTGTCCCCGTCATCCACACCCGTCAACGCCTCCTTCTTGCGACAAAGACAGGACCCTACGCTCATTAACCACGAAGAAGAACGCCTGTCATACTCGAAAACAATTTCTACTCTTTCGACGACGGCCTACACTGTCAGCGAGTCGTTACAGCATCACCGCCCACGACCGCGCCTCAATCCCTCCCCTTTAATGAGCATTGCGCAGTGATTTGCGCCGAACCCTTGAAGACTTCATCGTGGCAGGCACTTTGGCAAGCCTCCCGAGACCGCGGCTCTCCGCGCGGATACCCAAAACACATACGCTATGGAGGTCCGGTAGCCCGTCTACGGGCCGGGGAGCCATCAGATGTGTGTCGATCGATTCCTCGAATAAACTCGGCCTCGGAACGGGAGCAGCGCCGCCGCAGGGCATCGCCCCTGGGAGGGTGGCACCCAAGGAGATGGCGGCTACGGTCCCCGGAGGCACGACCCTGGGTGTGCCGGGCACGACGAAGCAAAAATTCAATAAAGTACTGGGACTGCAACCCGAGGGAAACGAAAAGGAGCTATACGCCATCTTCAGGGCGGACTCAACGTCACGATTCTACGTGCCGGCCGTAATGATGGGACACAACTCGCCGCCGCCACCTTCGTCGCGTACGGTTCACGTTCTTGGAAACGACGAGCGGTCATTATTCTTGTCACACGCTCTGCACGGCATCTACGACTCGGTGAAGACGCTAGACATACCGGCCAACACACCATATCGGGGCATCGCCGGAAATCTAAGCACCAAGAAGAATTCAAAAGGTTGGATCGAACCGAATGCCGCAATAGAGACGTCGCCAGAAGTAGAGAAGGACGATACACATATCAGCAACCTCGTGGTGGCCGGGAGACCGAGCGAGAGCATTAAGCTGCTCGAGAAGGTCAAGCATCGAATCGACGACCGGACGGCCGTCTGCTACGTGCAAGACGGACTCGGGGTGGCGGAGGCGGCCACCAACCGAGTCTTCCCGGAAACGGAGAGGCGGCCGTCGATTATGCTCGGACACATGACACATTCCCTGGCGTTTGACCGAAAGGCGAAATCGGTCAAGGTGATGACGCCCAAATACGAGACGGCGCTCGCCGGCGTGCGGCCGTGGTATGGCCCCAAAAAGTCGAAGCACCTCTCGACAGACAGCTGGCTCCGGACGCAAGGGATGATGGCGAAGTTTGCGTCGTCGGACCTCCTCAAGGCCAAAGGCCTGGCCCTCGACAGCTGGATGAAGGTCAAGATCCCGTCGCTCATGTTCTCGGCCGTCTGCGACCCCATCTGCGTAATGCTGGACTACCGCTACCAGGAGCTCATCTACAATCCGACGGCCAACAAGCTCATCACCCAGCTGCTGAACGAGATCGCCGACGTCGTTGCGCGCATGCCCGAGGTCAAGAACTCGCCCGAGCTGCAGGCCGTCCTGCGGGGTGAGGGCATGCGCAAGGAGATTATGGGGAAGCTTAGGGGGAAGGGGTCCGCGCCGAGTAAGATGGCATTGCAGATTCAGCGGGGCATGTTGACGGATATTGACTATTTGAACGGCTTCTTCATCGAGAGGGGCCGAAGGCTGGGCGTGAAGCTGCCGGCGAACGAGATGGTTATGGGCATGGTGAAGGCGAAGCATAAGGCGCAACTGGACAAACACCGGTCATATATGCCTTTAGAGGTGACCTCGAGGAGGTAGACAATGCTGTCAACGGCTGTAAGACTGGGCATATGTGTGTTTTACTTGATGGGCGGTTTAGCATTGTATGACTACATTCAAGGATAGAATTCAGACATTTTTTATACATATTTTATCAAACAATTGAAAGTCCAGAGTCAGCATCTCACCTTTGAGATGAGAGATCATTCGTGCTGTCGTGCCAGCTTACTCTGTCCCAAAAATGGTACTCGTCGTCATGAAATTTGTAAGGCGCCCAAAAAATGACGGGACCCCAAGCTCCAACCAACCCCGCCAAAAACTTGGACGTCAGGCATACTCAGAAAGGAGCCCCGCGTTTCCCTGCGCCAAAAGGCAAACCTCCACCAAACAACTCCGCGCAAACACGCAACCACAGATACCCGCAACCATGGACGACTCCGAACTCGAACAAGTACGCAAACTCCAACTCTTTTTTTTTTCTTTTTCTTTGCGCGACGGAACGTTTTTTGAGAACTTGGGAACTGACGCAAGCGACTACAGATCCGCAAGGCCCGCCTCGAGCAGCTCAAGGCGCAAGGCGGCGCGGGAGGCAGCTCCGGCGGCGGCGGCGGCTCGAATAAGCAGCAGCAGCAAGAACAGCGCCAGTACGTCTTCATCCCTCACCTCCGTTCACAGAGAACTTAAGATCCATACTTTTGCGCCGGAATTCCCATTCCACAGAACCCAACTGATCTCTCCCTCCTCACCCACCACGAAAAGAAACATCAGCTAACGACGTCCCCTTACTACACAGACAACAAGAACAAGAACAACGCCAGCAAATCCTCAACCAGATCCTGCACCCCGAGGCAGCAGACCGCCTGGGCCGCATCCGCCTCGTCAAGGAACAGCGTGCGCAGGACGTGGAGAACAGGTTGATTATGCTCGCGCAGAGCGGACAGCTGCGCAGCAAGGTTACCGAGACGCAGCTCAAGGAGCTGCTTGAGGCCGTGGCGGGGACGAAGGAGGAGGAGAAGATTGTGGTTAGCAGGCGGAAGGGGTGGGATGATGACGATGATGATTTGTTGGATTTGTAGGTGTTTGCCAATACTCTGCGGAGAGAGAGAGAGAGCAAGGGATTGGGGGTTCGTTTTATTATGCATGCGTGTTCCGTCCTCATTGTGTAGGGGTCTCCTTCGGAATGATGTTTACCGTGCAGATTGTGAAGGGTCTGACGGGGAGACTATGAACCTACCTCTGCGGGAAGGGAGTCCATGCCGGCGTTGAAGGGCGTTCATAAAGCATGACTGCAAAACGTAGCAGATTGGCTTCTGTCCAAGTGGGATTCCCACCAGGAACCTACCAAAAAATCAAACAAAAACTACATCAAACATACAATATCTATACAAACCCCATGTCTATACACAATACACAACCCACAGTCTACACCCCCTTCAAAGCCTCCTGCGCCCTCCTCCTCTCCTCCCTCTCCCGCTTCCGAATCTCCCTCATATTAGGCGGCCTCTCAATCCCCAAGTCGGCCCGTAACTCATCCACGTCCCTCTCCAGCTGCTCCTCCCAGTAGACATTAATCACCTCCTTGGACTTCATCCCATTCTTCACCGCCCAAGGGCCATAAATCTCCCTAAACCGCTTCCTCTCCCCAGCTTTCATGGTAGCATAACTCAGCACCGCGAACCCCGTCATCGGAATCAACGTATTCGCAAACTCGAATGCCTTGAGCGCCACCTCGCCCTCCCGCACGATAGGCAGGCCCGTCAGCGCGTGGAAAAAGTCGTGACACTCGCGGTACCGCTGCATCACGTACGCGCACTCCGGATCGTCGATGTACCGCACAACGGGCCGCGTGTCGGGGGACACGCCCTCGGCGTCCAGCCAGGCTACGTAGGCGCGTCCGACGCTGTTATCCGGCATGGCGCGCAGGCGGGATAGGTTCAGGGAGGTGGATGTGATGCGGGGGCGGTCGCGGAGGATGCGCCGGCCGGTTGGGTCGGCGAGCATTGCGTCGCGGAGGCGGTAGATGAAGTAGGGGGTTGCGGTGGTCTCGCCTACGGCGGCGATGAGGTCGCCTCGGTAAGGGGAGAGGAGGGACCAGATTCCTGCGCCGAGGCCGAGGGCGGCGCGTTCGATTTTGGTGAGGGGGATGTGGCCTGGGTAGTTTGGCGGTGGGCGGTTTAGGACGGAGAAGGGGCGGCGCGAGGAGGAGGAGGATGAGGAGGAGGAGGAGGGTATCGTTGAGGTGCAGGCGGCGCAGATGGCGGGGAGAGCGCGGCGGGTTTGGGCCGCGGGGAGGGATGTGAGGACTTTCATTTTTTGCTGATTTGGTTTCGCTTACGGCGTGGTAATTGTGAATAGGCCGTTGGATGTCGTCGAGAAGTTGAGGGTTGTGGACGAGGAAGCTGTTGGGAGCTGTCGAGAGCTTGTCTGCTCTGTTCGGGTTGAGAGTGGTTCGATGACCGGAACACTTTTTGGGAGCTCGGGGCAGCTCCATTACCTCACCTCGGCGACGGCCCTCCCGAGAATTTGGACAGCCAAGGGTCTCCGTCGGGTCGGGGAGTCGGTGGATACTAGCGCCGACCTTTTCCAATTGCTGCTGCTGCTGCTGCTGCTGCTGCTGCTGCGCATTTCTTCGGCAGTCAGTGGTTTAGGTGAACATTCTGGTGGGACAGGGCCTGACGTTCCAGATCGTTGGAACTGTTACCCCCGGCGCATTTGATTCGTCACTTTTGGTTTTTAGGTGCAATTCGTCTCAACTTCCTCTGTCTTGTCAATCTTTGAAGCTTCCACAACAAGACTGGCTGCCAACCATTTTCTCTTGTTCCAGGATACCTAGAGTTGAGCGCAAATCTAAATTCTCTTTTGGAAGCAAAGAAGATTGAAACCTGGTCTTCAGGGCTTGCACCTCAGTCTCATTCAAATCTGTTGGCGCTTCACGGATGAGAAAGCCCATCTTGCCGGTATAAGACTCAACGAATTTACATCTTACGAATCACATTCATATCTTTTCTCTCACACAGACAGCTTTTGACTAAGACCAAGTTGCCAAGATACGGACTCATACTTTCATGAGCTTTCATCACACGTTCAAACTACCTTCACCTCAGCTTCAGTCTATCAAACGCGCCACCATCTAAATCCAATCCCTGGCTCTAAACAAAACACCAAATGGACGCAATCGAGAACCTCTTATCCTGGGCTCAGACCCAAGGAATAACAGTTTCCAATGTCGGCCCCCGCGCCCTCCCAGGAAGAGGCATAGGAATCGTCGTAACATCACCTCTCAAAGTAAGCCACACCCACACAACTCATAACTCATCGATATCCTCACTCGCCAAACACAACTAACACCACCACCACCACTCCCTCAGAAAGACGACACAATCCTAGACGTCCCCATCCCCTGCCTGAAAACAATCGCAACAATCCCAAAACCCCTAACCCGCCCCTTCCCAAAAGAAACGCCTGTCCACGCCCTCCTGGCCCTAGACATCGCCCTCGACACCTCCCCCTCCTTCCAAACCTGGTCCGCCGTCTTCCCAACACCCAAAGACCTCTCCTCCTGCCCCCTAACCTGGTTCCCTTCCTCACCAACCCTCACCTCCCTCCTCCCCTCCCAAGCCCTCACCCTCCTCAAAGCCCAGCGCGAGAAGTTCGAATCCCACTGGTCCCTCGTCTCCTCAACCCCGCTCCCAGACCTGGACCTGGACCAGGACCAGGACGAGCACCAACACAGCTACAGCTACCCAGAAGGCGGCCTCACATACGAAACCTACCTCCACGCCTGGCTCCTCGTAAACTCGCGCACCTTCTACCACATCACCCCCAAAACCGCAAAACGCCACCGCGACGACCACATGATCCTCCAACCCGTCGCAGACCTCCTCAACCACTCGCCCCGCGGCTGCTCCGTCGCCTTTGACAAGTATTCCTTCACCATCAAAGCCGATCGGTCCTACACCCCCGGCGAGGAGATCCACATCTGCTACGGCCGCCACAGCAACGATTTCCTGCTCGTCGAGTACGGTTTCCTCATGGCACAGGGCGAAAACGAGTGGGATGAGGTCTGCATCGACGACGTTCTGCTGCCGCGGCTGGGTGCCGCGCACAGGCGGCGGTTGGAGGAGAGGGGGTTCCTGGGGAATTATGTCATTGACGCGGAGACGGTGTGCTACCGGACGCAGGTGGCGCTGCGGACGCTCGTGTTGCCGGCGAGGCGGTGGTCGCAGTTCGTTGATGGGTTTGCGGACGGGGAGGCCGAGCAAGCCGAGGTCGATGCGCTGCTATGCGAAATCTTGTCGGCCTACGAGGAGGAGATTGAGTCCAAGATCGAGACGGTGCGTGGGCTGGATGAAGGTGAGCAGTTTCAACGAGACATGGTAGCGGCTCGCTGGAACCAGATACAGTTGCTTGTACGCGGCACGATAGACAAGTTGGACGTTTCCAATACATAATAATCTACCGGTTTCTGTAAAGCAAAGAGCAATGGGGCGTGGAATGACGAAACGCAGTCGTAGATTGTGCTTTTCAGGTCTGAACTGTAACGCCGTAACCGAGGTGCCAGGGGCCGTTCCCATGCAGCCATATTCTAATAGTACACATACAATAACTCAAAGCAAACATCTGACATTTTGGTGGTTGCTGTCATCCATCCGCAGCAACAACAAGCTCCGTGAGGTCGCAGCCAATATACCCGCCACTCATCTGAAGACTAGAGGCCTGGTTTGACTGACCCTTCCTGAGAAATGCAAAGAGATCTCGTCGATGAGAGGGTCTTGGCTGCAGTAATGAATTCTGACTTATACGCGGGTAGGGTTTGTGACCGGATGCTCTACGACGCGGTGACCACTGCATCGTTCCACGGCTGGCCGACCCAGCCATGACCATTGCCTCAAGATCGCGCAAACTGTCTTGGCCGGTAGTCCTACTCAGGTCGAGGTCGCTTGGCACCGTGAGGGTTGCCCCAGTCGTTACCACCACCCTGGTTGCCGCCGAAGAATGCAGGGTTGAACTGTTGTGGCATGCCTTGGAATCCTGGGAAAGAGTCAGCTTGTGTGCTTTTTGAATGAAGAACGAACGAGAACGCAAACAGCAGAGAAATTAGTCAAGCAATATTCAGCGAGGACCCGAGAAATGAAGCGGCATCCTCGTGCCAAATCGAGCAGCTGCAGGGGGTTGACGGGCACTAGTGGTAAACTCCAAACCGTGCTCCTTGGTCCATCGGCCGACCTCTGGTGCAGTTACAGGCTTTGGTAGTTCAGATACATGCTTTGGCTGCACCTTTCGCCGTTTGGTACTCGGAGGGGTCTCGCTTCGGCTGGGTTGGCAACTTTGCCCTTTCGCCGACAAGAGTGCATGCGCTTCTGGGTTGAACCAGAGTCAAGTTGAGAGATTGGGGGATTTTGACTTTGCTGGAGGGAATCAAGAGAAGGGGGAGTCATACCAGGCATTCCACCACCCATCATGCCCATGTTAGGCATACCCATGTTGGGCATGCCTCCCATCGGGCCCATGTTCATACCGCCCATCGGGTTGTGCATACCGCCTCGCCCACCACGCATACCGGGGCCACCGCGCATGCCACCACCGAAGCCGCCGCCCCGCTGGAAACCGCCGCCGCCGAAATTGCCGCCGCCCATGCCGTTGTTGAAGCCGCCGCCTCCCATGTTGTTATTGTTGAAGCCGCCTCCCATGCCGCCCGAGAAGTTGCGGTTGAACCCGCCCTGGTTCATGCCGCCACGTTGACCATTGAAGCCTCCACGACCGCGGTAGCCGCCGTTTCCACGGAAGTCGCCGCCACCCATCGAGGAGCCTTGGTTGTTGTTGTAGTTTCCACCAGGTCGGCTGCCCTGGTCTTTACCTGCACGATTCGGTGCATCCTTAGGCAGCGTACGGAACGGGTTGACGTGGGGGTTCGAGTAAGTGACTTGGTATTTCTTCGGTACGCCTTGGGCGCTGTCTGTCGACTCGAAAGCGTGCTTGGCGGCTGTGGCAGCCTGCTGCGTTGTGAACTCAATGTAGGCTTGTCTGTGGTCAGAGTCAGCAGTTGTGCATGCATGTCTTCCTCACACCACGAATCATACCCCTTGCTCTTTCCGTTAACCTTGTGTTCACTGAAAGTGATATCCTTGAGCTCATCCTCGCAATGACCTGCTCTGGCGTACCCCCTGATGTCATCGTCCGTGTTCCACCAGTTAAGATCCGAGACCATTAGGGCTGTGGTTGCGCCAGGGTCGATCGGTCGGTCGTCGCCCTTTCTCTTGACGCCTTGTTGGGGAGCAGGCGCCTCTTGCTGATCGTGATATTCTTCCTGCTGCTCGTGTTTCTGCTGATCTTCGTGGTGCTCGTGGTGATCGTGCTGTTCCTGGTGGTTGTCGGCATGACCGTTGGCTCCATCATAGTTCTCGGCGTTTCCGTCTTGGTGATCCTGAGGCGCGTCGCCGTAGATATCGATCTCGAATTCCTCCTCAGCCATGGTGACGGTATTATCTGGTAGCCGTGAGTTGGGGCAGTGAGCTTGGTTGTAGTTGGAAAAAGGTTGTTATTAGTCTGCGAGATACAGGATATGTCTGCAGTCTTGAACATGATCATCAGCCGCTGCCAATACAGGGTCATTGCCAAAATCTGAAGCCAAAAGAAAGCTCGAACGTAGGATAGAAAACAGAGAACATCTGATACGTACACTCCTCGTTCCGCAGACAGGATGGAAGAGGTTGGATGGAAATTGCCAAGCCAATAGAATCCTCTCCTTTAGCCAAATAAAAATCAAGACGAAGCTCTGTGCTTCGGTCTTCCCCCAATGGCGACGTGACCGTAGTTCTTTCCTTGTTCGGCCCAGAAGCCTTAGGTACAGGCAACAAATGATGTAGTTGGGACGAGGGAGAATGGAAACAGGATCCCGAGATTCTAGAGACTGTTTGCTCGTTCTGCCACCGCCTTTGGCCGACGCTCCAACCGCGTTCTTGCCCGCTCACTGTGTGGGCGACGCTGTTAGCCGTGATGGGTTAGTGATCCAGGAAGCCTAATGAAGGTTTCCGACAGGTCGCGAGTGGGCAACAGCTGCGCGCCGCTTCGTTGAGAATCTGACGTTTAACGTGATGACTGGAAAATCGACGCGTAGGGGAGCTTCAGTAGAGCTGTGATGTTGTCGAGTAGCTCAAGTATGAAGGGTTCGGTTTGATGTTGACGCGATGAAAGAACTGCGGTCGAACAAGATGAGTGGAGGAACGTTTGGGAAAGGAAGAAAACTGGGGGGAGCTCTTTCAGGAGCTGAGGTCGCATCTTGAGCCAGGCGGGACTGAACAAGGGCCACGGCCGCCAGGCTGCGGCAGGCACAGACTCCGCCAGTGGATGCTCGAATGGGGCTCGCGATTGTCCCGCTGAACCGGTACGTACACTACCTCGTCTCCCTGTCATGTGCTTGAATGCGCTGAGCTGTGGCTGGTCAAAATGGCCCAGACCAGACCCTCTCTGCCCACTAGCGGGGGAATCCAGGGGGCCCTCCTCCACTGAAGTCTGAAGGGGAACACCAAGGGGGACTCCTATCATCCCAACCTTAGATAAGCAATCTGTCTACTCCATAAGGTAGTGGCGTGCACCTCGGCGGCCGGCGCATTATTCCTCCATGCCTCCTTAATGGCAATCTGGCTCTTCCTTCCACAGCGGGAGCTTGTCCCGAAATTTTGGGGACCGTTTGGTGACAGCGCGCTCAATTTAACACATCTCCCTTCTACCCATTCGAACCTCTCGAATCTTCCACCCCCGACCTGCAACGCCTTAAACACACGTCGTCGCGCCTTTCCTTCATCGACTTTGCAGTTTCCTGTTACCTTGCGGCCCATTGGGATTTCCTTTGCGACTTTCATCATATTACCCACCTCCTTTCTCTTCTCCGCAACCCACGCGCCCTTCTATCCACAATGGCCGACCAAGTCAAGGAGATTCTCGAGGTTCCCTCCGAGTTCGCTCAGGAAGGTGTCCAGTTCATGAGACGGTGCACCAAGCGTATGTTGCGCCCCTCGTCTTAGATTGCCCTACCAGCTTTGGAAACTAACGTGTCCTTTCAGCCGACCAGACTGAGTTCCTGAAGCTCTGCCAGGCCGTCGGTGTCGGTTTCCTCATCATGGGCGCTGTCGGCTACATCGTCAAGCTGATTCACATCCCCCTTAACAACATCCTCGTCGGAGGCGCATAAACGCCCTTTATCTATCGTCAATAGAAGCACCGACACATCGGACCGGCTTCTCGAGCACCGTCACGTCAACACGTGACGACCAAAACATGATTTTACACGCAGGGATGGGTCTCAAAAGCATTGCACGGGCAGATTGCGGAAGCGGCGCAGCAACACTTTGAAGAGGTGCTGTGCGGGAGTGATGGGAGATACCCCGAGACCAAAGAGGCTTCATCGATCATGTATCATTGCCAAAAGAGGGGTTGGACATGTGTGGAAGATGTACAAAATAATTTAAATAATCATCCCACAGGACCTGTCCAAATGTGACCCGGTTCCCAACGCGAAGTAACTAGCTTTGGAACGATTCGCCCACGGGGCGCAGCTTCTCGTCGACACTCCGACCCATCTGCGGCTCTGCCTCGTCATCTTCGGCTTCGTTGTACGAATGCAGCGTGCAGGTTCCATGAGCCATGTTAAAGCCGTTCCAAGCAGATGCTGATGGAGGTCAGTAGTAGCCCGAAATTTGTCGACAATGGGGGACTTACCAGCAAGAACTGGCGCATTGGGATGCCAGCTCACGTCGCGCACACATGTGTTCCAACCGGGGAAGTCGTCACCATGGTATATGCGGTATCTGCGCTCCAATGGACGCGAGTTCTTGGTGGCCTTTCTTACGTCAATGGTACCAGCGAGCGTGGCGTCCATGTTCCAGATATAAACCTTGCCATCCTGGCTACCAGAGTAGACGTAACGCGAATTTGTGCTTGATGGAGGTGAAAAGTGGCATCGAATCAACGTGCGCATTACACGATGTCCTCGGAACGTAACTAGCGAGTTGTCGTTGGGATGCGGGAACCAATCTTCGTCCCTGTATGTACCCCACCGGTAGTCGAAATCGCTATTGCTGGTTAACCTCGTCGGGTTAACCTCGTCGTACTTGGCCGTGGACATGACCATTCTCAGATCCCAAAGCTTCATCGTCTGGTCTTTGCCGTTACTCAGGATGTATCGACCGTCGCCTTTGCTGTCAATGTACGTGAGGCCTTCCACGTGGCCCACGAAAGCGCCGGCTGGCCTTCCGTCTCCCATGCTACGTCGATCCCAGACTTTGATGGTGGCATCGTCTGATCCAGAGTAGAGAATGTGCGGTGAGGATTTGTCTGCAAAACACACAGCGTTCACGTCGTCTTCGTGTCCGACGACATTGTGTAACACAGTGCGCGACTCGATGTCGTAGACGACGATTGACTGCATGTTTGTACCAGCCACGAGCTCACGACCGTCTCCCGAAAATCTCACAGACCAAATACCAAAGGAATGCCTCGATCTCCATCCTGCGTGTTGAGTTCCGGCACTTCTCTCTGCGAGATCCAAAGTATATGGGTCTCCCGTGTCGTTGGGATCTGTGGGTGCCAGACAGACGTTGCTTTGGATTGACGTGTAAGCCAGCCAGCGGTTGTCAGGACTCAGGGATGCGTCGGTCAGTGTCCACTGTCCCCAGGGGTAATTAACCGTCTTATAATATTTCCAGTTGTACGGATTCGAGGTGTCGTACATGCGGACCTTGAAGTCGTGACCGCAGGCGTAGAAGAAATTACCGTCGTCGGAGAACTGGCCGGAGTATACGGGGTCATCGTAGTGCACGATCATTTCGGGATTGGTCGATGGTATCATGCCCTGAGCCATGAGATCTTGGTTCTGCTTCCGATCGCGCCTATCGCCCAGACCGAGCTCGCGGTCCAATATCCTACGTGCTAGCTGCTTCTTTTTGGTGACTCGATAATCGTTTGCGCCGAAAACGCCAGAGTGCATCAATTTCGTGCCCTCTTCGCTCGGTACCTTGGGGAAGCGGTTCGGCTCCCGAGCGCGAGGTCTTCGGCGCCTTCTTCCCCAGCCGATATCTTCGTCGTCATCTTCGTCGTCGAGAGTACTGCGCAATGTCACTTCGCCACTTTGAATCAGGCCCAGCAATTGAGCTCGTGTAAGAAACCCCGTGCCATTCCCCGCAGCGCCAGCTGTATCGTGGATTAGCGGACCTTGCACACGATTCTACTTGAACTTGATTTGACTTACTGATGAGAGTCATGAGCCTCGATATCGGATTAGCGGCCATGCCGTCTTCCTCAGCATCATCATCATCCTCGTCACCAGCACCCATGAACACCTCCACTTCTACGTTGCTGTCGTCGCCGCCGTCCTCGGCATCTGCGCATGGTCAGTCTTTGGGTGGTTACGTGTAAGAGAGGTGTTTATTACCATGATACTCATCATCGTCCTCGTCGTCCTCTTCTGGCTCATCTCGGAAGTCAGGGTCGTACTCATCGTCGTCGTTTAGATCTTCGGCATCTTCCGGATCAAAGGTGTAAGTCCAGGCGGGCTCATCATCCTCTTCACTCAAATTCATGTTCGCTGATGGTGATCGCAAATTATCTCCAGAGTCGTTCATTTTGGCTTTGGGTTCGAACGGAAGTTCGGATTGATGCTTAGTGATACAACGGAGCTCGGATTTGAGACTGCCGACGTGTGATGGAGGGCCCTATGCAGGAATGTCCGTGGCAATCGTCTAGATGCCGAGCTATATGTACGTGGTGCGTTCTAGGGCTGAATTACAGAAGGCCAAGACGATTGGAGTGGACAGGAAGAACAAGAAGAGACAACGCTCAGATTATGTTTCATGAAGAAGTGGTCGTTCGTGACGACATTCATTCAGTCCCCGGGGGAGGTGGGGTGTCCTGGACCGAACGGCGGAGATAAGATAGCACAAGCTGCTGTAAGCTCCGGCATGTCAGTGGCGCCAGCGGTTGGAGCTCTCCACGGGCACTTTACGGATACGTACCTTTTCGGGTCAAGGCAGTTTCTCGCAATTCTGTCAGCAAATCTGGGGTCGCCTGGATGCAACCTGGTCTGCTGCAGCGCAGCACAGCTCACCTTTGACTATCGTGTGTTTCTCAAGGAGACAGACGGATCACAAAATGGTGCAGAGTGAACCAGAGGGGACTTAATACCTATTTATTATCTTAGCTGCAGATGCATTGGAAGTTTGTTTTACACCCTACGCGTGCATGAACAGTCGATTGTCTGTCCTTCAATTGCCCAAGACGACTATATGTCTTAAGTCGTTATCCGAAGTTTAGAGTGTCCTCTATGTAAATATCCCCTTCAAGGCCTTTCAGGCGGAAACATTCTAAGGGTTCCATGATCCCCAATGTCGCCCCACAGGGGGCGCCTCAAGGGATTCGGAACATGGGGCCACGGCGGGCGGCGGCGCGTCCAGTTCTTCCCACCTCACGTCCAAGGGAGTACCCTCAGGTACCTACTTGCTTACCCCGTGGCCGTGCAGCAAAAGATACGTAACAATTTTAGAACCCGTGGCTGAGCAGTCGCATTGCCAGAGTAAATCAGAAACCACCAAAACATCCTTCCTTTTCTTTTCCCCCCTTAGCAAAAGAGCAGAACATTTCTCGAGCTTACTTCCAAACTCTCCTTTACATTTCACACCTATCGTTCAGATACCAGTGAGGCTCGACAGCCCGAACGAGTCATCATGAGGCTGCGCACTCGACCCTCCCCTTTGCTTCTCCTCCTCATTCCATCCCTCGTCGCAGGTCTCGCCGTCGAGACCAAGGACAAGAATGGCGGCAAGGCCGTAGCTTCGACCGAAAAGGCCACCGACTCGACCGTCACATCTGGCATCAAGACCAGATACGGCACTGACCACGCGCCTGTCGATGGCAAAGACGGCATGCCCCACGAGGGTCCCTTCGTTGACCAGACCCGAGAGACCAAGAAGGAGAGTGCCGATACAGATGGCAAGAAGGGATTGCCTCCCTTGAAGGGACGCCCATCCGACCCAACCGTTGTTGATGGCAAGAAAATCCCTGAGACCAACGACGGTGTCATGAACGACAAGACACGCCAGAAGCCAAAGGAGGGAACCACGGGCACCGAGGGAGGTGTCAGTGAGAAGGACAAGGCGCGCAAGGCAGCCGAAGGCCGAACTGGCGAAAAGGCCGACAACAAGCCAGAGGCTCCCAAGGAGAAGCCCCCTCTGCCGCACAGTGAGCAGGAGAAACTTTCGAGCGAAAAGGACACCACCACTGGTAAAGAACACGACCATGATCACCACACTGCCGACGAAGTTGCGGGGCTTGAGGTGAGTTTCCTGATTGCCACCCAATTGGCCAAGATGTGAAATGCTGACATGCGACAGAAACCGGCCGATCTCCCTTCCAAGCTCGACGACAAGCCCAATCCGCTCCCCAATTCAGCGCACAAGGACCACCTGGATCTTTCAAAGTCCAAGGGCAAGTCTTCTTCCAGCCTCGACGACGAAGCTGAGGGTGTCATTCAGCCTTTCCACTCCTTCGTCCTGTCTCTCACCATGATTTTGGTTTCCGAAGTTGGCGACAAGACATTCCTTGTGGCTGCCCTCATGGCGATGAAGCATGACCGCATGGTCGTTTTCTCCGCCGCCTTTGGTGCTCTTTTGGTCATGACTGTTCTGTCGGCCGTTCTCGGCCACGCTGTCCCGACCTTGATCCCCAAGCGTGTGACCAGCTTCCTCGCTGCCGGCCTGTTCTTTGTATTCGGCGCGAAGCTCCTTCGTGAAGGTTTGGGCATGGATCCTAATGAGGGTGTAACTGCCGAGCTACACGAGGTCGAGCGCGAGCTGGCCGAGAAGGAAAAGGAGGGCAAGAGACGGGGCTCTGCCGTGTCTCCCTACGCATTGGAAATGGGTCTCAACGGCAGCAGGAAGTCTAGGTCTAAGAGCCGTTTTCCCTCGCCCCCGCGCTCGCCTTCCTCGTCGCCGCCTCGCAGCCCTTCTCCTGGTTCTGGTGGCATCAGGGGCTCGCTGAACGGCCTGAACAACCTCCTCGGCCTTCTTCTCAGCCCTGCTTGGGTCCAGACGTTTGTAATGACTTTCCTGGGCGAATGGGGCGACCGCAGTCAGATCGCAACGATTGCCATGGCTGCAGGACAGGACTACTGGTGGGTTATTCTTGGCGCCATGGTTGGCCACTGCATCTGCACAGGTGCTGCCGTTATCGGTGGCCGTGCCATCGCAGGCCGTGTCAGTCTCAAAGTTGGTAAGTTAGCATCGCATCTTCGTTATAAGCTCCTGGCTAACATATCAAAGTCACTGTTGGTGGCGCTGTTGCTTTCCTCGTGTTCGGATTCATCTACTTCTTCGAGGCTTTCTACGCATGATCAACGAAGCCATTGTCTACTACGCTGTTCATTTCCTATATCCTTCTTACATGTATAGAATACGTCTTTCCTCGTGTCTCATCATTCTTCAGTGATGTGCGGCATTACAGCACAGCCCACGTTCGTTACCTACCAATTATTAATCACACGCGTGTGGTCTTCTATCCAGTCTTCCACTCTGGATCCAGGATGGGGACACCTTGTCTGGAAGACCACACGCAACAGACCGTTTCCTATACTGTCTGACCATACATACGAAATCAACGGTAAAGGAGAAAGGGATTCTCCTCGGAAAACTCAGCACGCAAACCTTGGGTTGTAGCGGAAAGTCGGAAAAGAAACGGAGCGTGGAGATGTCGAATTATGTACAATAGGAACGTCTATGGCCATGGGGCATAAGTGGGAGTTCAATGGAATGGAAGATGTCTATCTTTGGGTTTACCATGATGCCGGAGAGGCCTTGACTCGATTGTTCATCGTATTTGATTTGTTCGTCTTGATTCTACCTTTCAACGCTCTCTTCTGTGCATGATGCTCCGACCTTTACTTGGCCGATTCCACGACAGGCCAAGTTAGCCACCGTCACCAACCAGTATGCATTCGTGTATCTCAGTGGTGTCGACGCCTTTACCTTCGCTGAGGAGACAAGAAGTCGAACCTTGTCCTTGTCGTCTTGGTTAAACAGCTAGTCTCAAACTAAGGTGGTAGTGCCAGGATTCGGCGCCATGTTGGTCAGCAAACCGAAATCCCGTTTCGTGGCTCAGAAGAACGCAGACCCCACATGTTACCGCTTAGATCTACCTGACGATTCCATCATCATCCTCCTCCTCTCAAACATTGAGTCTTTGTCTTGTACAATTGCCGCAATTCCAGCAGACTCAAACCTTGTTGGTCCATTATTTTGGTCTACTCCGAAGTGGCATCTCAGGCACCACCACGAGCCTTTGGCACGGTACCATTCCCTGTTTACGAACCATCCCGTGATCCATACTTCATCGAGTTCGGTTACCAACCTATTGAATGCTCCCGAGAACCAAGAGACCCGAAGCCGTCTCGTTCGGGGGCCTCGCCTCCGCCACCAACCTCCCCCGCGTCGCGCAGCTCGTACAGGAACGGCAGCAAGCCAACCCCAACCCGCGACTATGTGAGCGGTGCCAGGACTGGGACGTCCCCGACTTTGCCGCTGGTCTCGGATCGAAGAGCCATCACTATGTCTCGCTTGAGAGCATCTCTTTTCGGTCTTTGAAGTGTCTCCTTTGCCGCGCAGTCGCTGCGGCTGTTGAGGCGCGACGGCGGGAGGATGGTTGTCTACGTGACTGCTCCGAGGCGTACTTGTTCGTTACGCTCCAGGGCCCTTTCTTTCTTGATTCAGGCTTAGCCGAGGACCAGAAATATCGGTTGTTTGCTTCTTCTTCTGATGAAGTTTCTGTGAGGTTGTTTCTGGAGTTGACTCTGAGTACGGTGCGAGACAAGTCGAAGTTAGCGACTTGGGATGCGTTGCCGTCGCCCTTTGCGGTCACGCCGCAATTTCTATTCCGATACTCGACAGAAGAACCCCAGAGACTCCAAACCATTGAAGAATGGGAGGCTGAATACTTTGACGTTGAGACATTGAAGATTTGGATCGATGGATGTGAGATTCTTCACGGTCACCACTGCGTGACTAGGTACAAGTCGATCGGTAAGTAGTCCTGTGCAGCTCGATTCTGTGCACATTAACCCTGACATGGACACAGACCATCTTCCTATAGGGTTTAGGGTCATCGATGTCCGTGGAATGAAGATTGTCAAGCCTTCAAGACCGGTCCGCTTCGTTGCTCTTAGCTACATGTGGGAAGCCTCCGAGGCATCAGGACATGCACAACTGGAGACGACGAATGCAGAGGACTTGGAAGCTCCAGGGAGCCTCGAGTCTGTCAAGTTACCACGCATCATCTTGGACGCGATATCTCTTTGCAGGGATCTGGGAGAAGGCTTTTTATGGGTGGACCGTCTTTGTATCGTTCAAGATGACGAGCGATCGAAGCCCGACCAGATAGACGGTATGGACCGGATCTATCAGTCTGCCTCTTTTTCCATCCTCGCCGCGCTAAATGATCGTCGCGGAAACGGGTTCCCTGGATATGCTGGTAACCCCAGGAGGCGACGCGCCTCCTTGTGGTGCCCGCCGCGGAACCGGAACGTTGGGAAGGGGATTGACCCGAACGGTCTGCATACGGTAGTCGACGCATCCTTATGGAACCAGAGGGGATGGACGTTCCAGGAGAGACTTCTTTCAAGACGCAGCATCTTCATCACGGAGCACCAGGTCCTATTCCAGTGCTGTCGAGGCCACGCCGCTGAAGAACTTACTTGGGGACGAGCACGACATGAAGTTCCTACACCGTTGCCCAGCGAGGACGCAGAGCCAACTCAAGCAGAAGATCACATCGACGAGCACGACTCACAAGCTCATCACGCGACCCAAATAGATATCGACGAATCGACGACCGAGAAGAAGACACACCACATACCAAACATCACCGGCTTCTACCGCCGAGCGCTCCACAACAGAGACGCACCAGTCAAACTACGAGGCCAAGTATCCCTAGCAAACTACTGCCAATGGGTCGAAGACTACACATCGCGACAGCTCTCCCGTGAGACAGACATTCTCAACGCCTTCGCGGGCGTCGGCAACGCCGTAGGGGACTCCATGCGCACTAAGATGATGTTTGGTTTGCCGGAGATGTACCTCCCCCAGACGCTCATGTGGAGTCACACGGGCGCCGTCCGACGTAGAGGTGACGCGGGGTTGAAGATCCCGAGTTGGAGCTGGGCGGCGTGGTCGTCGGTCGACGGGGGGAGTGCTGCGAGTTATCGGTGGATTCACGGTGATGCGCGACTGTTTGATACCAAGCTCGTGCGGATCGTGACGCTGGTGCAAATTTATGTACACGATGCCAGACGTGCTGCTTCAAGGTCTAGAGACGATGACTATGGTTTGCGCAAAGCCCGGGTGACGGAGAGATGGCTGGGCAGCTGCATGCAGCTAGCCAAGATCAACGGGATCGAAAAGCTGCCGCCGTTGCAGAGGAAGATGGCCGGCGGTAAGTTCAACGTCTCTGAGGAGACGAACGAGAAGTACACCGCCATGTGGCGGGAATGTCCCCACAGTCCGTGGGAAGCTCTCGCGCACGCGGAGCTTGATCCGGAGGCTGTCGAGGTAGCGGCTGGCTTCCCAGGGGCGCTGGTGTTTAACACGACGGTTGCCTCGTTGAGAGTTGGGCGGGATCGGAGGATGATGGGCGCAAGGAGGGGTGACTGCGAGGATGCTGAGATTCTGGATATGATGGGGAGACATGTTGGGTATCTGGATAAGATGGATACCCGTTGGATCTCAGGGCGGAAGGGGGCGAGAGATCGGAGGATGTTGCTTGATTTCATCGTTGTTAGTGCTTCTGTTGACACGGAGGTCAGCGAGAGTACTGAGTGGGCGTTTATCAAGGGGCAGTTTCATGAGATGTGGCGGTTTAATGTCATGCTTGTTGAGAGGGTGCTGGGTACGCCGTTTGTTGCGAGGAGAGTTGGGGTGGGATATGTTTGGCTTAGCCAGTGGAAGGACTGTTATCCTCGTTGGGAGACGGTGGTGCTCTGCTGAGAAAAGCGTACCCGGTCTCTACGGGGCGCAAAATTAGGTAACTCCGAATCACATATGACGAGAGTCCAAGATGCCACCTTTGGTGTTGTTCTCATTCATTGATAGACTTGAAGAGACAGTGAAATATATCCATACAGCAGACCCAAAACCATGGAATTCAAGATACAGGGCACCTTGTATCGGCTGACATTCCATCTTACAAATATACTTAACTCATTTAAATACAGGATCACAGACAACGTAACAAAAAGACTCGGCAACGCAAGCATTAGGCGCTCGACCGCATTGCCCATCACACCATTCAAGATCGTCACGGATGTCCCTTTCAAATGACTCAGAAGGCCACAAGCAGGGAAGAAATTTGTTCCTGGCTGGAACAACTCCCGCCATACGCCCCGGTCACATGAGTAACGCCCTTGGCCGATGATATGGCTGCGTGCAGGGCTCAACGTATTGGTCGGAGACTTGTGCAGTTGGTGCAGCCTAACTATATGTATGGTTGGCGGCTCAGCCTCAAGGCAACCCAGCCAGGTTCTTGGCTTAGACGCTCTCAGCCTGAATGCCAATGGAGATCTAGCCATCAATATGAATACATATGACGCGGTGAAGAACGTCAGGCTCAGATTTAAACGGACATTCAGAAATCTCAACACCAAGGCCAACTCAACTCCCTCTATTCCGTCGTCATGGAAACTCATAACCCCTACAAGTAACGAGACAGCACACCTGAGATCGAAGGAGTCAAAGTAATCTTCTGACATGCCTCAAGAGAATTAGGTCGAGGAGACTCCCCCCAAATCCGTTTATTCAGAACCGAATCAGCGAAGAACAACGACGACGTCATAAGATCAAAATATTTATACCAAGAGCTTAGATAAAACCGCCGCGCTTCAAAGCTCTCTCGCACGCATGGGGCGACGAGAACAACACCACGCCTATTCTGCTGAATGGTTTCCCTTTCGGTGTCACCTATAATCTTCATGCTGCCCTGAAAGTCTCCGATCAAAATCGATTGAGTCTTTTCTATGGGTAGACGCAATATGTGTAAGCCAGAGAGACACTGCTGAAAAGGGCCATCAGATTCCTCTGATGGGGCGCATCTAATCGGAGGCTCGTGAAGTCTTGTGCTGGCTCGGGCCGTCTGCGGATGACGATTCGATTTTACCGCTTTTACAAAAGTGCGCCGAAATATGGCGGTCACCAGAATGTCGCTTCACTATTCCCGATGTTTCAAAAGCTTTCGAATCTAAGTCGGATGCGATTCGGGATATCCTTCTCCGACCGTACTGGTACAGAGTGTGGGTGATCCAAGAAAACGTATTAGCTAGAAAACGCCTCTATGTATGTGGAAACAACGAGATTAACAGCGATGGTCTTTACTGAAGCCTACACAAAATGAACTATTCTATCTTTTTGGCACCGAGAGGGCTTCGCGACGACTCGTTTTTGCAAGCAGCCAACGACCTCCGCAACTCTGATGGCTACAGGATGCTAGCCAACAACCTCATAGGACCCCGTCGGCTCTTGAACTATACAATATCAGAGCCTCTTTCCTTATTGAACGAAGTAATGATGGATACCGCGCGGTTTCTAACACAGATCCACGGGACCATCTCTATGGCATTCTTGGTCTATTTCCCGGCCTGGCGCATTTGATCAAGCTAGACTACACCAAGAGCCCGGCTGACATTTTCTTGGACTTCGCCCTTCTGAATTTGAAGGAGGATCCTAGACTCATAGGACATTCTGGAATAGGACACAAATTCTGTACCCGGAGGCGCAGGTCTTGCAACAATCTGCCATCACGGATTCCAAATCACAGCGGGCCTTTTGTTGAGAGCTATACCGGTACCAGCCTCTGGGCGATGAGAAGAAAAATCGAATTCAAGGCTGTGACTTTCATTTCGCAGGAGCTGAAATGGTATAATGAACTAGACACCCTAATTCTTCGTGCAAGGGGTATGAAGTCGGGCAGAATTACTTCTGTTGCAAGCCCGGACACGGCCTTTGGCGAGAGAATGGTCGAGTGGGACTGCTGCGCGGCAATTCATCCCGCATATCATGCGTATATCAGTTGGAGGCGGGCATTTCACCGCAGGATTTTGATGGATCATGACCGCGTGATACTAGGCCTTTAACAATTGTCGAAGGGTAAACACGAAGCTGTGGATTCCGTCAACGGAAATGGATATGGCTTCATGGAGAGAGAAATGTCCGAGGTGGTGTCTGCCGGAACTGCTCACATTGAAGAATTTAGCCTTGTTTAAGTAGGCGAACACTTAGAGACTTATCTTTCACTCTGGCGAGAGAGCACTGTTGTATATGACAATAAATCCATGTGATTTTGCATCAAGTCTTTTCATCGTGGCTCTGTGTTCCGGCCCTGTCTACTTCGTGCCTATCTTGCCCATGCGGCTTGTTCTCAAGCAAATTTGAATAATTCAGAAACAAAGTCAAATAAGAAATGAAATTTCTACGCGTAGCATAAGATCTCACAACTCCCAGCTGCAATAACGACATCTTTAGACTTGATACCACTTCTCAAGGATCTAGGAGGTACTTTAAAGGACAGAAGGATGAGATCTACTATGCTTGAAATAGGAGATACTGAGTTGCTCTCGACTAGCAGAATATCCTGAAATCCGCTCTTGACAAAGATCCATAGTGGTTTGTCAAACTCTCTCGATCGAAGACTCCCCTTCAGTGGTTCTTTGGACATGCTGGTATTGACAAGAGGGCGAGTCAGGCACAAGCCCCTTACGCCTCTCGGGTTCGGGGACCAATCCCCTAGAACAGATAGCAGACGCCGAATTACTCGCACAGCTCGCGTCAAATCTCGGTCATCCCGCAACTCTAAACTTTGCAGTCGCTAAAAATATTCAACTCTTATGAGTCTTGATAACTACTACCTCAACCATCAGTAGGTGAGCTCGCAATGGCCCCGTCCAGCCCATGTTCAAAGCATGCCGATTATCCGTGCAACTTGATGAACGCGAGCAAGCAGCAATCTATTAGATAGTACACTAGGAAAACTTTCATGATTATAACGACATACGTGACTTCAACAAGTTCTTGATCTATAAGCATGGAAAGACTCAAGCGTCCTAGATGCTCGTTCGTACGCGCGCGTCGCCAGGGACACTACATAAACCAAGCTTCGCCAAGCCAGAGTCATCGCTCAACCCTCTATTCCCAGCTAATTCACTAATACCATCACGTGATTCATATCACCGTACTGTACGTTCCAAAATGAAACTCGGTCTTCTCCTCTCCGCCGTAACCGCTGTATCAGCCTGGTCAGTGACATTCCACGACCACGATCAATGCGCCGGCGGTTCAACATTTCACTACGGCGGTGGCTCCAACACCGGAATCGAACATCTCGCCCAGTGCTTCACCATGACGAGCATCAATAGGAGATACTCCAACTACGACGCAAAGAGCGTTAATATCGTGTTTGGAGGCTGCACGATCGACATCTTCACGGATCGACTTACGCGGCCTGGACTTGCTGGATGCGTGGCATCTATTAGCGATCCTACTAACTGGCAACGTGTTGATCAGGTCCAGGACGGATGTGTCCAGTGAGTTGTCTTTTATAAGAGGGACATGTTGATTGTTGACTGACAGTAATGTAGATTATCGAGCTCTAAACTTGGGAAGTGGCAAGCTTGGTCTGTGTCCTGTTGAACCACGTGTTATGCAACGTCGAGTCGTCGAGTCATCGACGTGGAGACTCTAGGCTAGGACGCAAGGTTGAAAACTGGTCGGTGAATAACGTGGCCATGTTTTACTGAAATGCAGTTGAGCATAGCGTGGGAGCCCACAAGCTTCCAATACATTAGCATTCCTTTCTTCACTTTCTTTCGGCAATGTAGATTTGTTCGCTTCTCATATCTTCTTTGTGCGCTCGTGGGTTTCTCATTGACAAGAAATTTAAAAGAAGAATCCGCATAGTCGTGTTTCATTAGGAACTGGGCACTAGTCTACTGAGCACTCTGAAGTCTCTACGCCCATTAGTTTTATCTCAAGCAGCTGACAAAAAATCGGGCTTGGCATGTTGCAAGGAATGAAACATGACATCTCTGCAGTGAACAAGTTGAAGTTAAAAAGTTAAATTGTGTACGCTAATACTGCTGAATAGGAACAAATACGTCGCCGGAATATGAAAACGGACTTCTTTACCGGGAAACCAAGAAAATACATTGCAACGTTGGAGTGACTGATGCTATTAATCTTCGAGCAATCTTCTGCGCTTCGACTTTCTTTCTAAGTTTTGCGACGTCCTGCCAAATGATGGGAAGCTAGCGACCAAAATGTCGGGATGGGCCATTAGTGGTGGAAATCCTCTACTACTAGGCAACAGACCAAAATTTGATGCCGTATACTCACTCAATCGATTGAGCTGGTCGGTCCACAACCGCTGGAAACTGTGTCTTCGACTCGCCATTGATTCTATATGCATGTGAGGCGGTTTTGTTGATTATGATGCCCAGACTCTCCTCGCGGGTTTCCGGGACTTGGATACAGACTTTGGTATTGCTTAGGTCGAATGACTCCGGAAGGCTGAGGAGTTGGACGCTAGCTTCCGGAGACATTGAGCTTGCAGATGTATGGGAAAGTATGAGATTATTTCCTGTCGTCTCAATGTATAGATTGAGTTGAGCCAGGAGAGGGTCTCCTGCAACTAGTTGGGATCCCGAGCGGACAATCGGAAGGTTGTTCATTGTTGTTCTCAGGTCTTCGAGGCGACGAGGTCTGACATCACTATTGATAGGATGCGATAGTGAGCCTACTCCTGATCTCACGAGCTTCATTCCGGTACTCTCATTCAGAGGAATTTTGATGACCTCTACACCACGATCGGTCGTTGCTAGGAGAAAGCGTCCACATGGCGAGTAGCTGATAGCAGAAACTTTGCAGCTTGCTTTATGAAAATTGTGGTCGGGGAGACTCCAAAAGATTTCTTGAGAACCCTCTTTCGTGCAGCATACGTCGAATCGGGTGGCCATGCTTGTATTCTCCCCGCCTCCTGAATGATACTTATCAGCTTTGCCATTCTGTCGCAAAAACGACGCCGTCAATTGCGGGCAGCAATTGACGTCATATATACCCTACGACACATTCCCTATCTAGAGCGATGATAGATCGTGGAGATTACAGAAACGCGACACTTACTCTCAGAATAAAACCAGGTCCAAAGTTTGGATTCTGCTACGAAGGAAAAGAGAGCGCGGTCAGGATGGAAAGTTTGGCAAGATATCGTCGGGCTGATTCTTCCTTTCGTAAAATTGACGAGTTTTGCATCGAGTCCCCTGCTTGACGACTTGTGGAGACGGAATATAGCAACGGTGGTAAGACATGGCTTGCGATAGTCGGCGAAAGAAAGCAGGTTTTCGTCTGAGCTGAACGATATTGAGTAGGTGTACCAATCCCGAATCAACCTCGAAGCCGCAGGTTTAATGTTCGCCGGCAAAGAGTATGTCTTTAACTCATTCAGAGACCTGAGCCCTTCAGGGTGCTCGAGAAATTCCAGCGGTAGCGGACAAGATTGAACTGTCCCTGAGCTGAGGTCGTCTTCCGTGCCAAGATGAATATGGTACACGTTTCTGAGAATCGTAAACGTCTTGCAAGCCGGTCCAATGACCATGGGAAAAGAAGTTTCAAAATATTTCTTCTCTTGGACCCAATCTGCCTGCGACGAATCTTGCCGGAATGACTGACGGAAAACTAGAATCATGTCGGATGAGTTGAGGGTAAGAAGTACACTGCCCAGAGGTTTTCTTGATATTGTCGAAAAGACTTTGTAGCGACCAACCCAGCCACAAGCGTGGCCTTCAATATCCATGTAGGCGGAACTCGGATCGATACAAACGGTGAAATTTTCAAAGCTGGGAGGTGGCCAGATGCTCAGAACACCTATATGCTTCTTGTCAGCCAATTTTTCCGATATCGTGCTGAGAGACTTGGCCTGCGTCCCAGGAACTTCTGTAGATATTTTGGGTTCGAGAATTGCGACAGACAATCTGGAATCCGGAGGCCGTAGCGCTGAAAGAATTCCCTTGTGAGAGAACGCTATAACGTCATCCCATAAAAGGAATGGCGATTTCAGCAGCTTCTGATCCCACTCAAACTCAATAGCTTCCAGCTATTGAACCAGAGCAAGTAGAGCGGCGAAGACTTCATTAGACTTTTTGCGATTATCGTTCTCAGCCAACCTCTGCGCGCAGTATCTTAGAGGTCTCACTAACAAGCTGCTGGGGACTTGATCAAGTACAGGGCTTCTATCCAAGCTCCTATGGTCAGGGGGTTGCTGAGGAGCTTAAGTATATCCAAGAGCAAGGCTTCCGTGAGACGCAACGGCTGGCTTTGATCAAGCGCTATGCCTAAGACCAGGTCGAAATGTTTCACCCATTCTCTAACACTGTATGAAGTGAATGACAGCGCTCGCTGATTAACGGTGCTCAAAACGCCTTCCCATGCACCAATGGCTCGCTCGGGAACCATGGCGGGCGTATTCGCATGTAAGTTATGGAGGCACCTATGCAAAATCTCCTCATTGGCTGCCATTTGCGTTGGAATCAAGGACTTGTAAGAGGACTTCTCTTCTTCTTGAACCTCGGAGAAAAACGTCCTTACTGGTAAGTGAACGAATCGGAACTTAATGGTGTCTACCCCTTGCACCATCGTGTCCACTTGCCACCTTTCTAAAAGGCCGCCACAAACGAACTAAACCCCGGACCGAGTCCTCAGGAAGCAATGCAAAAGCTTTATGGCGTCGCGAAGACAAGGAAGTAGTGACTGAGCAAGGACATCTACGAGCGAGGGGCATATTTGTCATAAAGTGAATGGAGCGCGAGAGGATCCGATTTAAATGCAGATGACAGAGTCTATGGAAAACCACATCCCAAAAGATCCGCGAAATGTATCTCTCATTCTTCTAGAGCCACTTGCAGTCTGTATCGACTTCGTCGGTGCAGTTTCGGCCGGACCTCTGGGATAGGTGGGGCCGTCCCGTCTCCGACGTCACCTCCCACGTTCTCGGGCCCGCATCTCGCGCGTGTATATACCGGAGCCCATAACCCGCCTCCTCTTAGCAAGACAGACGCTTCCTCTAGTCGTTCCACGCGCCCTATTGTTGGACAGGACTATTATGTATGGTAATAATACCCAGAACTTGCATTGCTAACATATAGCTTATTTGGTAGCTGTCAGATATAACTCTATTGGAGTGGTGATCTATAGTGGAGCTTACTGACGATACCTTACGAAGAGATTATCCCCCTCAGTGCCTGAAGAGTTGTGTTACCATTCCTATTTCGTGACAGTCTGTTTCTATAGAACAGGTCTAGCGTCCAGTAAGGACGTTTCATTTTGAATGATCAAGAAAAATTCTGTGATTTAAGCATTACATTAAGGTAGGAGGGTGTGTGGTGGTTATCGAAAGTCAGATGGTGGTAGACTGGCTTACGAAAATACTCAAGCGTACCTTGCTTACAAGTTGCCAACATAGTCTACTACTCACTCCTAGCTCACCCGTATACCAGCTTCCTCAAATTCCGACGTTGTTAAAAGTAATTGTAATTCGGTGAAAAGCTGGGCGCGGAATCCGGCTCGAGGAGTATAGTTCCTTGGCACCGCGCTGCCTCAAGAAAGCCACAATCTCACGCAATTTGCAGCAAACAGAGATGTCATAAACACGTTTAAATAATAGTGTTGTTGTCATGATGATGAAAAAGGAAAACCCCCCTATGCCTCCCTCACTAATACAATCATTCCTACCCATCGTCCCCTCTCTCCCTCAATCTTTCCAAGCCAGCCGACGCCGGCTTTTGACTTTCCATCCTGGTATCAAAAAAGGATTTTTCTCGTTGCTCCCCCCGCCTGCCTGATTCTACAATCCCGATTTGGACCAGTAATGGTATCTATAAATGAACACCCCGCCTTTCTTCCAACGTATGCATGACAGTAATGAAATGTTTGTGTGTGTGTGTGTGTGTGTGTGTGTGTTTGCGTGTTTCCCCAAAGTCTCCTCCATTGTGTTTACTGAATCTTGATTGCCTCAAACAATGTGAGACTGAGTGCCGTATCGTTCTCTCCGACGTTGGGTGTCGGCTCGCTGAGCATCTCCCATTTGCGGTAGATGAACGGCGTTAGTTTATCGGTGCCTTGCATCGAAATCGGCATCTTGATTCTCTGCGGCCCGTTTGGCTGTGTAGTAGATTGCTGTCTATGAGCAAGCACGAATTGCTCCGTCGGTGGAGGCATGTGGCTGAATAAGTATCGGAGACGGGCATCTGATGATGCTGGATTCTGCATGGTGCCGCCTGTAAGCAAGACTCGCACGCACTGTAGGCGTATGTCGTCCGGCAAAGTATCAACTAGCAGCAGGGCCAGATCGAAGACCTGTTGGCCAAGCAGTCGTCCGTTCTGAACATCCTGGAATGCTAGGTTGTCCAATTCAAGTGTAAGACCAGACAAAACAATCAGGATTCTCGCACGAATCTCAAAAGCAGCGGCGTTGGCAGGCGGCTTCATGTTGTTGGCGGCCTGGGGTTGAGTCGCTGCTGGCACAGGTTCGTTTGCAGTCGTGTGCAGCGTGATGAATCGCAACAAGGCAGGGAGCCAGTACCTGAGGATTGAAGCGCGCAGGTCTCTCTTGTTGATGTCGTCGGTTGCCAGGAGCTCCCACAGCTCTGCAAGCTTCTCAACCATGCCGGAAGTGAGCTGTGATGTCCGGACAGGCGGACGGCCCCTCAAGATCGCCTCGACTACTGAAAGCAGACTTCCCGCGAGCTGAGTGCTTTCTTGAGAAAGAGGATCCGCAGCAGGCGGGTTCTTGTTTGACGGAAACAGCCCTAGAAATCGCAGATGAGCCTGTTTTTTAAGATGTTCCGTTATGTCCTCGCTCAGGTAAGGTAGCATGCTAGTCCACATAACGTTGTTGGCTGACACAGCGCGATCCATCGCCCTCGAGAACATGTCGAACTGAGTGAGAGCCTGTTCGCCTCCTCCCGGGCTCGTCGTACTATCCGCCGCGAGGCCAACCGACAGCTTGAGCTGGCAGAATGGCAGAGTGAACTCGTTTGCCAGTTCCAAGACCGTCTCGAAAGTTAGTGGTGATTCGTCGCCAGCATCCGGTAGCAACAGTTTGGTCGTAATCTGTGCAAACAAACTTGTCAAAGCAGGCTCTGGGTTCTTGATACCTAGCGCTTGAACCACTGAAGGAGGATCCCGCAAGACCAAGAACTTGAGCAATTGCAGCGCGGTGTCCCTGATTTCAGGGCTCGCGAGTGGCAGCATCGAAAATTCGACCACCCCCTGTAGCCTTGAGAACTCGACGAGAGCATTCCTCACAAGGTAGACTATATCCTTGTGGTTTTGACGCGGTGCCACTCGTTGCTGGATATAGAATCGGTATGTCTCTTCGGGTGTCAATGCAGTCTTGGCGGGAAGGGGCATTGTCGTTAAAGAGAGGACTTCCTGCATGTACGTCGTAGTGTTGTTAGGGGGCATCGATGGGTTCACCGCGATCCTGCCTGCCTCGACTGATGTTGTGGTTAGAATAATGGGCAAGGTAAGACAACCCATGCTGATGAGAAGGGGGTAGATGTTCTCGAGCCCAGGGCGTGTCTTCAACGCGCTTATATGGTGGACCCAGTCAGTCATGCGCACGTCAAAGTGTTGAGCGTCGAATATGCGCAGCCTTCCGAGTAGTGCACTGTAAGCACGTTGTCTGTCCGGTGACTTCAACCAGCAAGATTCCAGCCGTCCGACTACAGTTTGGAAAAGGCGGTCCATGGTGGGCCGATCGACGCTGGTCCCACTCGTCAGAAGCTTCTCAATCTCTTCGTGTAGTTCGCCCTCAGCATCCTGTAGCTGCGCCGTCATGTTATCAGATACGGGCGAGCATGCGTCGATGGGGTTATTGCGATCGCATTGGTGAAGCTGCTGACGCAAGTAGACAGCAGTGTTTGTGTACCCGGGTATCAGAGTCGAAAGATTTGCCAGGGATGCCAAGAGAGGTCGCGCAGCAGGTCCTTGCTCGTCACTAACCGCTTTCAGCCTTTCCATCAGCGCGTCGAATAGTTCCTTGGCCACGCCTAATGCTGCGAAAATCGGGAGGTGAACGTTGAAGGTATCGGCGCAGGAGGCAAGAATCTCGGGGTTGGAAGCCCTTGACACCACCTTGACAATTTCGACGAGAACTGAGTAGTCGGAAGCCGCCTCGAGAACAGCGCGAGCGAAGTTGAACATGGCCGGCGAGATCTGAGGGCCGTTCTTCGTCATAATGATTTCCTTGGTGAATATTTGTAGAAGCCTAGCTCCAACCTCTGTCTGCAACGCGCGGTTGCTGTTGGAAATCAGCCTGCAGAGCTTTCCGACTGGTACGGGCTTCCGCTGAAGCATCGGGTCTCCAGGCGGGAGAGGAAGTCCCATTACATGCTGAATGCATTTGAGAGCTGTGTTGATATCCTCGGCTTCGTCGTTAACGTCGTAGGATGCTCGTCGTAGGAGACTCGCTCGTGTGGCTTGGGCAGATGAATCAAGGGCGTGGAGAGGGAGGTCAACAAGCAGCCTTGTGGCGCAAGGTCCCTCTGCCTCTGTGTCGGCCGGTTGTCTCAGTCCGCCTCGGGCAATGAGCCAGAATATGTACCCCTGAAGTTGGAAGTCTCCCGATCGTACGATTTCCGATACCAGTTGGTGGAAGATTTTCTTCGATCTTGTCTCGGTTGGTGGGCTTGCGCCAAGGAACTCGAGAATAGCTGTCGTCACGTCCACTCCAGCAGCCACCCAAACTCGAAGAAGACTGGCTGTGATGTAGACCTTGGCGTTGCCTGGCCGGTGAGGCGAGGTGCACCACTCCAACAACGTGCGCACTATCATTCCCTTGTCTTCACTAACAGCCCAACACTGCGCGGCGAAGTCGGGGCTGTACAAAGACATGAAGGAAGTGTCGAGATGCTTGACAAGTATTTGTCGGTTTGCCGGCTGGGAGTTGCTGGCTGATGCAACTAGCTGCTCGTTTCTTACATTGATCCACTTGAATGCGGTTTGGGTAAAGTCGTTTTCGATCGGAATAGATGCGAGCAGAGCATCTCTGTGCTTGAACCAAGTCCCAGGAGACACGAAGTTGTCCGAGTAGGCGGATAAGAGGGGAGTAAGTAGAGATGTCAACCTCGTCGATAGTTGGGTGAGGATATCGCGGTCGGGATCGTTATGAATCTGGACAGTCAGTTGCGAACTCCTTGTGGGTCTGGGTTGACATACCGTGTTGAGATGGCTGAGCAGAGCATTCACTAATCGTCGGCCATATCTCCTCAAACGAAGCAAGTCTTTCCAGTAAATTTGTGTTGTTAGAATCCACATGGGTAGCTTTGATTGTGTAGAGTTCTCCAGTCCGGAGACGAGCCAATCCATGTAGTGGTCACGGTCAAGTAGCTGTTCGGCATAGAGGTGTGTCGCGAGTCGGATGCTATAGCAAAGTTAGCTCGCACAGATGGGGCATCGCATGATTCAGACTTACGCATACTGGACCTTGGCTTTCCAGTCGTTATCGCCAAAAGCCGTCGAGACCCCTTCCACAAACTGCTCCACGAAAACCGTCCAGTCTCTGAGCCACTTCGCCTCGCCACCGAGCACAAAGGGTCCCGGGCCGTTTCCCTTTCTCTTAAAGGCTCGTATCTCGTTGGCACCAACGCACTTGACCAGCCAGACTGCCCTTTCTGTCGGCACATTCTTATTGAGACAGTGGTCCAGCAGCACTTTGCCTCTGATACCGTGGGGAATCGTTCGGCTCAGTCGGCGCAACGATATCGAAGGGTTCGCCAAGTCCCTCAGCCACATTTCTCGCTTCGTGTCGGTTAGGGTAACGCGCGGCGGCGGCTTGAAGGTCGAAGGCGACGAGATTTGGCCATTCAGCTTTCTCTGATTAAGCACCCCGATGAAAATATTGGATAGCAAGTTTAGCCCGCTCTTATGCTTGAGGGCGGGAAACAATGCAGCCTTGGCCGACTGTGTCTCGACCGATGCCTGCGGCTGTTTGTCGTAGTATCCATTCTTGATAATCGATTCGGTATACTGGTCTTCGGGGTGGTTTCCGTTCCACGGAAAAAAGTCGGCGTGACCCATGTCTGGAATATCTCGCGCGCCACTGCTTGAACCTCCAAAGCCTGGTTTGGGAGCCGCGTCGGCTCGCGGCTTGCTAAACGGCGCATATCGGGGGGCGATGCTTGGAGTTTCGATGTGGTACGGTTTCGGTCGGCCATCCTTCTTAATTGCAATGACAGGCGTCGGCGCATCTTTGACGGCAGGTGGGACGACGAATCGCGGACGGCGTTTCGGCATAGGCATCGGGGGGTTATCCACATCGACGGGTTGGCCCTTGGCCGAGGCCGGCGAGCTCATATCGGTAAGGTTTGAGGTTTCGTTCTTGGGCATAAGGCGGGAGGGTGTGAGAGTCTTTGGGGACTCGCTGACGGCGTGCTGGGCAAGCATGGCCTCGTTGGACAGCTCCAGCTTGAGGCGAGAGCCTCCTCTCCTCGGCAGCGTGCCATATCTGTTCTGGGCGACGGCGGCATCGTTGGTATCGCCAGTCAGGTCGATGAGGTTATCCTTTCGAACAGGCGACTGGGGTAGGTACTGGGCGGAAAGGGTGCGTTGCTGGGTTGGCCGTTGAACCGACAAGCCCGAGCTGCTCAGTGTTCGCTGCTGGGGCGGTCGCGGCTGGACGCCCATTGGGGTCCTTGAGGTCATCGCAGGCGGAAATTCCGAGGCGACATTGCTATTTTCTCAAGAGCTGATCGGTGTTGTATGCAGTTGAGAGGCGCGATGAAGTCGAAGCGCCGAGGCTGCGATGCCGAGTGCCAACGGGTTGACGATGCTGAAGTGATGTTGGATGGAAGGGGGGAGGAATAATCGGTCGACGGATTGATGTCGGGGATCTGACGGCGTCAGCCGCGCTATCTGTGCAGCGGTCGGGGGTGCAAGAGCGGTTTGCGGATTGGGACTGGATTAGCAGGCAGGGTGCATGCAGCGGTGCAGTGTGCAGGGCCCTTGGCAAGCCTGGTACGGTACGGAGTACAGTGGCGGCGGATTTGCAAAGTGCGGATGGGATATTTCGTACGGCTACGGATACAGAGACGGGGGCGCAGTATCTCCGAAGGTTCCCGCGTATGCCAGATTCGCTGATGTCGGATGACTCGCGACGGCCCGCTGGAAATCCTGCTGTTGGCGTGCGCTGGTTGCTGAGACTGTTGAAGGTTGGAAGAACTTCTATTATTGTGTCGTAACTGTTGATTACGAGTGCAAGGCGAGGAGATAAGTCGTATGGCGGTGGGTGAGTTGCAAAGAGCAACGGTTAAAATCAGGTAATGTGAACAAAGTCAGGAGGCAGGGAGCGGAGAAGCTCGTGGTCCAGGTGAGAGTTAGGTTGTCACCAAAAGAGTCAAGGATGGGAGATAGAACTCCGGTAGGCAGACAGATGGAGAAGAAAACAGAGAGAAGGCGCGCCTGAGAGGCTGTTTGAATGTGACAGCCAGAGTCGCCTCGTACAATGCAGCGCAGCGTGGTGCAGGGGACCATTAGACGACGGCAAAGATGGCTCGGGGTAAGAGTGTGCCTTGGCTCAGCTCAGCCCAGGACTGAGCAGTAAACCCTGAGCAATCACGCAGTAATAGTGAGGACCCGACGAATTCAATCCGACCGAATTCAGGCTAGGGATGGGGAATGGGAATAGTAACTGAAAATGGGAAAGGCAACCACTACAAGCAACCTGACAAACACCCTGTGCGGGTGCTGGGAGACGGAACGGAGAGCGGAGGGTGTGGCGTGTGATACGGGATGAGATGGGAAGTGAAAGGGGGGCGTGAACGGAGAAGGGGTTTGAATGAGTAAGTGAGTGAAAGTGAGTGGTGAGTGGTGAGAGTGAGAAGATAATTAGGTAGCGGAGTGAGTGAAAAGAAGGTGTCGGGTGTGTGAGAGTGTGTGGGCGTCCAGGGAACATCAGCTAAATTGCTTTTAGTCGTGGGGCGGGAGCCGATGGGATCTACGGTTCCAGGGAGCGGGAGTTTTTCTCTCAGTCTGTTGCTTGGAACTGGGACGGCGACTTGGGGGAGTGAGCTTGTTGAATTAGGCGCCTCACTCACACTCTGTGTTTCCGTACGCCCTTGATATTGTGTGAGTGAGTGAGTGAGTGAGAGAGAGTTGTTGAATTGGGACTTTCTCCGAGATGGACGCGATTCACGGACATGTCCAAGTCCATGAGTTGCGCCGAGTTGCGGGAAGCTCCCGATAAGCGCAGGGACTTGTTTGAATCTTTCTGCACATACTTTTTGCACCGATACGGATACACAGTTTTCATGATAGGTAGTAAGAACATTGTCTCTGTGCAAGTTCCAACTTTGCAAACTCGGAAGCCGACCCGGGCTCACCAGGTATTGACTGGGAACATCTGTACGGATACCTAGTCAAGACTTAACAGCCACTTCTCAGACTACAAGACGCAAACAAGTACTAAACAGCAACGTTTCGTTCTTGGCTGAAGAAAAAGAATAGTTTGATGTTTCGGCACAAAGTACGGATACGCGGCAGGCTTTAAGGCGGCAGCTGTAACAGTAAAAAAGACGAGGCTGGGGAGTTCATGTGTTGCAGCGCCAGCAACACAGTAATAAGAGACTGTCGCTTTGGTCTTTTGCCTACTTGCGAACAGTTGCCTGAGACTGGTTGCACGATGAATAATTGGTAACGATGCGATGTAATGAGCTAGGAGTGGAAATCGGAAGCTTCCTGCGAACAAATTATCGACGACCAGGCCAAGGTAGCGCTACACCCGAATGAGCAAGGTCGCTTTTCGATCAGCTGAGGGAAGAAGAACACACACCTCCCCCCCCCCCCCCCCCTTCTGTCTCTTTCTCTCTCTCCTCCAGTCCCCTGATGCCAATGGAACCTCGAAAATCCGCCAGTACAAGGACAACCCCCGTCCACCGCCATGGGGGATTTGTCCGTCTCATTGGTTTGTTCAGCCAATGTCTTACAGCTGATTCGCCCACTCCCACCTCCAAGGCCTCTCTAATGCTTCCGCCCCGGTCTCGTTTCCTTTCGGGTCTTGCTGGGCTTGTTCACTTCCAAAAGGCATGGTCAGCAGCGTACTGAGATGTAAGACAATGATGGATTACAGATACCTCTCGTCATTATCAATATCATCATCATCGTAAGCCCCCTTTTGACGTTTCCAAGCTCCGTATCAGACTTGTATCCTCGCGTATAAACTTTGGCAGTCATCAAAATAACCCGAAGCATGCTAAATTAGACAAGTGTCAGTTCGCAGTCGATGCTGACAAGGGCCGGGCCACCGCTTAGTAAAGACACTCACTCTTCTTCCTACCTGTACGGATACACCACCTTGACTACCTTACCTAAAGTGATGTCTGGATGTACCTGGAGTGGGCAGCACGCAGGAAACCCCGACCGACTAGGGAACCCAAACACCTGGGTGTCCCCTTCGCCCAGGTCCATATCTTGCTTCCTTCGGTGTTCCGTACCGCTGGAATGTCAGAGCTCATCACGCATCACGCATCGCCAGACGGAAGGGCGGAGAGAGGAAGCCGGAATAGGCTGTTGGCAACTTCTTAGCCGCACTCGGCCCAAGAACACAAGACAACAACAGCTGCTCCTATCGCCCGGCCTGGCCTTTACTGCTCTCTTACCCCGTCCAATAGAACCAAACGTCCCTTTCATGGGCAGCTTGTCAGTCCCTGCCTAGTATCTACACTTGGGCAGTTCGAGCTTTCGCAGAGTGGCAGGATGGTATTCGTCTCCGTAACTAACTGCCACTTGCATCTTAGCTGCCACTTTTGGGTGCTTCGCTCCAACGCCACCATCCAACCCAAAATCGACAGGACGACGCATCATCGCCCATATCGACACATTCGCTTCGAGCAGGTCTTGTCTTGCCCTCTGTCTCTTGCATCTGATTTGTCTACAACCCCGTGTGTTTTGTCTCATCCCTTTCCCCACCCCCCTCTCACCGTCCCATCAGCCCGCTCTCCCGACTCCCGAACAGGTGGTGAGGGACAAGAAGAACAGGCCCAACTCTGAAAATAATAGACGATCTGAGCGAGCGGTACTGCTATCCGCAAAGGCGGCCACAGATTCACAGCACCCACCACCCCCGTTGACACAAAGAACCGGCCTACCTCTTCCCGCGTTTCGTCCAGACTCTCCGGTCTCCTGGGACATCTCTCTCAGTCTCTGGTCCTCATAACCCCGGAGCCTTCTCAATCACTGGTTCAACCACTGAGGGAGGGGCTATAGTACCCTTCGGCTTATATCGAACGGCATCCCGGTCGACTGTCCCAACTCTCCTTGGGGTAAACTCCTTCTCCAGGCCCTGGGAAAGTTTGTCTTCGGCCGGCGAACCAAAACGTGCCAAACCACGCCCGCCGGTCTTACTACACCAGACCAGGCACCGGGCCGCCGTGGCACCGCGGCTGCTTGGTTTGCGTTGCGCACGCTGCCCATGTCTTTGATGGCTGAATCGCCGCCAGGTGTCACGCAATCTGCCATCATACTGCATGCGATCCGCCGCTGCAAATCAAGTGGTACCTGGCGGGGGTGGCCACTGAGAAGCCACCGAACACCTGCCCCAACATAAGGAAAACACACGATGCTATCGGCCATCCCCTTCGGCTGACACAATCTGCTCTCGTGTGACCCGGTCACCAATACTCGAGGCATTTTCTCAAGAGGCGTGCGCAATCATACCTGGTCGGGCGCCGTGCCTGACTTGGTTCGGGCTCTTCTGGCGCTGAGTGGACTTTCGCATGTCAAACAGACCCATCAACGATGCCAGCTGGAGGCCTTTCGTTGGCTTTTGTTCTGTGTTCCACCACTCTCCAAGACTCCTCTCTAGCGGCAACCCCGTTTCGTAGAGCCCAACTGGAGCTGTCCGGCCCTTATTCGCCAAACGACATCTATAATCTTAGGCTTCGTGTCGCTGCGACCAAAGCATACGTCTCGACGGCTATTTGGACAAGCACGGGCCACGATGGTCGATATTCAATAGTAGGTAACAGTTCAGCACACGGCATCTCCAGACTCCAAGACCATTCCCCAACAATGCCCAGCCCCAGGCCCTAGAGACGTCGAAACCTTCTTTCGAAAGTTCCAAGCGAGCTCCGAAAGAGAGTCCAGGGCCCTCCTTCCTCTCCTGCAGGCCCCGTGTGGGGGAATAGCTGTGCCTGCAGGGTAAGACGGCCGCGGCCTAGCTGTTATCTCATGCTTTTTGCTGCAGAGGCCCGCATACGGCGATACTTTCCGCGCCAGATAACGGAGGGATTTCGTAAGGGTGCCGTGCAGGCGCGCAAAACAAAATGCTCCGGCAAAGCCATGCTGCGAATGATTGCCACGGAGAAGACGCCGGAGTAATATGCAGCTGCCCTGCCCTTCTCCTTTTTTATCTTCCTTTTGGACCCTCCGTAGGCCGCATCTTCCGAGGCCCCGCAAACTTCGGTCCCCCAAAGTGTCCACGTCCCAGAGTCAGACATTTCGGGATCCTGTCGTATCTCGCCTACGGGGTGTTGGCACACGTTGACAATGTCCAGCGGAGGTTATCCGTACTGCAGTCTGTAACCTTGCCTTTCTCTAATTGCCGGACGTAATAATACTCGTGAAGTCGAATTCGGTAGCGGAACAAACACCATGGCAGGGTTGAGCCCGTCGGCCGGAGCGTCCCCTTTGGCTTTGCACTGGGCAGACGGCGATCGATCCCCAGGTTTAGTATCAGGTTCTGGAAACCCCGGGCACGCGAGTGAGCCTGTCGTTATCGGATTCCGCGTCCCTCGGAATCTCAGCAACTTTGCTTCCCACTGTCAGATCGGTTCGTGGGGCGGCGTTCGGAGGGGCCGCTTGACGGCTCGCGCGCGGACACACACACACCCACCCCGTCCGGGAGAATGAAAAGGAGGGGGGGCGTGGATGCAAGAGAAAACGTGTCGTCGGCTGAGTGTGTGCAAGCGGGGCGGGGCAATCGGCCGGCCTTTCCTTTCCTTTCCTTCCCCAGCTCTTTGGTCCTTGGGGTCGCGTGTATGTCTGCCTGAAGGCTTAGGCACTACATATCTGTTGGAGCTGCAATTGCGGCCCGTCACTCGGGGAGAGCTTCATTCGCGCATCCAGGACGTGGTTACCCAATCGACCCGAATAACCTCCGCCATAACTCCGTCGTTCCACGTCTCCCCCTTTGTACAGCACATCCGTTCGACAGATATAATGGCATCCAAGCGGGATATGCGCCGGCCGGACCTGAGTATGTTGGGCTCCTTGTCCTATCGCGAGTTGCACCCCTTTGCTAACCTCTGCTTCCGCGCAGTCGTCCCCTATCAGGAACCCAAGGCCAAGGGCGACTCCACCGAGCTCTCCTCGACGCTGTCCTCTACCCTGCCAATGGCTGCGATGCTCACGCGCAACAAATTTATCGGATGGTACGATGCATTTCCCGTTCACCTTTAGGGAGATCGAAGCGGTTCTGGCTCTGCTGCAGTGAGCAGTTGCAATACGGGTTTACACGAACATAGGGTTGAAGGTCAGACGTAGCTAACGGGGCAACACAAAACAGGGCTTCCGTTGTCTTCAGCATTCAGACCTGGCTTGGAGAGAGCGAGGAGACCAAGAAGAGCTCCGCGACGCCCGGGTACTTCTCCGTGGGCATGTCAGGTATGTGCTTACCCCTTCGTCGCAATTCCATGAAGCTTGGTCACTGACATTACACAACAGTCATGGCTCTCGCCGTCAGCTACCTGCCCCTCTTCCTCCCTCCTCCCGCTCAAAGAGGAGGCGCCGCGACTGGCACCGGGCCCGCTGCCCCTGTTCCTCCCGCGTAGATACCGGTGTCCACATAACAATCTGGGAAGGGGGTGGTGTAAGAGTGTGTTCAATATCACATATGGCTGCCACATGAGACGAGGCACATGGGCAGTGTCTAGGAGGGCATTTTGACGAGTCGATGATGGCGTCAGGGGGGCAAAGCATGGTGGAAAATTGTAGTATAATACCTCTCTTGGAGAAAACCTAAAAGCGGGCGGAAGAAACGCCACGCGATTGATACTCAAAAAACTTAATAGCATCAAGTTGAACATATCACAAACATAATGCAATACCGTCCTCGTGAGGCCTAGGGGCTCAGATAGTGAGAGGGACGTAATCGCGTTGTGCAATTATTGATGTAAGGGGTGCTTATTTGATGTCGTCATATGGAGCCGACCAATAACCGGCTTTCACTCCGACTGCACTTGTGTATACCTTCACATCCAGCTTTCGACTCACTTCACTTACAACCGCATCATTCGCTTTGTACACGTTCGTATCTCTCTCGGAATTTCGCACGTCGTTTCAGTAGGATCTTTAACATCATCTCCAATAGTGGAAACTCACCAGAGTATAGAGAAGCGCGCAATGGCGTCTTCGATATCCGAGGCCTCGGTCCTCGCTGCCTTTGACGAAAAGGTGCGGGATGGGATTGTGATGTACGCTGAGGATATGGAGAAGATTTATCATGAGGATGGTGGCTTCAAGGTATTGTTCTCTCCTTCTTTACTGAATTTTCACCTTTGTAGTTGGGGCGTAGTTTGAGTGTTTCTTCGCCTCTTTCTTGGGACTTGATGAGGGTGGATCAGATCGGCGGTAATAGCGATTAGGACGGGGAAGAGGAAAAGACTTCACAGCCAAGAGAATTAGGAATTACGAAACAGAACTGACATCCCAACTAGTTCGAGTTCCGTTTGACAGCCGCGCTGAAGAGTAAACCTGCCGCGGTGGAAGACAACGCGGAGCTAGATGACGCGGATGATGAAAAGGGGCCTTCTCAGACAACCTCATCCTCAAACACCACCGCAAACAGCGTCACATCCTCGCACGCCAACACACATGCTGACGACACCAAGCACACCAACAACAAAATCACCCTAGACGAAGAAGGAAACCTCCCCGGAGGCGACATCAGCATCGCAGGCTTCGAGCTCACGACCATCCCCGCCAGCAGCGGCGGAAGGGATGGAGAAGCCACGCATGTGCTCGCCTTCAACAAGTTCTGTGCGTATAGGCCTCATCTGCTCCTCTTGACTGCCGACGGGAGGAGGAGGCAGTTTGAAGGGTTGGATGAGCGAGATCTCGGGGCTGCGGTTGAGGTTTTGGGAGGGTTGAATGGGGGTTGGGGAGGAGAGGTGAAGGGTGTTGGTGGGGAGACGGGACAAGAGTATCTTGTCATCTTCAACTGTGGTAAGGAGGGCGGGTGTAGTCGGTTGCATAAGCATATGCAGGTTATCCCTGCGCCAGATGCGATTCCCATGTGGCCTGACATCGTCGACTCCGGGCCCGAGACGAAGGCGGATGACAGTGGGAAGCAGCAGCAGCAGGAGCCGCCGTTCCGATACTTCATCCACCACTTCACCGGCCCATCACCACCCTCAACAAACGACCTCACAGCAAAATACAAATTCATGCTCCGCCAGGCTACAGACCTTATCCCCGGTCGGGAGAAGGTGGTGGAAGAGGACGGGGATGGAAGGGCCGTGGCGGTGCCGCATAATGTTATCCTTGGGAGACGGTGGATTGTTGTGGTTCCGAGGGTCAAGGCAGGCGTTGACGGGGCGGATGTGAATGCCGTTGGGATGTTGGGTGTTGTTTGGGCTTCGAAGGGCGAGACGGTTGGGAAATGGAGGGAGTTGGGGGCGAGGAGGGTGCTTGCGGAGGTTGGAGCTAGGAAGTGAGGTGATGGTTGAGCTTGTGGTTTGATGGAATGGGAGGTTTGGAGAGAGTTTGGGGTGGGTTGATGGGCTTCAAGTGGACTGTGATGACCGTTAGAGGTTATAGAGAGATCGATAGATAGATAGACGCGAAGTGGCGTGGAGTAGAACTTGGAAGTCAGCAACTATATATAAACGAAGGCTATATTTCATCATATGTCCAGTCCATTCCGAGGCCATACTTTCCAACTTCTTCCAAGATGCTAGGTCGCTTGAGTCGGGAATCGTACGTGTTTTCTTATTATAAGCTATTTTAGACATTACATTCGTCATCATTCAGCGTAAGGCGAGAAAGGCGGCGCATCCAATTGTCGTTGGGACACCTATGTGCCCAACCTCAGTAATCATTCGCAGTAGACCCATACAAGTGCTCTCCCGTTTCAAGAACTTCAATCTCATCGCCGACATAGACATATAACCCCTTTCCCTGCCTCCTGGCCTCATCCAGGTCGTAGTCCTCTGGCACGCAGTGCATTCCGAGGTATCCCAACGCCTTAGGATTCCCCGTCTCAGGGGTGCGGTGTTCAATAAGCGTCGTGCTAGGCTGCGGTTTTCCGTTCTTCTTTTCTGCGGACGATGGGTTCTCCGTGTCAAAGGTTGCCGTTGCGAGGTTGACGTTTGGCATTGTACAGCGTGAGGTTCTACAGACGACGGAGAGTTTTGGTGAGACGTCGGCCCGCGGACTTCTGGTATTTGAGAGATCTCCCTTTGGGATGATGCGGTATCGTTTCCATGTCTCTTCCACGTATGCTGGAGCTCCGGTTACCCATAGGTTTGCGCGGAAGCGGAGGGCGTCGAGGGGTCTGTTCTCAGGCGGCAGCAGCGCGGAGACGGCGTGAACGGACGAAAGACTGTTGAGGTTGACGGGCTGCTGGTCTGTGTATCCGTGGACGGCGGGCGAGCCTATGTAGCTCACAGGAGCGAGGTTGAGCGTCGTCCGGGTCAGTGTATCGGGCGTACAGCGGGTGAGTGTCAGGCCGCGGTTCGGCGGGATGGATAGAAACTTTTTCAGTTTGGGGAGGAGGGTTGTGGCGACGGAGGGGATGCGCGACATGTCTAGGCCGGATGCGTCACGGGCGTGGATGCCAAAGGTTTTGAGGCCGATGTTGTACTCATCTACGAGTGTTGAGGTGGGATTCAGGGGCACGATGAAGGAGACTTGGGGCCTTGCGGAGGGGTTGAAGGGGTCGGAGAGGAAGGTCTCGATGCGTTGGGTCCATGTTGGGGGATCTGGGTCAGAGAATGTTACGAGGACACAGCCGCCGGCTTGGACTAAATGGTCTCGCTTGTCGCTGTTCTTCCGAGGGAGGTAAATTTCGGTCTGGATGTGGCACATGTTTGGCTTCGTGCGCTGGCTGATGAGTTTCCAGGAGACGGAACCCGTTTCCGGGTCGGGCGTCTCGGTAGCGAGGGCGAAGCATCTGTCGTAGGCAAAGCCTGTCTTTGTGAGGAGGGCTCTGTCTACTTCGATGAAGCCGCAGGATTTGATTGGGTGGATGTAGATAGACTTGATGCGGATGGACCCCTTCGTGTCCGATGGTGTGTCTTCTGGCAAGGCATATTTGGGATCGAATTGATCTGCCATATGGCTTTTGTTGCCCGGGACGCCTATGGATTCCAGGTTCCGGAGCTTCCTACGCGTGGACGCAGCGTCGCCATTGTGGAGGATGAAGGCCAAGGTGACGGTGACGGGGAGGAGGAGGGCGATGAGGGCGTAGACAATGGTCGAGGCCCGGAGGTGTTGGAGAGACCCCAGGATCTGGAGGAGCATCGTCTCGAGTTTCCTTCCCTGGAGCGATCCTGGCGGGAAAATCGAGTGGGTTGACGGCTTGTCTTCTAAGGGTAAGATCTAGCGTCGGTTCCGAGCCTCGGAGTGACTTGGAAGTGGGAGATGTGACGTTTAAAATGCCTTTCGGACCGCCCCACTTGTGGGGTCCCCTGCGTTCCCCCGATTGCGACACCGGTCGTTGAGCCGGAGCCGATGCCGACGCCGGTTCCACTTAGGCGTAACTTACCACGTTCGGTGAATCTCAAAGGAAGAGGCGACAGGTTACTGGCTAACACTCAATTATTATGACAAAGAAACAAAGATGTGGTTGGGTTGGAGAAGTTCTTGAATTTTTCAGATTTCATCCTTCCCTTAGAGGTCTAGCTCCCTTCCACCCAGGATGTCAGTTGCAGGGCGCGCTTTACGTGGAGTGCATATGTAGAAATATGGAGGGTTACCCATGCTTTTTTTTTTCCCCCATGGAGTCTAAAGTTCTGAACAACTTTCATTGCCTTAGCCTTTGGAGACGTAGGCCTCGATTGCACCTACCTTTAAGGGAGTAGAAGAGATTGTTGTCATCGCTTGAGTCACACTGTCACTTTACTGCGAGCGTTATTTAATCCTCTTCATTTCCGCTGGTCTTGAGGAGATGATTTCTGTTCAAGATACAAGTGACATTATTCAGACATCGAGATACGCTGTGAACGATGGCTCTAAACTCCGAACCACCGGCGCAAAACGAGGCCTCGTCTGAGGTAGTCCAAGGCATGGCACCGAAGGACGCCAACACCGCCGGAGCCCAAGACTCGAAAGTTGAACAGCATAGCCCAAGCATCGACGATATGGAACCGAATCCAGAGGACGAATACCCTGAGGGCGGTCTGCGAGCTTGGTCCGTCGTGCTGGGCTCATGGTTCGCATCCTTTTCGGCCTTGGGCGTCTCAAACAGCGTCGCAACTATACACGCCTACATCAGCTCCCACCAGCTACAAGGATACAGCGAAGGCACCATCGGTTGGATATTTTCCATGTATATGTTCCTCTGCTTCTTCTGTGGAATCTACATTGGCCCCGTCTTTGACAAGTATGGCCCGAAGTGGTTGATCTTGTCCGGCACCGTCTGTGTCGTGACGGCTCAGATGTTGTTGAGCATTTCTACCCGTGAGTACGCAAAATGTACTGTCCTATGAAACTTGAAGAGACGCAGTCAGCTGACAATGATCGTCGATCAGAGTTCTGGCATTTCATGCTCGCCTTCGGGGTCCTCAACGGCATCGGTGCCTCCCTCCTATTCACACCATCTTTCGCAGCCGTTGGACACTGGTTCTACCACCGTAGAGGACTCGCCACAGGTATAGCTTCTACGGGAGGATGTTTTGGAGGCATCATGTACCCCATGATGCTCCGCGCCTTGTTCGAACGAGCGGGGTGGGCGTGGGCAATCCGGACCGTCGGCTTCATCGTGCTCTTCTTCTGCGGGGCTGCGATACTCCTCATTGACAGACGACTACCCCCCGATCCCAACGCCTCGGTCCATCCCAACGTTCGCATCCTCCGAGATCCGGCTTTTGCGTTGACTACGCTCGGCATCTTCCTTATGGAGTGGTCGATCTTTATTCCTCTTACTTATATCTCGAGCTATGCCATCCACAAGGGCTTCGATATCGACTTTGCCTATCAAATTCCTACGATTTTGAATGCTGGCAGTGTGGCCGGACGTATCTTGGCAGGGTGGTTCGGTGACTTTGCTGGGCCTTTCAACTCCAATATTTTGGCACTCGTGCTGAGCATCATCGCTTGCTTGGCCGTATGGTTACCGGCAGGTTCCTCCATGGCGGGCATCGTCGTCTTCGTGGTACTGTTTGGCTTTGCCAGCGGCAACAACATTAGCATCAGCCCGGTTTGTATTGGAAAACTCTGTAAGACCGAGAGTTATGGGCGGTACTACGCAACGGCGTACACGGCGGCCTCATTTGCCTGCTTGTTTGATGTGCCTGTAGCTGGGGAAATCATTTCGGCGCAAAATGGAGAATATTGGGGGCTGATTTTGTTCACTGGTCTTATCTATGTTCTTTCTCTTTTTTCTTTGATGGGGGCTAAGGTAGCTCGTGTTGGATGGAGAACTTTCGCCATCTTGTAAATAAAGAAGGCCACTGCCTGTGTCAGGCTATCAAGTTCGATGGTTTGTCAAGCACGGTTCAAGCCACTCGATCTTCCGCCATGTTGCCAGATGCATCAGGAGTCAAAACAAACACTGATATTAAAGAAGACGTATTGTTCTTCTGAGTGTTTCGAAAACGTAGCTACATCGCAGACGCAGTCATGTAGAATGTAGAATGTTGAGAGTAAGTACAGTCTATTGCCGTTAAACAGCCTTAAATATCTATAAAAGAAAGTAAGGCTAGTGAAGTATTGCTAGTCCCTTATTTTTTGAGCGCATGAACAGCTGTGTACCATGAATGGCTAAAATATCAACAGATCCAAAGCTAGGGTGGTGTTGCGGTCCCCACAGGATCTACTAGTATCCCACCGCATGAAGGCTTAGCCGCGGCCCGTCTGTTCAAGCTCTTGAGCATGTTGTAGTCTACTTAAACGTAATTTGCGCAGCTGATGGGACCGCGGATATCCATCAGATCAGCAATAGTGACGTTAGGCAGCATTCCAGCAGTCCAAAGGTTGTGGACCATGGTAGTTACGTTGCCGCCGTTCTCGCCATTGTAGTCCAAGAGGTTGGCACCAGGGTACTCGAGGTTGGACATCGTGAGGAAGGCGTCCGAAGCGACCACGGGCCCTCCAATCTCGTTGAGGCGGGTGGTGAGGTTGACGGACTGCCACTCCCACCACAATCGGTCGAGGTTGGTGTGGTGGAGGAAGAACAGGGGGTCACCGGGGCTAGAAACGACATCCAACATCTGGTTGTTGCAAGAGTCAGCCAAGTCACATCAAAATGATGGAAGATGAGATTCTACTTACGGTGCCGCCGACGCCCATGTGGCCGGCAAGATGGGGCGCCGTACCCCAGCAGTTCCACGAGTCAACGTAGGTATCAATGGCCATACATTCGTTAACGTAGGTGCTGTTGGCCTGGTAGAAGCTATCTTGGTCGAGATCGCGGGTCAAGCAGAAGTTCGCATCGCTGCTGGTCTGGTTCAAGTGCATCGTCAAATTCACAAACGGTCCATCAGCAACGCAGCCGTTGTCTCCGTTCTTGAAACTTCCGAATTCGGTCTCGGCATCGAAGACGGTAGACTGGTTCAGGAAACCAGCCTCGGCGTCTTCCAGCTCGTTCCAGTAGGGCTGGCCTCCTTCGTAGCCGCACTCGGTCTGGAGGTAGACTTCATGGACACGCACTGTGACGTTGCTCGTTAGTTCTGGTCCTCAACCATGATAGAGAAATTCGAAGTACTGTAGAGTCTGTGCCAGGGCAGAAATGGGCCGTCGTTGTGAATGACGTTGGCCTGGTAGATATGGGCGTACATCATGTCATCCCAAAGATTCTGCGAGCCAGCGACGCCCGGCTTGGGGGCCTTGTTCATCAAGCAGAGCTCACCATCGATGTAGGCCTTCTTCTCGGTGGTCGTCATGGCAGTCCTGGAATAAGATTTTGATTAGAGAGGCAAGCTGAGAAACCCGAATCAGATCTTACCAACTAAGAATTTCTTTGGTGCAGCGAGGTGCACTCAGGGAATTCCTTGACAGCTGCCCTCGTGGCGCTAGAGTTTGACGAAGGCAGCGAGCTTGCCACGGCCATGGCGGCCGCACAGCCATAAACAAGGAACTTCAAAGAAGAGGAGGACATTTGGCTTCTCTTGTAAGACAACTGATGTGATGAAAGAGTGAACGGATGATATGATGGAGGAGCGAATGTACAGGACGTGGCTCAGTACTTTATGTCTTACTTTCTACCACCATTAAGACCGGCAGCCTACTAGTCTCCCCTTTTCTCAGTGTTTTCTGACTTGACCTGCCTTCAGCCTTTCCATCTCTCTGACTCAAGAGCCGGGTAGAATCTTAGGAGAGGCCATTCCGACCGATACCACCGAGTCTGTTCTCGAAATTAACTCTAGCTGTTGGTAGGCATTGCTTCCTTGAGGCTAGAGGTCACAGAAAGTCTCAGCTTCGTCCCGACGTACGCCACATAACGAAGGGTGTAACTGGGGGTCTCATCAAGGAGGTGGAACGTTTGGATCCTATCGCACGAAGGAAAGCCTTCGTCAGTGTGGGGGGAAGGGAAGTTGACCAAATCGAGCTTGCAATTCCGGTATGCTTACCGATATCTAGGTAAAAGCCGATGTAAGGTACTGAATATTAATAACATCCTCCTACAGGCTCTTGCCCGCGCCCATACAAGAGAACACCTCAGAGAAGTCTTCGATTCTACCCGAGGTATACTCTTCCTCGGTACACCGCACCACGGCTCAGCCTTTGCTGTATGGGCGGAACGACTTGCAAAGTCCGTCGGAGTGCTGAAGCAAGCAAACACTGGAATTATCGGCGTTCTGAGGCCAGAGTCGGAAGTGCTCGCTGAGATCAGGGACAATTTCCACAACATTATGCAGTCGCAGACTGCGGCGGGAGTCTGCACCATCCAGATCACCTGCTTCTACGAGGAACTGCATCTCCCGGGAATTGGATTGGTGAGTTGAACCGGCCAATTGTATTAATGCCTCGACTAAGCTTTTCATTGTTTTCAGGTTGTTCCTCAACACTCAGCCATCTTTCCGGGTAGAGATGCCATTGGAATACATGGAGCCCACCACACCATGGTGAAGTTTGGCAGTTCTCACGATTCTGGATTCATCGACATTTGCGATGAACTTCGAACCTGAATCAAGAAGTATTAAAACAACAAAGCATGGCACCTTTAGTTATTGAGAAGCAAGGGGAGAAGAGCCCGACGGCTTCGGGAGAGAAGACCACATCCAAGTGTACGTAAATTAGCTGGAAGCAAGTATAATGTCAGGTCATACTGATGAACATGACTAGTACTTGTGCCATATGCAAAAAACAAGAGTTTTGTTGAACGGTTCGACGTCTTTGAACGTCTCAAAAGCGAGTTTTGCCATGGTCCCGGGGACGACATCGAAGATGCTAGGTTTCGGGTTTGTCTTTTTGGCCTTGGAGGTATCGGGTACGTTAGAAGAAGCCACTGATGGGGCCTTATTGACTAATTCTGCATAGAAAGACACAAATCGCGATTGCTTATACCTACTGGCTTCGAAAGGCTCATCCTGAAATTTCTGTTTTCTGGGTACACGCCAGTAATTCGAAACGGTTCCGGCAAGCCTTGTCCGAGATTGCGAATGAGTGTCGTATCCCTGGGTGTAGTGATCCCAACGTAGACGTGCTGGCGGTCGTAAAATCCTGGTTTCAGAGACAGTCGACAGTCCCTTGGTTTCTGGTCCTCGATAATTGTGACGACAGCGAGCTGTTTTTCAACGATTCTCCTCGAGCCAACGATACTAGGCTGTGTGACCTTAGATTGGACAGCGAGAATGGGAACTTGGCCCGCTTCATTCCTGACTACGGCAATGGCTCGATCCTCGTGACAACACGAAATAAGCAAGCCGGTTCAAGACTCGTGCCAGGCCAACCTTCACTCAAGGTTGGGCCAATGAACCATGAAGAGGCGGTGCAAATGTTTCGTAAGATATCTGGAGATTCCTTGTTGTCAACGGAGGCAGCTTTCGCCCTTTCAAATCGCCTTGAAAACTTGCCACTGGCTATCGCTCAGGCTGCGGCGTTTATGCAAAAGAATTGCATGAGTATTCATCAATATCTTGGCATTCTGAACAGAGGCGATAACAATGTTGAAGTGCAGCTGCTGAGTGAGAATTTCGGGGCCTTTACCCGGGACACAGACGTTCCACGTGCTGTGATGGCTACATGGACGGTGTCTTTTGAACATATCAAGAAAAGAAACTCGCTTGCGGCCGAGATATTGTCATTGATGGCTTTTTCTGATCGCCTGGTAATTCAGAGACAGTTCATGACTATCTTCATGTACTTGGAGAAGCACCAAAATGAGGAGGAACATAATCATCTGGGTAATTATAACAAGTCTCAACCGCAAGGTGTTGAAGTCAGAAATCACAAAGAGGACTACGGTATCACCAAAAGCATTCGTGATTCAAATGAGCTCCAGAACAATTCCATCTCAGACCTCAGCATCTCCAAAGAAGACCACGTCAGCGAATCCTTCGAAGACACCTATCAAAAGCTACGAATTTATGAACCAGACGAAGCGAGTTCACTTGTTCTTGAAAGGGCTCTTGGAATCCTGAAGGCATTTTCGTTTATCAAGGAAAGTTATAACGAGACCTTGGAAATGCACCGCCTCGTCCAGTTAGCAACCGTCGCATGGCTCACTCGAAAAGGCTTCGCGCACAACTTCGCGGGAAAAGCACTAGCAACGATGGCTGAGTTCTTCTCAGCTTTTTCCAAAAGCAAAGCCATGTCTCACAAGACGATTCCTCATTGCCAAGCTGTACTAGCAGCTGACACTGAGAATACCGCTGCGAACAACTCTTCGACGTTCTCGATCAGACATAGTATGGCGAGATTGTACGGGGAAATGGGCCGATATACGCTCGCACTCAACATGGCTGAGGCATGCTTGGAAACACAAGGACACCAAAAGGAAGAGGCCTCGTTTAAAATAATACGTCTCAAGGCAGGTCTTCTCAAAAACCTGAACCGCCGACAAGAAGCGAAGAAATTGCTTGTTGAACTAGTTGCTATTCAACCGCAGGATAGCTTTACCCTGTTTGACACAGCCTATCTTCTGGCTACGGTATGTCTAGACTTAGGGGACTACAGAGAAGCCAAAGATCTCCTGGTGAACGTAATCAAAGGGCTCGAAGAAAACGATGCTAAGTCTCTGACACAAAAGGCATGCCTAATGGCTCAATTAAGTACGGCGTTTGCGAAATTAGAAAAGACACGTAAGAAGCAACAGATACATGTTTGCAGGCGTTGAATTTGACGAAAGAGGCGTCTGCATCCGGCCCAGCCTTCGATGCAGTTCTTTTCCAGAGGTTGGCACTGATGCTGGCCTCAGAAGGCAAAGTGCAGGAGGCAGAGACAGTTTGTCGTCAGGCTCTAGCCGCCAGATTGGAAAATGCAGAGTCATCCAAGATCAACATCGAAATCTTAGGTACGTTGGCCATTGTCTTAAGCCAACAAGATCGCCTTCAAGAAGCTATCGATACCCAGCGCCACGCTATTAATCTTATTAAGCAATTTGGAAAGCTTGAAAACGAAAAGATGGAGGAAGCCAAGGCACTTGATTGGTTAGGCTTTATACAATACAAGCATGGGTTGCTTGAAGATGCGGAAGCGAATCTGGCCCAAGCACTTTCGTTGTATCAAGGCCTGTTTGGCCACACTGGGAAACGCGTACTCAATTGCATGTACAATCTGGGGCTCGTCAAGTTCGAGCTACATAAATGGGAGGAGTGCAAGATTATCCTAGAGGATGGTTATCAACGCAGCCTCGATGATCTTGGTCCGGAAGATTCAACGACACGTTGTTTCATCGAAGAATTGGAGCTTTTCACGGAAGACTCTCCAGATCCAGACACAGTGAGCAGTGAGACTGAGGATGAAAATCAGGGTATTGAAACTACAGAAGAGTGAACCAATGGGCAATAAAGTAGCAATGCTCGACTTAGCCTACCTGGGGAGTCATTCAACTCGTAAGCCTAACCATCGGAACGGTTGGACAGCGACTACGCGTACCTAGTAGACCATGCATGAGGACCGTGTGATATCTTAAAGATCCACTTATGCATGAAAGTCGAACTTCTGCTGGCGCCCATGCTAAATACTTTTATTTAATCAATACCTCGAATGATAATCTAATTCTTTAAGATAGTGGGGATTAGCGAGTTTTTAATGTTAAGAAGAATCGAATACGTCAGATGTATGGGCTAACGTGAACTCGAATTTCGTAATTTTCTACGGTACTGCAACTTGGAAGAAAGGAACTTTAGTTAATGCCAGTCTCATAAGGACAGAGGAGGGACATCGAGGCTAGAGTAAGGTTGAAGATTCTCGCAATTCCTTCATACGAACATTAGCATACGACCATAACACATAGTCAATCACAACCGTCGACCGTGACCCCTAATCATATGCCTTTCGTTCCAATACAATCGAGAAAGCCAGACAGCACAGTCAAAATGACCGGTTTCTTTACAATCTTGGTCTGACGATCTGTTTTCCCTGAAACCTGGCAGTCATGTGACAGTAAACTTACCCATCACCTGGAGTTGCTGGCGTTGTGCGTCTTCAAGAGTAACGCAGACCAAGGCTGGTGACGTCGTTCCAACTCAGCAGAGAGCACGGCCGAGGAATGAAGTATGACGAATTCTCATACTCACGGCCGCAGGGCGCGTACGTGGCCAATGACTCGATCACATTCCTCGCATAAGCCACCAAACATCATCGACAACGGTTATATCGTCAAGGTTGCATCCTCGTGGTGAAAATTCACCCGTTAGACCCGCCATCTTGTCCCACCCGCCGTTCACCCGCCCTAGCGAGACATTGTGTAACAAGGAGTCGGGACCCTACTCCATCACGACCGTACCGAGACAGAGGGTCTCGGGCAAGACGGCACAGAAATCGACAGGTCAGCAGAGGGGATGGGCCTTTCGCAAGGCTTTTGGGAACACATCTTGACATCCGATGTGGTAGGCTGTCATGACTGTGTACGTGCCTGTATCGTCTTGATGAAATCCCTTCATCCGGAAGACGTCCGGAAGGGAGATTTTCGTTGTTTCCGCGAACTCACGGACGATCTGGTGGTATTCAAGGCCCCCTCAGGTGAGCAGACGTTTGTATACGGCATGAAGAAAAATGCGCGGAAGATACATCAGTTTTCTCCCGGCGCGTATCAAAAGATCAGCGCAGAACAGGCGGACCCACGGAACGGAGCGGCAGAGCCGCATCGCAGGAGGGGACACGGGTGACGGAGCACAAGAGAGTCAGCCAGACATTGTCATCCATCCATTCACGGAGGGAGAGTAGAGAATCGTCCAGTATCTGGCTCGTGTGTGGAAAGTCCTGCAAGAAAGGGGAGAGATGGTGAGGGGTCGAGGGCAAGCACGACGGTTTGTGACTTGCATTGCCGCTTCAGCTGAACTCGTCGACGACGGGAGAGTTTCTCTCCCCCTTTCAGCATTGTGCTTTGAAGACAGGGTATGTCCCGGTAGATGTTGCCCGGCAATTGGATCCCGTTGGAGGCCGATGAGGACGAGCGCGACTTACATTAGCGGGATGGTGCATTATCTGCGTTTATCGTGGGCCACTGCAGTCAGGACTGCATTCCAAGGGCACTGCGGCCTGCCGCTTACCTGACAGCAAGAAGAAGCTAGTGGTGCAAGTCCACTTGTGAGAGGCCCGTCAGCCACGTTTCGAGGGTTCGTCACGATGCATCAAATGCCGGCACGACGGTATCTTGTGCCTGTATCCATGGTTGCGATTCACCCAAGCCCCCTTGGATCAGGTAGATCCTCCTCGTCCAGACATGTCCGCCACGCGTCCAACTTCCCAAGGACGCCGCGCCCAGCGCCGAGCCCCCCGTCAAGTCTGGAAAGTCGAGTCGGCTGGGCTGGGCATCCAGTAAACTGAAAGGGACGGGAAAATGGTCTGAAGTTGGCGCCGCGCCCAGAGATGGCCAGTGATCCGCGAACGACACTGGCCCCCAAGGCAGGACTTTGAGAGAAAAGTCGCCAGATCACCATCAGGGATCATGTCGATGAATCGCTGACGGGCACGACGGAGTGGGATTGTGGACTGATGATGCCCAGGAGGGGGGGCTGATGAGTGTCAATGCAAATGGGATCTCCCAAACCAAAATCCCCGAATCCATGTTAAGGGGGGAAGTTTTTCAGTTCCTAGTTCCTGTGGCTTTCCCATCGAGACTGAGATGCTGGAAGCTGGGCCTGGAATCCTGGAAACCCAAACCACCAAAGTGACAGCGAAGCCCCTGGTCCAGCCAGGTACGCCGTCACGGCCGTCAAGTGCGCCATGTGCGTTGGAGTTGCGACAGCCAGGTTTTACCTTGTCGTTGCTGTCTCGGGTTGTCGTTGGAGGGTTGCTATCTTTCATTAAGTAAGCAGGCACGGCAGGTAAGCAGTTAAGCCAGGAGGAACCCGCCAGTCAGGCACACTAACAATTACCTCCTGCCCGTGGCGCAAGCCTCCTTGTCGTGCTTGCCCTCTCGTGGTGCCTCCTTCCTCCAGGACTGATTGATAACGTGACCTCCTACGCTCGCTCCTTCCCCTTCCTCCCATCTCTGACCAATGAAGTACCCCATCGCTCTTTCCCCTTGCATCCCTCGGTCCCATCCGTGACATGCAGCCCCACCAAGCGTCTTTCCCCACCACAGAACGGCGAACCCGCCCATCTGAGTGGCCCCTGGTGACTCTGTGGCGCGGCTTAGAATCCGGGCGTGTCGCATGTCCCCTCCAAGTCCATCCATCCCGGCCAATCACACCCAATTATCTGCGAAAGAAGAGTCAGGGGTTCAGGCACCGAATTGCCGTTCCTTCTCCCACCCAACCGATCCCCGCTGCCATTCCAGAAAGTCTGGAGCCCACCGCTAACGGCTCTGCGTTTTTTCACGACCATCGTATCTGAACTTTCACAGTCGACATATCATCGCCTCAACTGTCCAATAGAATCGATTATTCCCCCCTTGCTTTAATCGCACAACCTTAATTCCTTGGCCCTGCTCGGTTTTGGCGGCTGGGCTCTCTGGAGACCTTTCACGCAATCCAGCCTCTGACGATCCGTCCTGAGCCCTCCCCCTCCTGACGCTGGCCTGGTTGTCCTAGTCTCGGTCTGCTGGCGGCGGCTTCGGCGGTTGAGGTTGTGCAGTCCGCGCTGTGCATTAGGTTATTATTCTCCGAGCGCTGGTCCGCAGCCACACGGCACAGAGACAGCAACGGTGGGAATGAAAACACTGTGAGATGTATGTCGACTCACCAACATTCGACCATAAGCGTCAAAAACTCCATCACGAACCATCTTGACCACCTCCCAAGACCTCTTGTGAAATGAACCGACCATCCCCCCCCTCAAGGAGCAAATCAAAACCGACTCACCACATGACCACACTCATTAAGCCAACTCTCACCGCAACCGCGCACCGCCGCAATGGGTTTCAACCCTGAAACTCCACCCGCTCATCTCGGTCCTCCATCCCCAAAGGGGGCACCCTTCCCCCCTGTACTCAAGCTCTCGAGGTCGAGCATGCCCTGTCCCTCGAATGCTTAGCATCAATAGTCAAAAGATGTTCCCACTCAAAGAAGGCTTGGGTACGGGTCCAGAGACGCAGCTGGGCCTCGTCTCCGACACCATCTTTTGCCCCTCTCTGTCCCAGTCTCCCTCCCTGCCTTTTGTGCGTACGAGGTCAAGAACTGAGGTACTCGCGCCTACCTAGCAATACCACCCCTGTCGAGACGAGTTTCGTCACAGCCCATCATCGTCCGATATCACAAAACCCGTGTCCCTCTTTTTTCTTCCTCGCCTTCTCTTACCATCTCAACTCCTCGTCTCACGATCACCAACCAAGTACACCTCCCATACCTATACCACCAAACAACCGCCAATACCATACAACGAACCCACGGCCTCAAGCAAGACGCACCCAACGCACGAACCCGCACACGCACGCCAAGAGATCTGCACGCTCATACACACCTTTTCGGTCATTCTCTCTTAACACACCGACATCCCACACATTCTTCCTCCCAAAATCTAATCCTTTCTACACACCATCACCTACATCACACCTCTTCCGTGTGTTGCTCGTATCCCGGACAGCAGAAGCTGCACCTCGCCTCTCTCTTTTTACCTACCGAGCGCCCGCCCGCACTCGTGTTTGCTAGTCCAGCTGGTCTGATCCAAAAACTTTGCCTTCGCTATACATATTTTTTCTGCCGACCTGCCGGCACACACTTCCTCAGCGCCACTCTTTCATCAACCAAGACGACTCGTCGCTAGCTCGACGTCCGTAACAACAACAACTCCACGATCACTCGGAGAATAGGAGGATTCAGGAAATCAAAAGGGAATAAGAAAAACAAGAAAGCGGGATACCAGAAAGAGAGTGGAATTTGGGAAACGCCAACCAAACCCGGTCCGATTCGCGCGAACGCAAAGGCAGCTATCTTGAGCCGCCTTCTTTTTTGTTTAATACGCCCTCTCCTCGAACACCAGCAACCGACGACAAGATGAAGGTCTCACTCGCGATCCTGACGACGCTGTGCGCGTCACTCGCCTCCGCAGGCGTGGTCATCACCCCCGTCCGTCAAAATCAGATTGTGCCTGCGGCACAAAAGGTCTCGGGCGACTGCTTCTTCGGCGTTGTGACGCCTCAAGGTTGCGCGTAAGTCTTCAGTCTCAAGGATCTTGACAGAATTCATAGCTAACATGATATATTAGTCCTTTGAGAACGTGAGCCTGGCTTTACCATGCAAAGCGTCGAACGTATCATCATGAGCGATGAGAGGAAACGGCGGGAAAGAGACAGGCCGGAGCTCGTCGGAAGCAAATCAACCCCAACGCAAGTTGCTGCCTCACTATTCACGCCAATCTGGGCGGGCTTTTGAGCATCCTTTGCTCCGACGATTCCGATGAACCGCCTCACTCCCGACCACGCCTCTCTTTTCTCTACGGCCAATATCCACACGAAGGAGAGGACCACGACGCCATAGGGCCCGTAGTCTGTACCATTAACGACTTATTACATATGTGACCGGTTCACAACAAAGCATCCATCAGCATCAGCGGTTTTTTTTTCCAGGCGGAAACTATTTGGGCATTTTCATCAAAACGACGATGACTGACGACATGAGCGAGTGAGAGACTCGGTGGCAGAGACACAGGAGGACGTCGTCAGTGGACCTTACAGAGGAGGATTATGGTCACCCCCAAAACTAATGTTGGCATCCAAGACTTTGCGTCTGTTTGTTTTGCTCGTATTGTGGTTGTGCTTCCCCTACGGACCTCCGCCGGGTGGAAGCGCCGTCAGCACAGCAGCAGCAGCGCAGTCTTGGCATCTTCTTCACCAAATTTCTCTTCTTACTCCCCCTCCAATTTTTTACCATATACTAGATCACCCTTTTCTCACTACAAAGAATTTCAAAAAATATTGGATATTATCCCCCGTTCCCCCTTCGTTGATGCGACTAACCAAACTGCCTGGGACTGTCAACTAACCTAGAAGCTCACCCCCACCAACAATACACCAATGAATCTAAGCGAACATGGATGATACTCACGCCAGACAAGCCATGGCGCCCATCAAACAACAGCAAACCGGAGGCGTTACGCCACTCTACAACAACAGCAACGACCTCCCGGGTCCCTAAATCCCCCCTTCCTTCTCACCCCGACGAAAAACACGACTTGCAACGACGTCCATCCACCCCTGTCAGGTCCCCTCACGTCCATCACGGCATAGACGTTTTAGACTTCCGCGTGCCTGAAATGCAAAAACCCCAAGCCGCAAAAGCTGATACGCGAAACCACCTCAGATTCTCAGAATCCGAGACCAAATCCCCAATCCCCCGCCCGTGCCTCGGTTTCGTCCCGACTTGGCCGTGTTCCAGATCCCCCAATCCGTCACTCCCCCCCCCTCTTTGTCTCTAGGTACCGAATAGTCTTCCCCCGAATGCTCCACCCAGCCAGCGGCAACCGTTGTAACCTTCCGCACCTTAATGCCCACGGAATACCTTACCCTACCTTGGCCTCTACTGCGGCACTGTGGTACCATGCCAATACGTGAGCCGCAAAAACCTTAACTTCTCAACTCAAAAAGTCCAAACTCAACCACTCACCACCTCGCACCCTCGAGCACCCACACAGACGGGCACGGAGAAAACGTACCGTAACTCGCCCTTTTTTCACCGAGAGCTTGGCTTACGTATCTGCGTCTATGTGCGCGTACCTGGTTGTCTACCTGGATACCTGGGCCTCGTGCTCTCTCTTGTCCCCCTCGGTCCCGAGACGACTCGACACCCACACAACCATTTGCCCACGCGTCAGATGCGCAGAAAATAGAAACATGCCCTCCCGATCGAGGCCTTTCATTCGCTTGTCACACTTCTTTGGGATTTTATTTCATCGACTACCAGATGAGGAAGCAAAGTGTAAAAAATGAATTTCGTTTCTTAGAGTATCATGGTTTCTGTCAGTCTCCCGTCAACGAAACAAACGCCGCCCATACCATCTGAAATGCCTCTCTCACAGTCTGATACTAAAGAATCCTCCACATCCCATGTAATCAAGTGAAGCAGTAGCCGCCGTCACTCAACATCTGAGGGGGTACTTGGCGACACGGTCGGCCTCCATTGCACCCCAGTGAGTCTCGGGTGCATCGCTGCCATCCTCGCCAATGGCATGCGGCTTCCATGGCTCATCAAAGGCCTCGAAGAAGAACACATTGAAACCCCAGTTGACCATACCGCAGACACCAGAGTCGTAGAAAGCCTGAGCGTTGTCCTGTCCCGGGATCGCCTGCTGGTACTTCGCACCTTCACTGGGCCAACCTAATTTCAGTCGAACATGTCAGCAATCTGTTGACGATGACCGTGTACAATCATTTGGTATGGCGATCAGTGCTCAGAATGCATGACACAAGCGATGAAGATGAACAAGAAAGCAACCACCAAGATCGGAGTGATGAGTAAAGAAATCCGACTTACCCGTTTCGCCAACCCACAGCTCAGGCTTGTTGAGCGACCCGTTAACGCTCTGGATGCGTCCAAACGCCTGCATGATGGAGTCGAAGAAGCAGGCAGTGGCATTGTCGCGCGTTTGACCCTGCCAGTAGGAAAAGGCATTGGTGAGGAGAATGTCGGCGTTCTTGATGACGGCATCGGCCGTGCCGTCCTGGTACTTATTCCAGCTGTCTGCGGTGCCGATCTTGAAGAGCGGCGCCGCCTTCTTCATGTCCTTGATTTTGTCCGCCAGTTCGGCGCCGGTGAAGTTGCCGCGGTACATGGACTCGGATCCGACAGTGATGGCGTAGACTTGATCCTCGTAACCGGGGGTGTGCTTCAGGATAGCGGCCTTGTCGGCGGCGTACGACTCTTCGGTATCGGGCCTGTTCGAGTCAGCGGGTACACTTCCCCATTTAAACTTCACTCGATTTGGGGTAAAGTGAAGTATATCGCCGGACAACGTTGGCTTACCAAATGCCCAGGATCACCTGGAATTCCTCCTTCTTGGCCGCAGGAAGAATGTACTGAGCTGTGTTGCACTGGTCGGCAGCATATATGCGGACGATGCTGCTTCCCGAAGCATCTCGGATGGCTCTGAAGTCCGCTTCGTAGTCTGCCTGATATTTGCACTGCCCGTCAGGCTGCTTCGAACCGAGAGCGAAGCCCAGAGATCCGGATGCGAGGGCCAGGCCAGGGGCAGCGGCCAGAAAAGCTGCAACGACTGAGGAGTAGAGCATATTGGCGGTCGGTCTTTTGGTGCTTGCGTCCGAGGTGGTGATAGGTGTAGCCGCGACAGAGGTCTAGCAAGAATAAAGAGATAGGAAGAGGATAGGGACGTTGGTAGGTGTCAAAGGGTGATGCAAGAAAAAGATGACTTGGTCAATCAGTAAAAAAAGAATGGTGGACGGATGAAAAGAGGGAGCCAGAGATCCACATGCGTCTGCAATTGATTCTTGTCAATTGTGACTCTTGAAAGGCAAGTGAGGGTATTCACCACCACTTTGGGAAGGAGGCTTCCTGCCAAATGCTGCATGTCCAGATTGGGCAAGAACGAGATGCAGACAGGGTCCAACCTTGACATCCCGCACCTCCCTCACAACTCGGGACGAACCAGCAGTTTACAAAAATGCATTGATCACCTTTCCTTGCTGGAACTATATAATTCTGTCAGATCTTGGCAGCTTTGCGATCGTTGTCGTTCCTGACAATGTTGGCACCCGTGTTCCCCGAATAATACCGCAACCTCGGACATTATTGCTGTCATGGAAATGCCTTCAATCACGTTTCCATAGGGCCCCTTTCTGCCTTCCTTCTTTTTGCTCGTCGAGATCGCTGGTGACAGATCCTACCTAAACTAACTATACCAACACCACTTGCTGTCATCTACAGTGCCACCCACTCATGCAGAGATGTATCCAGCCCTTCGTTACCTCGAATTCAGCCTCCAGCACATTCTACAAATCACATCATAGTTGGGGAACACAAATGTCGTGAAATAATCTGAAAACCCCTAGTGGGTTTCAATTGTTCATTAATCAATAACAGAAACTATGTAGTCCCGTGGCCAGGGAAAGAGGGTATAAAGCGATCCGCCATGTACAGGAGGCTCGATTCGTCGTCGTCTATTCGCCAATGCGGGAACCATCTGGTCCCGCCCCAACTCCCGATTCATGCAGTGATATTCAGCCGTTCAATTACGTATGCGGATTTAAAGGAAGGACATGAGAGCCTGTACACCAACCAAAGCACCGGCTGCAAGCCAGAGGTTGATAGACGTTGAGCGACCAGCAGCGTTGCCAGTGCCAGTGCCAGTCGGACTGCTACCACTGGGGGTTGTGGAGGTAGAACACTCGCCAGTGAACTTTGCCGCCGCATTTGCGCCCAGGGGAATCTTCTGAAGGTTCGAACCACAGTTGTTGTAGGGGGCAAAGTGGAGGGCGGGTGTCTCCTGGTCGAAAACGACATAGGTCGAGCGGAGGAACGAGTCACCAAGCAAGTACGAGCCGTCGGTCGCCTTGTCCGCTCCGAGGACACATTGGCTGTTGCCGACGTTCCAGATGAACTCCTGGATAGGCACCTTCATGGTATAGTCGCCAAACTTGAAGTCGATGGTGCCTGTGGTGCTGCATGGAACCACATACATGTTAACGGATGAGTCAAGCTTGCCCCCCAGGTCAGCTCCGAGCGAGTCGACCACAGCTGAAGGCAGATAGCTCAGGGTGGCGCCAGTGTCGAAGAAGACGGGGAATTGCGAGTTGGAGTATGTCTTGGAATTGCTTCCCGACACGCTCAAGCCAACAGAGTCAAGCTGGACCCAGTACCTAGCAGACTTGTTAGTCATTGTCACAAAGGTAGGGGAACTCAACTTCTCACCTCCACAAGTTCTCATTGTTCTGGGGACCAAGGATCGGCGCCGAGTGCAGGTTGCCACTGAACTTCTTCGTGTCGACTCCGCCAAAGGAGATGAGACCACTACCCGTCTTCTCATCCTTGGTACCGAGCGCAATGCCAATAGTAAGAGACTCGACAATGTTCTGAGCCTTCATCTCATCAAGAACGGTCGGATAACCGGTGTTGTTCTTCGCCTCGCCGAAACTAAGACCGAGGATACCTCTATTGAGGTCAACACTGTCAGTGGCGTAGCCAAAGATTGTGTCTCTAAGCGCGATGTCTATAGAATGCGATTAGTGGAGGTGGTCAGACCAGAAGGAAGGTAGGTAGCACATACCGCTGCCGGGAAGCGTGATGTTATCGCTGACATATTGCAGAACGACCTCTCCCTTGCCATACTTTATACGGCCCGTCTGTTCATAAACGGACGAAGTCGAAGAGTCTCGGGGGTCGTACTGGCCATCAGCTCTGCAAGATTGTGTCTGTGCGGTGCTGCCAGCGTTGGCGCAGTTGGGGTTGACCCAGAGTTCGGAGGAACCAGTATCAATGGCAACCTTTGTGTCCTGACCGGGTGTACCAATGTTCACTATGAACAATAATTAGCAACGGTGATTGGCGTACAAACGCCTGGAGTAGTGCATACGCTCAATCAAGTACGTAGTTGTCGTCACATTGAGGACTGGGGCGTCTGTGTCCGAGACCTGTCTTCTGCGCAGCTTCTCCAAAGGGTGCAGTCTGACGTCTTGGTAGATGGGCAAAGAAATGGAACCGACACCGCTGGAGGACTGTGTGTCATCGCGACGAGCCGATAGCGCGGATGCGCTTGCCGCGAGGGCGGCAAGAGGCAGGTTGCGAGCGACCATGATGATATTCGGGTTCTATTTGGGTTTCAGAGTTCCGGATGGATGTTGTCGGAGTGGTGTATGTCTAGCAGTGTGACGTTGAGGACGATGTCTAAGAAATGCCGGCGAAAGTTTGTCGATGCAGATATGCAAATGCAGGATTCCAAGCCACGAGAACCGAATTCGATAGAGCTCCCAAAAAACACGAAAAGCTGATGACGGGGGAGACTATGACGGCGACTGGGGGGAGGCCAAAGAAAAGAAGTGGGATCGCAATGCTTTTAAGGACCGAGGGTGGTGGTGCCTTGGCAGATTGGTTGCCCAGACTCGTAGCGTGGATTGGGAAAGGAGAGGCCAAGGAAGGCGTGGAGTACGCGAGCTGTGTTTGTCTAGGCGCCTGCATCACCGAGAGAGACCGCCCTCGGGCAGGGAAGAAGGCACAGAGGGCTACCGACCGGGGGGAGCAGTACCTTGGTGAATGCAGGTGCGTTGGTGACCTCACTGAATTGGGCAAGGAAGGCACGGGAGAGTGGTACTGCACTGCGCTGCACTGTGTGGGCGTGTTGCCATCATTGCTGACCACGTACTTTCTAGGTGGTGGGGCCTGCGAAAGAGTACCTTTAAATCCGTCCAAAGCTGGCGCGAGAAGGAGCTTTCTTGAGGCTGAGCTCAGCCGAACTCTGCTGAGATACTGAGACCGCCGGCAGGCTCAGCAGGCATTGCCAAGCTCACACGCCAGGCAACTGCCAGCCACACGCAGCTTCGATTCGTCGGACCCAGGGGAACTATGGGGACCTGCTTCCACTCAGTCCCTTTGATTGGTCTTAATTTCCAGATGATGGGTAGAAGCAGCAAGCCCAGTCCCTGAATATCGCTCCTTCTTTCCTTCCCAGGATTGGAAATCCCAAGGGTTTGGCAACAATTGACTATTAGCCACAAAATGGGAAGAGCAAGAAGCGACAGCCCTTTTCGGGCAGCGCCTGCATCATCCCCCGCGAAAGCAATGACCGACGACCGGGATGTCGCCAGCATTATCCGCACTCTATTGAGGCAGGTTCACCCTCTTTACTCTCTGCCTGCACAGGCACTTCACATAATCGAAGTATGACCTACTCATCGTCACCACTGCTTAGATCATTGACCATGACAGATAATGCTTCTCGCGAGACACCAGCAGAGGATCCAGGCGACGCTTCCGATTACAAACAGGCGCGAGCAAGCAGCCTAGACGTGGCAACGGAAGCAACGGCCATGCACAGCCCCCTCGAGGAAGGCACCGGCTTTCGGCACGACTACATTGAAGCTCCCGGTGGATGGATGACTGACCATTGAATGCCCCAATGCACAGCACAAACCTTGGCCCCATTCCCATAGCTGTCCTGCCTCTGCCTGAGTATGCTCAGCGTGTCAGAGGAATACTGGCCCCCGTCAAACAGTTCCTTTTGCTAACCATCGATTGGTGTTTGGCCTCTCTCAGCTGCCACCACTACAGCGCTCCCATCGATACACGTGTGGCTGGTCCACCATCAGCACGCCCAGCCTCTTCCTGACTGGACGTCGTGGCGGGAGGATTACGACGACCTTCACACACCCTCTCTTTACAGCAACCGCCTTCGACCCTCTTTTTTTGGAAACTCGCTTGTAAAACCATATTTCGAGGCCGAGGCCAAGAGCTGGACGCTGTCGCGCAATTCACACCAACATTCTTGCTTTCATCGGTTTACACAGGCCGTCCTGGGGCCCGTCCGCGCCGTCACCTCATCTCTCCCCGCAGTCCCTCACCAACGTATCCGAACGAGTATGTAAATTCAGAGGGTTCCCTTGGCATCTCTTTTCTCGAAACTGCGCAAAGGCCATGGCAACTACGTAGTATGCCGCCACGCCGCTATCCGTCTCGGCCGATTTACCAGTCGCTAGTCTGCGGGAACCACATGCACATTTGTCTTTGACATCAACACCGTCCAAGGCTCGGCCGCTGTTCATCAGTCTTGGCTGTCGTGACATCGAAGCAAACGACCTCTGTTGGCTTGCAGTGGCACACCTCCTCACCCTTGGGAGCTGCAGCCTTCGTCGGGATTCAACCGGGCAATAGAGGAATGAGGTGATCGACATCGTTACAAGGACTTGAAGCCAGCCTGCCACCGCGACTCGGACAAGCCTCCATCCGCCGCCCCTCAAGCCACCGCGCTGTCTCTCACTAGCGTAGGCGGTTTCCGCCGGCAAGCCAATCGATGACGCTCAAAAACTGAAGAGAAAATGGACGAGACCACAAGCTCTGCCCACGCTATTGCTACCACGATGCCGGACACAAATCTTGGCACCCGTGGTTTATTGATTTTCCAATAGTCTTGCACTTCACTCACCGGGCCACCGCGTGACTCTCCGTCTCAGCGCATCCGATGCCAGAGCCCGATCGTTAAGCTGCAGGGGCGCAGATCTCCCTCGGAATGGAACCCGCTGTGGAGAAACAAAAGAGTCCGATTTTCCCAGCCCCATCATGGCTTGCCTGGCCTGCTCTGCTGATTCGGCACCGCAAACAAACACAAAGCGGGAACTGCTCGACCCAGGAGGCTTTCGGGCCTTCGGCTTCCCCATCTTCACGGAATCATGCTTCTTTCACTCGCGCGGACCCATTCCGACCCTACAGCAGAACCTGGCACTGTACGCTTATTCGGGATTCTCGGGCACCAGGCCCCAGTTAGTTTCTTCGCACTAGCTCTCAGCCCTGAGGCATAACTGCCAGATACGAACGAGTTAAATGATTACCTTTCCAGATCCACCAAGATTGTGGTTACGCCGTGCAGCTAGCTGAGTTCTAGTGAGACCGCCAGGCAGACTACGACAGCCTCATCCGCTATCCTCCCGCACCTTGATGCACTTCGCAGGCTTCTTTGCGGTAACTCCGCACCGTTCTGTCCCTTGTGTCCATACTTGAGCAAAATCTGCTAGCTGATTGCACGAGTAAGGTCGAGTGGAAAGCAAATCACTGTCTTGACTGAGTGATTGTCTTTCCTACAGCCAGCATGGCCCCTCACAATCCCTCACCCGGTTTAGACCTCAAAGTCTATCCCAGATCTACAACCGGACCCCGGAATTCATGGCTGACAGATATTTTGTTTAACCTTAATTGTGACATTGTCACACCCGCAACCTGTCGCAAGCGTATTCCTCCGTCTTTCCATTCTTGTTCGGGTCTGGTGTCACCAACTTTGCCTTCTCGGGTACCTCGACTTGGCATTTGTTCTCTTCGGCTTTCAGCCGCAGCAGCCTGACGGCAGGATAATTCTTTTGACCTTACAGAACCTTGCTCCGGGGCCTCTGCAGCTCCGTATCCGTCAACACTACGCAGAGTCTTGTGCTAGTGAACCCGTCTATTCACTACATCGCAGTGGGAGGTGAAGTGCGAGAAGGTCATCGGCCAAAAGTGTCTCACTGAAATGGCACAAGAGGAACCCCTCGTCAAAGACCGTTGCAACCCCATTCACCCGCAAATACGCCACTCGGCTCGTTGCAACGGCTGAAGCTAGGATGTCTCGCAAGGGAATTAACCAGGCTAGCTTCTCTTGTTGGAACATTCAGCTGCCCCTCATTCCAGTCTGCCAGAGAATTGCTGCGCCGAAGCCACCAATGTGGAAATATTTGTGCCACGGCCCTGTAATACCCCATAGCTCGTGGTCTACGCCCGAGATAATGGCTTCCGATGCGTGTTGCCACACCCTTGATAGCTCAATAATTGAGGCGAACGTCGATTGGCGATTTCAAGAGGTGGTAAGATATTTTTCGGGTCTCGACCATATCTTCTCCTCTTCTTAGTGATCGTGATCCTGTTCCCTCTCTTCCCCTCTATCACTCCCAAGGTAGGCAGGCTATCACGTGATTATGTTGCTGTTCGCGCCGCAACTACTGATACTCGGTCAACTCGTAGTAACGTCTGTGACGGACCCTGTACTGATGTCTTGTTCTGCTGTCATCACATTCAGCCAATCGCCATTGCATATAACTAAATCTCCGCAAGACACCTCTACTCGTCGCCAAAGGACGTATTCACAACAACAGAAGCATCCAGGACAGCCCACTACTGCACAAATCTCCCCCTCAGGGTCTAACGAGGTAAATCCTTCGATATCAGGTCTTCGTCAGACGCTTGCAGGCGTTAGTAAGCGCCTGAATCATCGCGGGAGACTGGTGTTCAGACCTTCCAGCTCCTGTTCATTTCTAAATGGTCTCCTTCCGTCGTCAAGACTGATTCGGCTTCTAGGTAAGATTAACGCAATCTAGCTAACGTTACAGCCCTTCCCACGGCCCAGCAATGAAGCCCCTTCTTGCGGAGTGTGCATCTCCTTCGTTGGCCTCGTTGGTTCTGGTGAAGCTCTCGGTACGCCTGATCATGTCCCTCGGGCTTCATCTTGTGGTAAGAGCTGCTTGTAGGTGCGAATCGCTGCCCTCCGACTTGCTGGAGGGTTCATCTGATGTGCTACGTGAAAGGCTACCTGAGATTGAGGAGGCAGATGTATCATAGGAGAACGTTTTGGTTAAAAGCTATGAGGGCCCAGCTGCGATTTGTACTGGTATTTTGAAAGTATGGATCGTAGATTGCGAGCCTTTTCAGCAACTTTCTGGTCACTTTCGAGATGGATTGCGTTCATTTTACAATAGCGCCTCTTAACGCTGTCTTTCTCTGTTAAAATTTAAGAAGGAATAGTCTCGGAACGTTTCGATTAGAAAGAAAACACGTGCAGACTATCACGACGAGGGGGCCAACATCACGATATCCTCGTCTAACGGTACAGAGTCCATTTACTTACCTTATATAAAGAAAGAAGAAGCCAGTATCGGAACAGATGTGAGCCGAGGGATGGACTCTGTTATAGTTTCCAGGCTACTGGAATAGTTTTATGTAATCCAACGATCTGGTCAGAAGGGCCAAATCACTATTTTCTCTTAGGCCATTCCCACTACGGTAATACATATTACCAACAATTACATAAGTCGTTACGGATATTCATGGCCGCTAGGTAAATTAGACCACCATACATTAAGCGACAGTCCATCTCGGTGAGTTCCCAGCGCGTTGTCCAGTTGGTACCAAAGGTGGCACCGGACAAAGTCGCGTGCATCGTGTCCGCTCGAGCTCTAGTCTGAGAGGCAGAAATTGAGTGCAAGCAGGCTATTCAACAGACAGACCGAGATCGACGCGTGGCAGTGGTTGAAGAACCTTTCGCTTAGGATGATTTATTTGCATGTAAAAGATCGCAGGGAGGTACTGCATAAGCTCAATCCTATTGAGTTGTCATCACCGCTTTGCTGCCGATTCACCCTTTCAAGAAATGGGTTTGAGACCTTCTTATACCTAAATGGTCTTCTCAAATATTTTCTAAATCTGCATACAAAACATGATATAGGTCAAGACCGGCCCCCGAGTGATCATCATTAATATTAGACTGTATAGAGTGACTTTCTTCATCATGGGCTTCAATAACGGGCAGGAGCAAGGCAGACTCTGGGATACTTAGGCAAAATCTGGATCGCCAGGCTGCTGGACGTCAAGTTTTCTTTTCGATCTGGGGAGCACGTGCATACTTTCCTCTTGGTTTCTTTCAATCTGACCCTGCATGCCCAGGCCTTAGTCTCACAGAAGAAGACACAGCAATGGGGTAATGATATGTCAGATGCCAAATGATAGTAGCCCCATTCGGAAATACAAGGTAATAATACTATAAGTAAAGACAGCATTGAGAAGTTGATCGACATAGGAAAGCTTAGGGATATCGGATGCGGCAATTCCCACGTATCCCGGGCAAGAAGGTTTCACAGATCTGGATGTCATACACGAATGCATTCAATTCATTCGATATTAAATCGAAACAGCCGCAATTACCGCCGAAGTGTATCCTACCAGGGCGAGATGGAGCATTTACACGTAGGCTCTTGAGTATAAAGAGAGAGGCATGCTCCAGCTTGAGGAACTGATTGCAATACCGAACAACTCTCTTCTCATACTCTCACAAAAACTTACTCTGCAGCATCAAGCTAGTAAGTCAGTGATGCAAAACAAGTCAACGGCTTTTCGTTAATATGTCTTCTCTCTTCCAGTCGTTATAAATCAGCTCCAGCCACCTCAACAATGACAAAAAATGCAGCTCTCATCCATCCTCGTCGTCGGCCTCGGGCTCGCCTCTACTACATCCGGCTACGTTCTCACCCTCTACAAAGGCGAGAACTGCGGAGGTGCCTCGCAGAGACGCAACATCTACGACAACACCTGCGCCACCACCGAGTTCGCTCCGAAATCCGTCAGGGTCGAGGTCTACGGTGGTTACAACCAGAAAGCGTACTTTTACTCCACCAAGGGGTGTATCGGTGGCCAGGAGCCCCGTGGTCCGTGGTACGCTGATCACGTGAACAATTCGTGGACGAGGGGAGCGTGTATTAGTATGGGTGGTAGAACTGCCAATGTCTTCAAGTCTCGATTGTGAGTTAGCATTGGACCTGCATGGCCGTAGGCCTCGATTTGATGGGTTTTTATAACCTGGTGTTTCGGAAAAAACACGATAGTCTCTTGAGACGAATAACCAAATAACAAAATCGAACTTCGTATCTTACTTTGATAAGCCGGTGACTGACAGAATTACCGGCTGAATTAATTTCGTGGTAACCGCTCTTTCTAAATAAATGTTATATTTGATCGCTCCACGCTATGAAGCACCGGATAGTAGGCCGGTAGGTTGATATACTGTAGGCCTACTTCAAAGGTTGAGGCGCGGTTCTCGACGGAATGCTCCAGTACCGAACACTCAGGCGAAACTTCAAGGACTCATTAGCGGAATACCTCGGCGTACCATCCATCTGAATACATAATAAGCCTATATACCTCCCCTCAATCCCATTCCTGTCACCAGCCCGCAGGCGCCCGTCTAGGTCGACGGGTCAGGTCAAACTGGCTTGCTGATGGAGTGGTTCAAATTCAACAATAGATTGCGCCCACAGCCTCCTCGGCGAAAGGCTCCGAGTTCGAATCCCAGCATGAGCACCAAGAGATGTAGCCACACCAGTGGTAAGCTCTTTTTGTTCAGGTACTTCGTAAAAGCAGCACTACAGCATATCGTTTATAACTTGCAAACCATCGGCTTGCTCTCTCCCACTTCGGTCGTCGGCATGCCGCATGGGGGAGGGTTCCGAACTTGATCCACCTCGATGAGCACTTAATCCATCATTATGTACGGAGTACTCCGTACTGAGATACTTGGATCTGGGAGGTTTCCATGGGGAAGAGGCCAATTGGTTGCGTAGCAAGTCTATTTATATATTCATTCCTGTCCTTGGATTTCTTTGTGCAGAACATGCAGGCAGGACTGGAAGAATTGACGTCTTGCAAGAGTCCCGATTGGCCGCGGGGAGATAGGGAGAAACGCGCTCCACTGTGTTTTCATTGAAAGCCCGTTGAGCGAACTTCCAGTGCACTAAAGAATGACCTAATTACCATTGTCGACTACTAACAACGTTTTATTGTCTTTCAGCTATGTGTGTTTGATGGTTTCATGTTCCCGTCTCGTTGCCTGAACGGGAATATGACAGTGAAATGTCTCCCTCTTCGAGATGCCCAGAGTGAAGATGCACCGTTAGCGAGTCAAGATTATGCAAACACTCGTCACCGCGATTGAAGGGCGAGATTGTCGTATTGAATATGACGATATTCAAGAGACTCTCATACCAAAACGGTGATTGAGAAATAAAGGTTCTGGGTCTAAGCCAACTCCTACCCAACTAAACGAAAACGTCGTAAAAAGCCTCCCACTGCGGCGAAATTCACCGCCGTTGTTTCGGCTCGCAGAGTAATCAATCCCCTTGAGAAAATTGATTGATTTTTGATCACTGTGGAGAGGCCATGGTCCCATTCGCACGAATGGTGATACACTCCCAGTGAAATACAGAGAAGGTGGTGGACCGAGCCGTACGCGTACGTCACTGCGGCTGATTTCCGATGAACATTTGACGAGTCAGTAGACGTGATCCCGCTGAACGGCCCTCATCTCTAACACTCCTCGCTTACACTGTAAATAACGATCTACCTCGACGAGTCAGGCTCATGACATTCCCAGCAATGGGTTACACCGAGATACCGTCTCGGAGGCCGCTTAGCAATTGAAACTCACGTTGATACAAATGCCAAAAGGAGAAAAAATCAGGAGGCTCTATAAGTTGCAAGCAGTCCTTGGCCTTTTGACATCATTACTGAATTACTCCCAATATCGCAATCTGACCCTCAGTCTCTCGTTCAACTCCTCAACAACTCCCAGCCCACAGTTCTTCCACTACAATCAAAGATGCAGTTCTTCACCATCATCGCTCTCTTGGCGCCTCTGGCCCTCGCAGAGACCTGGAACCTTTCCGGCACATGCTCCAACGACCTCACGTGCGAGATCGACGACCAGTACACTAGCCCTACGCTGGTTTGCGGCAACCAGAACGGACACTTCTCTGGCGAAGGCAACGCGGGAAAGACGAGTTGCACTCCTGTTGGCACCAAGTGCACTTATGTCTGGACTTGCTAGGCGTTTACATCTACTCACGTCTAGGTACGTACGTAGGCAGTGTGTTGAGAGTATTGTGGCTGATAATGTCTTTTTTGGTAGACAAAGGAGTTATGGAGCGAGAATGGTCGCGTAGTTGTTTCTATAATTAAAAGTCAATTGCATGAGATTAATTGAGGTTCAACGTACTGATGTACCGAATGATCGGCGCGGCAGGATCCGTTTTTGGCCCGTGATGTGACCCACTATCCCCGTTGTCTTGACTGCCGTATGCGTTCCCGGCGCGGGGTACACCCCACTATTCCCGAGGTAACAAACTCCGTTGGCTAGCCATTGAACTTTTGAACGTTCACCCAGCACATTCCAGAAGCAACTACATTTATTTTTGCAACGTTAAATTGGAAGCGATATGAGCTTTGATATTCCTTCACTGCAAAAAGCGGTACTTTTCGAGAACCCTGGTTCTGATGCAAGGGTTGTTATTCGCGAAGATATCGCAGTCGGAACCCCCGGGCCGTACGAAGTACTCGTCCAACTTGAATTAACTGGATTGTGGTAAGTTGAAAGACAATCACCTATCTCGCCGACCCTACCTTTCTGACACCATGGCCGTATTTTTAGCGGTTCAGAAGTTCGAGCGCTCCGTGGTTGGGGCATCTACGATCCCATTGTAGGCCATGAAGGTATCGGCCGGGTCGTGAAATTAGGGGAAAACGTCTCCGAGTCATTGCTCGAGAAAAAGGTCGGAGTCAAGTGGCTCTACAGCGCCTGCGGAGAGTGTTCCGTGTGTTCACGTGGGTTCCCTAACAACTGCTCCAAGCAGCTGAATACTGGCAAGCATCGTCCTGGGACCTTACAGCGGTACGTTGTCGCGGACTCGAGATACTTGACTCTGATACCGGAGGGGTTGAGTGACGATGAGGCGGGACCTTTACTCTGTGCGGGCCTCACGATGATGGGCGCACTTTCGATGCTGGACACCGACTTAACTCGAGGCGACTGGGTCGTGATCCAAGGCGCTGGAGGAGGGCTTGGTCATCTTGGAGTGCAAATTGCATCTAAAATGAAGGGGCTTCGTGTAATCGCAGTAGACACGGGAGATGAGAAACGGAAGCACCTGGAGAGTAGAGCGGATGCATTCATTGACTATGCAACTGACGACGTGGAGAAGTCAATCATGGATTTGACTGGGGAGGGTGCTCACGCTGTCATTGTCGTTCCTGGTTCAGAAGACGCCTATCGAATTGCACCAAAACTCCTCAGGTCAATGGGAACGATCATTTGCGTTGGGCTACCTCGAAATGATTTCGAGTTGCCCATCTCAGTCGCTCAGTGTGCCCTGAAAGGTACTTCCTCTAGCTCTGGGCTCCTGACTTTCCAAGAGATGATGAAGACTGACACGTTCGCGCTAGCTCTGACAATCAAGGGGGCTATGGTTGGAACGGAAGAGCAAATGACTGAGCTTCTTCAGGCAGCTGAGAAGGGCACGATCCGGGCTTCCATAGATATGTTCTCCTTCTCGCACGTTGCCGAGATCATGGCCCAGCTAGAGAAAGGAAAAGTTTTTGGACGGGCTGTAGTTAGCTGCCTTTGACACCCATAGACCACCCGTATACCTTTCAGATTATTTGAAATGGCCTCAGCGTCTCTGAAGGGAATAGCCTTGTGGATAGTAGCCTTGGGACAAATTTTCCAGAAGCTCTCCGCCGGAGTTACGACGCCCGAAATGAGGATAGCACTGACCAGCTTCTATCTTAAGTAAATACAGAAAGGCTTTGGTGCAACACTTGAAGCTACACCCAGGGGACTGATGCTCACAGCTACTGGTCGTTTCGAGATTGGTTGGTTGTACAATGCTGGCCTTCCAGGTGCGGAAATGGTCCCGCAGAAACCGCTCCAACTGTGCTTGCATGCCGCAGAGCTGCATGGTTATCACGCGCCAAGAGAGGGGTAAAGAATCGCCTGTAAACTTTTGGGAAACTATATATAACAAGAGGGTGAAAAGGAAGAACTTTAGCTCTTCCTGCTGTATCCACATCAGAATGTCTCAAGCTCATGAGGTTGCGAGGGCGGCGCCGTCTCCTAAATCTTCCCCGAAATCTTCCCCCAACTCGCACCCAAACATTGCCGATGATGCTATCGGCACTATTATTCCCGATGAGGTCAATTCACGGAAGCGCTCTTCTTAAGCCTCTCGCTAACAATCACAGATCAACAATGGTGACGAGTCGGTAGTTGGACCCGTCAGTGCTGTCCCAATTGAGACTTCTCACCTAAGACAGAGAACTAATGTTGAGCAATCCAGAGCGTGGCTTCCTCAAGTACGAGCGTGAATAGTTCAATCCTGGATTATCGGATTGAGAATGGTCGGACATATCACAAGTATAAAGACGGCAGTGAGTAGCGAGCGTCTTTATATCATCTGACTTTGAACCAAAACTCACTCGTTCACATAGAATATGCCATGCCCAACGATGAGCGGGAGCTCGACCGACTTGGTATGAGATGACGACTGATTCGATTCGCAGGATACTGAAGAGTTCCATTGGACTAACAGTAGCCTGCGTACCCAGACTTGACGCATAACATGTTTCTCTTGACCTTTGACAACAAGCTTGGAACTGCGCCACCTAACACCAATACTCAAGCCTCGGCTGTTCACCGGGTTCTTGACATCGGTACAGGGACTGGCATCTGGGCGATTGACTTTGGCGATGAGCACCCCGAAGCTGAGGTAAACTGAGCGTTCTTCCTTCACATGAGTCAAGTGTGCTAATGTGCCTCAGGTTCTAGGTGTCGACTTGTCTGCGGCATGGCCGAATTAGTGTGTTAATCTGCTTCCCCCGTCTCTTGGGACTCTAAGTGCTGTGCCGTGATGATTGACAGCCTGCAGCACTCCGCCCAACGTTCGCTTCGAGATTGACGACATTGAGGATACTTGGACCTACTCCCAGCCCTTCGACTACATACACAGTAGAGTCATGACATCCTCGATCAAGAACTGGGAAGACTACACACGGACCTGCTTTGAGTAAGTCGCATAGTTGTGGCTAGAAGTATCCGGATGTTATGATTGACACGAGTAGCAACCTCAACCCTGGGGGATACCTCGAACTCAACGAGATTGATGCCTGCCCGCAGTCCGACGATGGCACCTTGAAAGGAAACTCCGCCATACTAAAGTCTGTCCGCATGCTCGAGGAGGCTGCCAATCTGTTCGGTCGTCCATACCACGACGCACAGGCACTGAAGGAGATCCTGACGAACATTGGCTTTGAAGACGTGACTGTTCAGAGATACAAGTGGCCGACAAATCCCTGGGCCAAGGATGCCCGGCACAAGGAACTCGGCGCATGGTGCCACGAGAACCTGGTCGCTGGCTGGGAGGGCTTTTGCATGGCGCCCTTTACCCGGGCCTTGAACTGGTCTAGGGAGGAGGTTCTGGTTCTAATGATGCAGGTGCGCAAGGAGTTCAGCGATCGAAGCATCCACGCCTACTTCCCAGTGTGAGTTCTAGAATGATGCCTTTTCGGTGGCTCTACTAATCTCGTCAGTCATTCGATCTACGCTAGGAAGCCCGCCAGTGCCGGACCGCCTTCAGATTGAGAATGAGATCTGAGTATGAACAGGTAGAATTTGTGTCCTCGGAGGACTGTCTGATCTAGCAACACGGTATTCCTGATCTATAAGGTCAAGTTTCAGGGATGTGCCTGTCCCCATTTAGGCGAGCGTCCCCTAATAACCAATGGCGACCATCCCATATCCCCGACGCGATGTCTCTAAACAAAGAGGGTAAATACCAATAGCCCTCATCTCCGGAGGTATGTTCGAAGCCTCTGTTCAGGGGACGGGCGGTGATCGGAAAGGGTGCCCGGCGTCCATTGCGGGCAGATGAACTATCCAGCTACCGGTGCAACACCTGAGCAGATCTCCTCTTAGATTCGATATGCCATCGTCTTTGAAATGATCCGAGGACCTCGACCAACCTTTCAATCCCAGGGCGTGGTGCGAAGAGAGCATTGCCGCTTCTGATTTTGCCCCAGATATACGTTTGATCTCACCAATGCATTGTGTAAAGAAAACTGTCCAAGAGAATTCAGAACTCTTTCCAGAAGGGAAACCAAGATCGGTGTTGGCCGTGAGTAGATGTGCTGAGAATACATTTGGTTTCATATGTCCCGAAATTTCCTACCTCAATTTCCCGCGATAGCTCCACGGGAAGCTAGGGCGGGAACAACTCCTCAACAGACTTCCATGTCTTACCAAAGATCCCGTCGTCAAAGCTTCGTCTCCAGTAGGTCTCAATCCCGATCATGTCATGTAATCTCAACAACAGATCAATATATATTGCTATTCCAGCGTATTTCCTCGACACCATGCCTACCGCTTTCGACGTATCCACACAGAGACACAGACGACATTCCGAACATCCAGCAAGCACAGTCCCATCACTTCCACTCTGGCCCCAGTCTAGCCTTCGTGTCCGGGCTTCGCACCACATCATGTAAGTTCCAAAATCCGCCCCGAGCACCGTCCACCATCATCGGTGCCTCCGGCACTCCGAAAACAACCCCTCCGTATCCCTCCATGGATAACCGTCGTAGACAGCACTGCAACTCTCCTTTCCGCCCCAACCTTCCTTTCTCCCGCTTCTCCCGCTGGCTCGTCGCGTCGCTCATACCCAGACAAGCAGAGCCTCAATCCATTTGAACCATGCCCGCATCTGACCTATCCCCTATTATTACATAACGCACTTTAACTTTTACGTACGAGTTTCGTCATCTGAAGGGATCTCAATTCGGTAATTAGTCACGCTCCCTCCTTTCCGATACCAGCCTCATAAGCCACTCTCTCCGTACTAGGGACTCTCGAGACTGTCAAAGTCGGGTCTCATTGGCTGCAAGAAACCATTCCTATCACCTTGCCGCATCAATCATCATCGCGGGGTCTCCATACAGCAAAGGACAAAAGGAAAACTTGCAGATTTCTTCAAAGATTTGATCCCATAAAAAGGCAAAAGCTATCATTATATGTGCTTATCATGATGGTAAACAATGGGTTGGAAACAGATACCCCAGTAACCATGCAATCCCCAAGTATACCCGCAAACCTCTGTGAACGCCATCGGGGAACAATGCTCAAAAGACCAATTGCCCTCAAGAATCAAAAACCATGATGATACACCAGCCCGCGAGTCTGCCAGATGCAATCTCACCCAACCAGAGCCATCATCTCAAATGCGTCTACTCCCACTCGTCGACATGCAATCTCCATACTCGCCATCCCCTCCACGACGAAGCCAAAAAGACACCCCGTACCTATGCAATCAACACCAACCACTTATGCCTCATCGTCCCTCTTCCCCCCGCTCCTAGGCGCATACAGATGAAACTGCCCAAAAATCACAAAATCCTCCACCATAGTCCCCAACGAACCCAGCAACCACGGCAGCGCATTCAGCAAATACGCCCGGTCCTGCTTAAACGCCACAAGACTCGCACCGTACGTCAAGTTCCCCGTAAGCGACAGCAGGAAAAACAACAGCGCGAGGCCCTCGCACGACTTTTCCCTGTAATTCTTGATAATCTGCGGGATGCGCGCGCAGAGGTAGCACACCGCGCTAAAGTATCCCAGCGCCAGACCAATCTTCTCCCAGGTGCCGTCCTCCGCCGCCGCAGGGGATCCGGCATCAGAGCCGGCACCCGGGACGTCGGGCGCGTTCCACGCGCCGGCCTTGTAGGACAGGAACCAGCCCGCCGCGCCGACGAGGTACACCGCAACGATGCTCAGCGTGTTGTGAAGCCAGGGGTTGCTGTCGGGCGTATCGTCCTCGCCCGTGACCATCTTGCGCAAGGGGTCGAGCGAGCTCTCCTCGTGGAGACCGTGACGGCGTTGGGAACCCGGGAGACCAGCGGCGGACGAGCTACGTCGGCGCTGAGCGGAGCTGGAGGAGAGCAGCGGCTCGTCCTCGCGGGCTTCGGTCGGGTTGGCGCCGGTGGCTGTGACGGGCGCGGAGGAGCGGCGGCGGGAGGATGCGCGGCGGGTGTTTTTGGTATTGTAATAGACGCATTGGGAGATCAGGACGAGGTCGGCAAAGCAGAAGTAGCTTGCGAGGGCGACGGCTGTCGGGGCGAGGTGGGTGAAGAGGGCGCCTGTGAGGAGAAGTGGTTGTTAGTGGGAGCACGCGCCAAAGGCTATTTTTTTTTTTTCTTGGTAGTGTTGGTGTTGGTGTTGGTGGTTGGAGAAATTTTCGGTACGACGAGAGGCGCAAGTTTTTTCTTTTCTTTTCTTGGAGAAGGGTAGCGGTATAGGAGAAAACAGTGAAGAGGTAGATAGTATGGGATAAGGTGCAGAGCGCCAGGAAAAAGAGTGCGGAACTGGAGAGCTGGTTTTCTGCGTACCCATGAGGTTTGTCACGTCGCCAATCAACCAGATAATCAGGAAGCCCATGGACAAGCCATCAGCGCTTTGCGACTTGTAGTTTGTGAGGAGCTGGGGAAGCTATTTCCGCAGATAAGGAGATGAAGTCAGTTATTTGGACAGAAGAAGGTCAAAAAGTTGCGATCCGAGGTCGCGTGACCTTCGCGAAGAAAGAGGGAACTTACGAGAAGGCATATCCACGCGGTCAAGCTGATGCTGCCAAAGATTCCCGATAGGGCCTCTTCGACTTTTGGAGTGGACGATAAGGCGGCAAAGGCCGTGACTGCGACGGAAGCCATTGTGTGTTTTCGATATGCGAATTGGTGAAGCTCACAATAACGAACGTGAAGGAGGAAGGGGGGGGGGGGGGAATGGGTAAGAAGAGCCGCAGCGACAGACAGGTTTTGGGAGGAGCTCTGTCTCTCTTGTGCCGTTCCTCGGTCAGGTGGGCTTTGGAATGGGGTTAAGTGGGATGGTTTTCTCGATGCAGAGTCACGCAGGCAGAGACAAGACCATTGTTGGTGCGGCGCGGGTAGAGGGACTGATAGCGCCCACCTCTTGTCCAATGAAAATGCGGGATTGATCTTTTCCCCGTTATCGCATCTCTTATCGCTGACCGCATCCGATAAGAGGACCCCTGCCACTGCATGACATAACCAATCGACCAAGAGCGGCGGAGAGTGCGGGTTGACGAAGAGGGCAATTAGTGGGGGGTTTTGAGCATCAAGCATGGGTCACTCCAGGAAAACTTGAAAAAGCAGAGCGGGTTGACCGCCGAAGAGGTCCTATTTTCGGAGGGGCCATCGGCGGAGAACTTGTCGAGCTGAGAGAGTTGCGCCAATAGAGAGGTCTGATTTGGTCATCCCGCAAGTCTCTTGCATTGCGCAGAAGCTGAGTGCTGGAGCTGAGTTGCTGACTACCTGAGCTTATGTAATTCTTCCAAGGTGCTTCTACGCATTTGCATCTGCGGCGATATCGAGATGAACCGCTCGCATGGTCCAGATAACATGCCCGAATGCATGCAGCGAAAGCCATCATCCAAAGTCTAAAAAGAAGTGTCTCCAATCACAGGAGCAGAACCGCCCGTCACCAGATAGGCTGAGATCCCGCATTGCAGCGGTCACCGGACATCCGCAGATCGTGAGCATTCCCCTCTCGACTGGTGTTTCACGTGGACTCCCCCGTGCACCGCCATGATTCGCCCTCCGTGGCTGAGGCGGATGTGAATGGTCACGGCCAAGCACCCCGGCGCCGCGTTCCTCAGCCAACTCACCTATGCCGGGGGCCTACACCAGCGGCCCGCTCAACGCCAGTCGTCCGTGTTGACGTTGATGTGAGCTTGCGTGCATCGCTCCCGTCCCCAACACCGGTGACCCGACCACGCGTCAAGCTATCGTATAACCAACCTCGCGTCCGCCCTTTCCTTGTCTAGGCTGCTTATCGTTCGCCATCCCGTCAAGTTGAGGCCCTAATTGCAGTGCCAAAACATTGAAGCCTAATTGCACCTCAGTGCACACTCACCACTAATAATCGTAAGCCATTATGAGGCTTGCAAGCGCCGTAGCATTGCTCGGTGCATCTCTGCGCAGGGTCGCAGCATGGGGAAGTATGTCATCGGGTCCCTAAATCCACGAGAGCTTCACGTGGCATCGAGCTTCAATGTGGTCTCGAGTTCCATCGCTGACCGACTTGGCTTACTAGGTCTGGGTCACATTTCGACTGCGTACCTAGCCAGCCACTTCGTCGCCAATACAACCGAAGTCTTCTTTCAGGACCTCCTGCGTAATGACACTGAGCATTACCTTGCCGGCGTCGCGACCTGGGCTGACACGATCCGGTACACGCGCTGGGGACACTTCACCGGACCCTTCCACTACATCGATGCCAAAGATAGTCCGCCCGGCTACTGCGGCGTTGACTTCGAGCGGGACTGCAAAGCCCAAGGCTGCGTCGTGACGGCGCTCGCAAACTACACGGCTCGGTCTTTGGATCCTAAGCTGAGCGGTTGGGAACGCAACCAGGCGGCGAGGTTCGTCGTGCACTTCATTGGCGACATGCACCAGCCTCTTCACAATGAAGATGTGGCTCGTGGAGGCAACGGCATCCACGTCAAGTGGCAGGGCTCTGATTACAACCTGCACCACGTCTGGGACAGCTCCATTGCCGAAAAGTTGATTGGGGGTTCTCGTCGGAGGCCGTACGACAACGCGAAGAAATGGGCGGATGAGCTCGCCGACGAGATCAAGACTGGAAAGTTTGCTGCGCAAAAGGGAGAATGGCTCAAGAGTCTGGACTTCAACAACGTCAACGCTACCGGACTGGCATGGGCGAGAGAGGGGAACGCTTTCGTGTGTACCCACGGTATGTTGATCCCCGAGTCATCGGCGACCACCCCACAACCCGGAAAGGCGACGTCGAAACTGACTCTTGTATAGTATTTCCAGAGGGGCCGCAGGCTATTGTTGGCCAAGAACTTAGCGGCGAGTACTTCCAGAAGGCGGCACCTGTAATTGAACTTCAGGTCGCACGCGCGGGTGTGAGAATGGCTGCTTGGCTGGACCTCATCGCAGCGGCGTACCAAGACCAAGCGAAGACGGCCGAACCTGTCATGGAAGACTTGTAAGATTGTGAGATGAGACGCCAAGAATGCTGCGTTGTTTGTGCCGCGCGACTTCCTGTACAAGACCCTCGTTTATCACAGCGCAAAACGTGTTTTGATGCAGTGAAAGCTTGGCCCTGCTGGGGTCCTCTGTGTGTATTTTGATTTCGTGACCTAGAGCACAGGAGTAAACATTTCTAGATGCTAGGCTGGTAGAATGATGTCCAATGATGAAGCTAGGCTCACTTTAGACTCATATGCCGTAGTAGTGCTGAGATCGTGACAGCTGCCACGCGGCAACTCACAGACTTGCCATAGGTTAAAGAGACTCGGAATGATGCTGATCACACCGGTCGCGACGCAGTCTTGGCCGGGCCTTCGTCAGTAAAGAGTGTGTCTGCGATCGCTGAGGCGGCCAAGTTTGATTCACATGGAAGAGCTGTTTCCCAGAGGCGTAGTCGGCAAACAATGCCTGGCTATGAGAAAGTGGCGTGACTTGAACCCATTTCTCGCGGTGGGGAATTTGGAATCGGACTAAGAATGGGTTGGAAGTCTAGCCGTGCCAGCAAAAGGGCAGCAATTGGGATGATAGGTGACGTCTGACAAGTGAAGTTCGATGACAGCCCTTGCCGAGGGTCCGAGAGCAGCCGGACGAGCAATACGTCCAAGGAGATTGGATGCCGGAGAAAGCGCATCCTGTGCATGGTGGACGCATCGGGATTGGCACGGGTTCTGCATCTCAAGTTTGCGATGACGGTTCAAGCGCACTGGTGTCTGGGGCCGTAGGCAAGCGTGGTCACCGTGGTGCAGGCAATGAGCGACGATAGATAGTGCAAGGCGTTCGCCTCTGTGACAGTCGACGGGTTTCAACTCGTCTTCCCGAGCTGGGATGAAAGGCAGGTCTGCATGCCGGATCCGAGGAGGATGCCTGCGAGTTCAAGGTGAAGACAAGGTTGCGCCGGTTGGCTCGAGTGACAAATGGACGGAAGTTGAGGTGAACCTGTTTCACCATTGGATTTTTGGCACAGGCTTCAAACTCAGCCTCGTGTCGCAGGATGGTGCGCCTCCTTGGCGCAAGTGGAGGTTCGCGACAGGGGGTGCTGTCCACGCTATTACTCCCACTCCACCACTCCACCGCAAGCAACCCCGGTGGCTCGGATCCAGATGAGAGAAGATTGATGGCAAGCCCTTTAATTGATGTTGGAGTTGGATGGCATCTTCAGGGGGAAAACAATCTGCTCGTTTACGGGATCTCGGAAGGGATGAGACGAATATGGGGGAGGCGTCGGCTGTAGTGCCGGTCTTCTGGGTGCGTTTGTGGAAATTCGAGGTTTCGCCAGATGATCTTTTGCGATGCAGCTTCAAGCATCAAGCCGTAGAGCCGTGCCGTTCGTTGCCAGGCGCAGGCGAGGCCGCGAAGACATCGTCATGTGGTGCCGTGGCTCCGCATCCGGGTGTAAATCGGCGAAAAGACAGGCCGTACCCATCAGAGGAACCGGCACAATCATCCACAATGTGGTATCGGTGGGATCCGCGAGTAAAAGAAGAACTTAGAATGGCGGGATCAAGACCGAGCATATGTTTCCAACGGTGACAATGGCGGATCTGTCAGTGAGTAAAACGTTGTAGGGCAACTTTAGGTGTGGACGATCAATAGCATTAAACTCAGCGTCGTTTGCAAAATGTCCGACAATTGGCAGCCCAGAAAGGAAAGTTCTCGACTCGACGACTTGGGTTGACAGCAGAAAATAGTAGACGAGATGAAAATCGAAACCGTCATCTCATGGATAAGCATCTCGAGCGCTGGGGTTGGCCATGAGGAAGATCAGATTAACCTTTTGCTCGGATGGCTCATGCAGGACAGGCCGGTTGTCCAACGGGCGAGGAGCGAGGGGCAAGGGGAAGGGGTGAACTCGGTGCCAGGTGGAGGGAGGGAGGTTGGTGTCGTTGTTGAGAGTGGCAGATATCCAAGGATTTGGGGAACAATGACATGGGAGAGAGTGAAAGAAGGGGTGGGAGAGGGGGGAAAGACTCGAGGTGAAGCAACACACCGTTGACAAGGAACCCCCCTTCCCCTCGCAATTCTTCCAGGGCTGCGGTGGTGGGGCGGGTTTCTGGCGGGCGGGATGCTAAGGACAACCTTAAACGTGGTAAGAGAGGATGAGATAATCGACCTTTCCTGTTTTGGCGACCCAAGTGGAGCCGGGGATCTCCACGGGTCTTGGGCCGCTGCAGGTACCGAGTGTAAACGGCGCTTGGCACTCCTACTGGGACGTGGAAGGAGCCCTTTGCCATCCTGTCTGTACCTGACGCTTTCCTCTTCCAGTTGCAAGTGCGAAGACTTCCATCAAGGGCAAGAACGATAGAGATTAGATACGTACCTCCGTTTTGATGATGGAATCTTGTGGAAAGTGAGGCACTGGTAGAAAGAAGACGGCGCACCTTCCAATCTCACGGCCCCGTCGTGTTGTCTTCCTTGACCTTCAGGTTCGCTCACCTTGCCTTGCACTATCAGAATCTGAGGTGTAAGGAGATGCCAATACTCCAACTCCTTCTTTGGCAACTTCATGGGTTTCCTTGGCACTCGACGTTTGACGGGAGGAAGATCATCCCCGACGCCCCAACCACACACAGCAAGTTACGGTGGACCACACCGACAAGCCAATTTTTTTCCCTCACCCACTCACTCGTCCTGGAAACCCCTTCGTGCGGCGTACCCCTTTGCTGCCCGCCCTCTTTTCTCAAACCGACAATCGACGGTACCGTGACTGGTCGTCCCAGGGGGCCTTGCCGTCATCCGAACTTGCCGAATGGCAGATTAAGTTTATTGGATGTTTGATGCCATCATTGCTGCGCGCCCGCTGCTGACCTTGGTTTTCCGCTCGCTTCGCCAACTCCACATTCCGACCAGCAACGTTGCTAAAGTACTCCGTATGCGAGGTGGGAACTGCTTCTCGTTTGCTTCCGCATTCTGCAAAACGGCAGGGAAAACTCAACTAGGTTTCTAGATAGGCTCCGCTGCACTTCCGCCAAAAAGCCTCCGTGCACCTCCGGCCAAGCAATACGAGGCATTCGCTCGCGATGCAGACGAGGCACACGACACACTTTCCCACCCTTATCTGCGGGACGAATTTCATAAGGGCAAGCTTTGAAGTGGAACAAAAATGCAGTGGAGTTGATGCGTTGCAGTTCGCCCACCGGAATTAGACGGGCGCTTCCATTCTAATGCAAAGTTGTAGACATGAAGCGACCGATAGAACCGCCAGAACCGATATTCGATCTCAATGTTAATGTTCTGGTGTAGCTGGCCGGCGGTCGCACTAGCACGGCATGTCTCACCCGTCTGAACGGTCCGTTGCCAATCATCCACATTGCCGCTTTCTCCCGGCCAAGCTTGAGACCGTTGTCGTGTCGCTGGTACCCGCAGAAGCACCGTGGAAAAGAAACGCACCTGAGCGGCTCGGGGGATCTTCAAGCGGTAACGTCAATCAAAAACCCCCCATCCCGAACATCACCATGTTGTGTGCGTGTGCGCGCTGTCAGCAACGCCTCTGCGTGGCCAGACTTGGCATTAATACAGGCGTGCCAGGCTTCTCAGGAAAGCCAGCGTCCGGAGGCAAATCATGGCCGATCTCCAAAGGCTTAGCATGAGGAGCTAAACCCATGACGACTCATGGCCCATGAGCCAAATTCAGTTCCATACGTAGTCCAGGACTCCAGTGTGCCATTCGTCTCGACGGGGATGCGGCTCGCACATATTGGTCCACCGTCGACCGTCTGTAGGGATACGGATATATGCTTGTCCTGACGGTCACAAATCTGCCAGCTGGAGAACGGTGCAGGCATCGAGGAGCGATGTGCCTGTCTTGCTAGTGCTCTAGGGAGATTAGGACGGAGGAGGCTTCGCTCAGATAGCCAGCGGGCAAGCATTGGCGGGTGGTTGTGGAAAGAGGCTGCTGCTGCTTCACTGGTGACGGCCTCACCTTAGTAAGGTACACGGTCACGATACGTGGGACACATACGGCGACGAAGTACTCCGTCATGTACCGCGCTTAAGAGACGGCAAGGACACAAAAAAGTCGTCCAGTGTCTCGTTTCGCTTCATCGACGCCTCGGGCGAAACGCCATTTGCCTGATGTGCCGGACAGCAGACCCCGCTATTGGTTCGCTAAGCCGCGCCGGGGCAGTGTGGGGACTCCATGACCCCATTCTGCGACGACAGGAGCCGCATCAGACCTTCCCAGACCTCGCGACGGTACAAGCCACGACCGGACGGGGGCCATCCTCACCAACCTGGAAGCTACCAACAACCTTTTCTTGCCTCGCATGTTTAACCCCTACCAATACTGCAATACTGCAATACTGGTCCAGTCCAATACTGCTGCGGTAGACACCTGCCACAAAGACCGGAGACACCACACTGACGTTACCCGAGCCGCCCTGTTCGACTCAACTTCGTTACCTGCCATCCTGAAGAGTCGGGAACCGTCCGTCTAGGATGCCCACCCTCTCCGACCGGAGACAACGACCTCCCCTGCTCATCTGTAGCTTGTCTTCCTGTTCTATCCGTCCATACTACTCCGTACTACACACTACGGATACTCTTCATACACTACGCCTCTGACCAACATCTTTGTCGCCGTTCCCGTCCCATGCATGCTAAACTCAACTACCCCTGCCAAAGCTCAGATCTCTATCCTCCCGTCTCTCACTCAACCCCCCGATCCATCATCCCTACTCACCCTCCTCACCCTCGGAGCCTGGAGGCGTCTGCCCTTGTCAACTAGTTGTCGCATACCATCTCATCAGACAGATACTACCTACCTAGTCTCTATCCCTCCACGGACGCCTGCACACTCTATCCGTACACACAGAGAGCAGACCCCCATTACCTTTTCCCACCCCCTGGTTCGTCATCCACAGCGGGCCTGCCATTGTCCGCACGGGGATCAGATGCTAAGCAGCATCCATGCACTCACACCCTCAGCCAACAGTTTGAGCCGTATACCTACTCAGTAGTATGGTGTATGGGTAGGTGCCAGGTATTCTGCAGACGGGCTCCTGTCAGCCCTTGTCTCCTCCTTCTCCTCCTCTCCCATCTCCCCTGCGCCGCGTTTGGGACTCGTGGAGACGATTCCTCCTCCCCAAGCCGCCATGGAGCCTGTCTCCGTTCATACGACCCCTTGGTCGAACCGGCACCAGCCTGCAACCGCAGCCCTGTGCATATAAGACTTGAAAGCTTGGCACTGATCGCATATTTGTCTCGGCCTTTCCCTTCTTAATCCCCAGCAGCGCTCAGTCTCGATCATTCTTTTCGCCTTCCACCCTTTACTTTTATTTCCATTCATCCTGTTGCCTCACGCTGGGAGTGTGTCTTCACATTCATTCATTCATTTCTTTTCAGCTTGTGCTACGTATTCAGGTGTCTGTGACCGTTCCTTTCGTACTCTACTCTTGTTCGCTCCTCGGTCTGGAACCAACCCTTTCGAACGACAATATAGTATTTTATTGATAGCGACTCGGTCGATAACTCACTCGGATTTATCCAACGATCAACAAGACACAACAAGATGCAGATTCAAAAGCTCATTACAGCCCTCGCGGGCATGGCCGTCGTTGCCGAGGCCTCTGTCGCCTTCCTCGATGCCTCACCTCTGAGCGCCGCCCTCGCTAAGCGTCAACAACGTGGTGGTAACCGTGGTGGACAGGGCGGAAACGCGGGCGGAAACGCAAACCAGGGTGGAAATGCCAACGCCGGTAACAACGGAGCTCTGTGTTTGCAAACGAACGCGGTGCAAAAGGGTTCGCAGCAGGCCGGACAGCCCAACGCGCAACAAGCCAACTCGAAAACGTGAGTAGACACACACACAGACAACCTCCTGGAAACACGCTAACTAAGCTGCCTTGCAGCGACAATGCCAACTTCATCAACATTTGCTCCGGTTCTACCCTCACCGATGGTGAACAGAAGACTGGCGGTTCTTGCAACGGTATCCCCATGGGCAAGATCCCCGCCCAGACCAAGATGGTCTCTACCGTCATCAACAACCCCCCTCACAACGGCAACATCCAGGCCAACCAGGACTTCGATGTCGAGCTCAAGGTCAACAACCTGCAAGCCGGCTCCTTCACTGACGCCCAGTCCACCTACTACTCTGCTCCCCAGGATCTCAGCGGCGGCGGTACCATTATTGGTCACGTTCACGTCACTGTTCAGGATATGGGTAACTCTCTGACGCCCGCCACTCCCCTGGATGCTTCCAAGTTCGTCTTCTTCAAGGGTATCAACGATGCCGGCGATGGCAACGGCAACCTGAAGGCCACCGTCACTGGAGGTCTCCCCGCCGGAAACTACCGTGTTTGCACCATGTCCAGTGCTTCCAACCATCAGCCCGTTCTGATGCCCGTTGCCCAGCGTGGTGCCCAGGATGACTGCAACAAGTTCACCGTTGGTGGAAACGGTGGCGGCGGCAACAACAACGGCGGTGGTAACAACAACAACAACAACGCCGCCAACGGAGGCAACGCTGCCAACAATGGAGGCCAGCAGAGTAAGTCCATCAGGAGACATCGAGCATAGTAAGGTACTAACAGATACAAGACAACCAGGGCGGAGCTGCCCGTGGAGGTAAGCAAGCCGGCGGCAGACAAGGCGCCGGCGCTGCAGCAGGCGGTGCCGGTGCCGGACGTGGCGGTGCTGGACGAGGCGCTGGTCAAGGTAATGCTCAAGCAACACCTCAGAACCCCCCTCAAGGATTTCCCAACACTCAGTTCCCAGGCCAATTCCCAGGCCAATTTCCTCAATTCCCTGGAAGCGCACCCCCTGGACAGGCCACAACACAATCCCAGACCGGAAACACACAGGAAACTCCAAATGCTAACAGCTCCGGCCAGGACGGGGACGCCGCCAGTAATTCGAAGAACGCGACGGCGACTCCTTCGGTAGACCCGACGGCAGCGACGCCAACGCCCACCCAAGGCGGGGGCGCCTCCAACAATGGCAACGCCAACAGCAATGGATCCGGACAGAACGGCAACGGTAACACTTCTTCTGGATCTGGAAAGGGAGGCGCGACGTCGAACGCTATCGGCGGAATCGCGGCCCCGGCGGTCTCGGACTCTGGCGATAGCAGCCGACCATTCTCCGTCAACGGCAACTCGTTCGTTTCCAAGGCCAATGCGGCGCAGCGTGCTTGCGATGTTCAACGGAATGCCTGTTTCAATGCTTTCAATGGTGGAAAGTTGAACGGGGTTACCACGGCCGACTGTGATGCCCAGGTGCAGACCTGCATCCAGGAGCTCTCATAATCGAATGCCTTTCGACGACAAGGACAACAACCGAGGGATTATTGGGATACGCACGCGCGCGCTACTACGACAATACGGGCCTTTTGACATCATATACAACGACAAGTCTCCATGCTTTTGGGTTCACCCGGGTCGCCAAAAAGTGTTCTGGTGTTTTTCTGTTTTTAATTTCTTGGGTTGTTATATTCTACACGAACTGGCAGAAGGTTATTAGATGAGCAGGTTGGCGTGGATGGTTTTTCTTTTGTTTGATGAAAACCAGCGCTCCCCGTGCTTCGATACCACACACACATCAACGACAACTGGCAAACCCCTCCCCCTCTATATTATTGTTCTAATGTCCCCCTCCCGACACCTTTGTCTCTCACCATATCTCATCACCTCATCACCATGACACAAAATCTTACGATCCGATCTTTCTGTACATTTAGAGGGAGTTGTTTTTCCGTTGACAGGATACGCAGCATGGCTTGGAAAGAAATGGAAGACACAATTCCAGTAGAGTGCACACAGTTTTTTGGATTATTTTTGCTTGTTTCTTGGTTCTCACGCGCTGATATGTTGTGACATTTCTTTCACTAACTATTCAGGAACTCCATGATGAACTGGCAATCTGACTTGAACAGATGTCAAGTCACGATGTCACCCCATCTCACGGAAAGTCGGGGTGGCAGGAGGTATACCGGCTCTCTGATGTTGAGCTTGTAAGTGAGTGGTGCGCGGTGCCGAGCGGTGGTCCAAGCTGCGGCGTCTGATCTGCGTGTCGCGATGATGGGGGGCACATGTCTCGGCCGGGGGCCGTGTTATGCACCGGGGTGGTGCCTGGTAAGAGGTTTGGGGGGGGGGGGGGGTCTACTTGGTTGGGGAATCTTTTTGGTGGTATTTGGTTGCTCTTGGTGAGCCTTTGTACATGACTAAGCTGAATCCTCCAGCATTGTGTGCTATTGTGTAGTGGTGTAGTGTGAGTGGGTTGGAGACTGGCGTTCGACTTGGCAGGTCTTGAGAGGGGTCAAAAAATAGGGTGAAAAAGAGTTGAGACGTGTTTCATCTCCATTCTTTCTCTGCTTTTGGAGCCGGAGTTGGGACGGATGGGAGGGATGCTGCGACGGAGGGGGGCTCTGCGGTACCGTATAATAGTCTTAATGGACAGAGTTATATTTACAGGGGACTGTGATTAGAGTCCTAGTCTTGTGATGTCACGAGTCGAGACTAGAATCTGGAATGTGTCATGGGGGTTGGGATGGCACCTTTTTGCGTGTTGCGACTTGTGAGGGGGAGCCGCTGGGGGCCAGTTAATTAGGAGATTTCTTTTTAACGTTTCGGAAGGGAAAGAGCGAAGAGAGAGATTAATTGACGCTTATTCTTATCTTGAGGTTTCCCCTTTCTTTCTCGGTTCGCATTTACCCCTCTCTCACACACACACACACACGCGCGCGCGCAAGATGGTCTTGATGGAGTTGAGTCGGCGAGTCGGCGACTCGGGGGTGAGAGTTGAAGGTTTATTTCCATGACTCTTGACTTTCTTTCGCATTTGTGCCTGAATTGAGTTGACTTGAGTTTACCTTCATCTTCTCTTTCCCCTTCCCTATTCCCGTCTGTTCCTGCGAGGCCGTTTTAACCGTTTCTTCTCACGTTATAGGCTTTTCTCGGGTCTGCTTCTGCGAGTCCTCTATCGCCAGTTTTCGCAAGTGTGCCACTGAATGAGCGTGCCCCCCCGAATCTCCTAGCTCTCCGAGTCGCCAAACTTTCTCTGGGCAAATATTGGGTATTTCGGAGACTGTCCAGCAGAGGTTTTTTTTTTTTTTTCTGTGACCATTGTCCATATTCCGGGTTCATCTCCCTTCTTCTTTTCTCTCAATGTTTCTACTTTACTTCTGTTTTTAAACCGTTTCTTCTCAGAGTTTTACTTCTTGCCCGTGACGATGCAGGTACTGAACCTTCGTCGTAGTTTTAGCCTGAATCGCCACAACTTCCCCGCCCCTTCTCGGCAAGCCGCTCAATATGAAAAGTCCGTCATTTCCCCCGTCAGGAAGCGTATAACTTGCGCATCAAAAAAAAAAAAAAAAGAGCCGTCACTTTTGCGGATCGATGCCGAGGAGGGGGCTTGTCCTGCCGCAGTGTTTTTGCGAGGTACACGCGGAGTTGCAGAAAGGCCGATATTGGGAAGTTTCGCCTCATCTTTGAAGCAGCTGATTTACAGAACTAAAGTTGTTGAAAAGGTCCCGAGATGAAGGTAAAGGTTTGGATAGCGCCGCCCATCTGAGCCTCGGGGACGACCGACGTGAACTGGCATCTTGGCCTTTTTCCTTTCTCGTCTTCTTTGCTTTCCCTAAAGTTTCCCCCTTCTTTCGCCTTGGCTTCCTTCTTGGGTACACACCCTCTTTGAGAGATAAAAGGTTGATTGCCGAGAAAGGGTTAGGTAGGGCGAGAATTGAGTTCTTCGGGGAGGGGGAACGACAGCCTTGGGGTGGCTTGTTGGGTTGTCGATGACTCGTTTTGATTCCTTTATAGTCTTTTCAACGTTCCGTTTGGGCTGTTAATGATATTTCCCCCCGTCTCTGAGGGGTTTTACGTTAGGGATACGGTTTGGATACGTTTACTTTTCGGGGTCGACGCGGAGTCGCGCCGGCTTGTTCTCGTGGTTCGGGTGGCAGAGTTCAATCAGTCTTTCGCCGACGTACACGCATTATTACCGGAGAGTGACGGGCCACCAAGTAGATTACGGGGTTCCTTGGACTGCTGCAAGAGGCTCCGTGTGGCTGTTGTCGGATAATCTCTCAGCACCGGCCATGAGATGATCGGTCTCTACTCCGGGCTAAGAAGTGGAGCGGTGGCCGATCCGGAAGCCGAGGGACACACCCCGACGGCGGAGCATGGTCAGGCGGCTACGGTGTCCCATTCCAAGTAAATAATCGCCGCTCCCCGTACAATGTACTCAGGAGAGGTAGTTGAGATTGGTTACCGAGGCTATGCGTCACGGGCAAAGGATGGACTCACTGGGTTACGGATAGCCCGTTCTCTGTACTGCGTTTACGGTGACTACCCCACGTACAGCCTCCAGTGCGCAACACGTATAACTATATGTAGGAATCAGGATCTTGAGAAGACGTCCATTGGTAATTCCGATGGCTGATCCGGTCCTGGCCATGAGGCTCTGATTAGAGGGGAGGGCTAGGAGGAACCTATGCAGGGAGGATTGCTTCTCACTCAAGTGATCATTGTCTATCTCCCTCTCACTCACAGCGCAGCACTCCTTTTGAAGGCCGGAGATGTAAATCCGGACTTGGAGCTTATGAGCTGAAGAATTCGGGTGTTTTCAACATAAGGCTGCGGCGGAGGCGCTAGCTAGTCCTGGGTTTGTGGGTTGTTTGCTCTCTGCGCCTGTATCTTTTCTGCAAAATGTGAGACTGGCTGGACTCATGACCAAGTGCCCCAGCCTGATTCCAAACCACCTCACAAGTACTTTGCGGCTTGAACGCAGGGATCATGCAACTTTCCTCAGGCCAGTTGAACCAACAGCGAAGCTAACATCCGCCTGGCCTGGACCCGTGGATCTGGCGAGGTAGTAATTCTGCACCGGAAATCGCCAGTAGCAAAAAGAGATCTAACGCATTGAACCAATGGCATGCTACACAATCGAGGGGCTGAAGATATGGAGGGGTAGTGAGGGGTGTGGGTAGGTAGCTTGGTTGTATCCAATCCTGCTTCGTTCCCAGCGCCTGTTGGTTGCTGCGCCGCGAGCTACGGGATTGTTTGTCAAACGATGCAGTTTGAAGAGGCTAGCGTCATCCTTGGACACCACTCTTTTTTGAACCCTCACTATCGAATTGAGGGATTTGAGCCGCAGGAAGTACAAGTACTAAGGGACCTCGGAGGAAACGAAAGAAGGGATGAGGTCTTTCTAACCAATGCAGTTTGTTCTATTGGAACGACTGACAACCTGAAGATAACGTGCTGTTCGCGATGATGGAGCGAAAGCCGGCAAGTCCGGCCCAGTCAGGTAGTACAATGGCTTGTTCGTTGGTGATATATAATCTATATTCAAGGAGACCAGCAGTACGATGAGAAAAGCGAGCAACGGCTTTTCATTAGTGATACCCCATCTCGTTGAACGAAGCCGTCGCCGCCAGAATGCAGTTTGCTAATGTTCTCCTACGTCTCTCGTGGACCTACCGGTCCATCACAGCCCTCGTCGTAGTCTCAGTCTTCTTCATCACCTTCACATACATCCGAAGCCCAAGACGATGTCTCCCACCGGGCCCGAGAGGTCTACCCCTCCTCGGCAATGCCCTCGACATCCTCAAAGATCCATGGTTGACGTTCGGCGGCTGGATGAAGACTTATGGCATGCTCACTCCGTGGTCCCATCCACTGGCTAGACACTAACACGGTCCAAACAGGCCCTATCATGCACTTCACCGCCGCAGGAAGCGACGTAGTCGTCCTCAACGACCTCAAAACCTCGTTTGACATCTTGGATCGTCGCGCGGCCGTCACAGCAGACCGGCCCGGAAACGTCGTCGTCGACATGATGACCGGGTCCTGCTTCGTGCCGTTCCAAAGCCAGAATGCCATGTAGGTCCCCCCATACTCACGAGGACTGGAAAATAACTTCCAAGACTCACTTTTATTTTCTTAGGTGGTTACGCATGCGCAAAGCCTCCCACACAGCGCTCCGCAACATCTCCTTCCCAGACATCCGCCTCGTCCAGCAAAAGGAGGCTACCCTCCTCGCCGCGGACATGCTCAAGGACTCGCGGGACTGGTTGTCCCATCTACACCGCGCGGTGTCGTCGGCGAATATGAATCTGGTGTACGGGACGCATTCTCTTGCGTCGACGAGCGATTTAAAGCTGGTTTGGCTCGAGGACTTTGTCGTGCGGCTGACCAAGGCTGCGCTGCCTGGTGCGCATCTGAGTCAGGTTTTTCCTTGGTTGAGACACGTGCCGTCTAGGTATGTTTTGGCAGATTGGAAGATTGCTTGATACGGCTGGTATGGTGGTCTGATGTTCTCGGCCTAGGTTTGCGCCTTGGAAGAGACAGGTGGAGGACTCGTTTGCTGCGGATTCTGCTATTTTCGGGAGTTGGTTTGCAGAGGCCCGACTTGTGAGTGTGAAACAGAAGATTCACATTCTTTTTGCGAATCGAAAGGTGGCTAATCCTGCATGTAGAGAGGTATCGATGGCGGTAACTGCCTCGTTAAGAGCTTCGTCAAGGACCAGAGCCGGTGCAATCTGTCAGACACGGAAATCAACTGGCTCGCGGCGAGCGTCATGTAAGTCCGCCCGTGGGGTGTCATATCAGCCTCTTTGAGGAGGACACTCTTCTGACGGAAACTTCTAGCGCCGGGGCAAAGTCGATCACGGGCGTGCTGGAGTGGTGGATGCTGGCCATGGTCGTGTACCCGGAGGTGCAGCAGCTCGCTCAGGAGGAGCTGGATCGTGTGGTGGGACGCGAGACAGCCCCGAACTTTGCCCATCACTCTGGGAAGTTACCTTACATCCAAGCAATGGTGGGCCATCGCCTTTCCAGTAGTTCTTCTCAATGGCCTTGCTCACACTCGGAATTCCCAGGTCAAGGAGTCACTTCGATGGCGACCCGTCGATCCAATAGGCCTCCCACACCAGAGCTCTGAAGTACGTTGCAACCTTTGCGCCTAACGTCTCTCGACCGTCTGACTCTTCACCATAGGAGATTTGGTACGAAGGACACTTCATACCAAAGGGCTCGCTGCTCATCCCGAACGTCTGGGCCATGAACCGCGACCCGCGCACGTACGGCCCGGACGCCCATCACTTCAACCCGGCAAGATTCCTCGATCCCAAGACAGGACAAGTCAAGCCGCTGTCGGCAGAGAAGAAAGATCAGGGCCACGTCACGTTTGGCTTCGGCCGTCGGTTGTGCGTCGGGCGCCAGATTGCGAACGAGGATCTCTTCATTACCATGGCGACGGTGCTCTGGGCGATGAAGATTGAGCCGAAGGTGGGTTACAACGGGCTCAATGTCCCTATAGATGTTGATGGATGCGTCGATGACGGTGTTGTTGTGTAAGATTACCCTAGATGCTTGCTAGTCTGTGTTATTGCTAACTTTTGGTGATAGACGCCCCGTTCCGTTTGAGTGTACCACCAGGTCTCGATTTCCTGAGGTGTTCAAGGTCTTGCAGGCTGCCAAGATTCACGGCGTCAGTTGCTGAGGTGCTATTTGATACCGCAATCAGGAGACATCGCGGACTAATGAGCCAGCTTTGCCGTTCGTTGTCCCGTAGCAAGACTAGAAGATGGCGACCTTGGCTACTCAGATGGCGCGATTCCGGATGTCCCAGGAGCAGCAAAGATATTCACTATCTCAGCTAAGATCTTACTTTCAATGAACTATCAGCGTCAAAACTCTCGTATATCTACATCAACGGCAGTCAGAAGTTCCGTAGCTGTCTACGGGTCCTGCTGACCTGCTCTTCATGATTACTGATACTCTAACTTATGCCAAGCCCATGCGCCCTCCATGCTATAGATTGCTTCTACCGGCACATGCTTCCCTTCAATTTTTGGCGATTGAACAGCTAGAGATTCACTAGAGTGTTTATCTAAGTTCCTTTGAACCCAGCGTTTCCGTGGGTCTTTAAGAAACTCTCCAGTTCACTAATCAGACTGTCTCTCACCTTATCGTCACGTTTCGGACAGTTACACCTGCCTTAATCTCCGTAACTTCTGCTCGTTCCAAACCGTTGGGATAGCTGTTCTATTTAGGAATTGTCCCGACCCTACTAGACCTCATGTTCCAGGACAGGAGCTACCGAAAGATAGGTGATCGTCGCCTCTGCACCACGCAACCACTTCAAGTTGGCTCGCTTAGTTTTGATATTCGTCTGAAAAATCACTTCACTCTTACACCATGCCAAAACCATGGGACGATCAGATCGCGCATTTCCAAGGGATCCCATGGTGCGCCAAAGTCCTCTCGGAGCCAGGAATCATTGCCAAACCCCTCGTCAGCCGCGAATTCGACCCAGACAACCGCATCTTTGAGTTCTGGGGCTCCACGCTCTTCAGCGCGGCCACGGTGCCTTTCTTCATCGGCTGCTTCCACATGCCCTCGCCACCACCGGACGCCGACGGACAATCACCTGACAACCGGCCTCTCGACGAACTATACGTGACCAAGGCCCGCTGCTTCCTGACTCTCAGTCACGGGCTGAGCACGCTGAAGAAAGAGTGGTGCCACGGCGGTGCTGTCGCGGCCATCTTCGACGAGTGCATGGGCGCGATCGGGTTTGTCAACAAGTTGCTGGGGTTCATGCCCATGTTGCCGCAGGTCACGCAGAACTTGAACGTCACGTACATACAGCCGGTGCCGACCATGTCGACGGTGGCTTGCACGGCGGTTTTAAAGCGGATGGATGGGCCTAGGAAGTTCTTGGTCGAGGCGAAGATCACTGATGAGCATGGGACGGTTCTTGCCACGGCGGAAGCGTACTTCGTTGGTATGGAGAAGCGGAAGAAGAGAAAGGAGAAGCTCTGACGTGGCTTTGAGAACTTGAGTTGATAATCGCTTGGGGTAGACTTTGCTTGTATGTAGACCTATGCCGCCGGACCCCTTGGCCCGTATACAGGAGAAGTTATACTACGGAAACGTTTGTTTCCCCAAAGGCTGGACTGTCTCTCCAGACAGCCTCGAGACGCTAAAGCAAGCCTATCATTCCTCCAAATACATCTTCCGCACACTCCCAAGCTCATGGTACACCGTAGGACCCCTTGAATAGGTATTCCCACTCGTCATTACATGCACCATCCGTTCCTCACTCTCAGGCGATCCATACGCCCCAAGATCGTGCCACGAGTGAACCGTCACAACCCCAAATGAAGCTAGAACCGTGTTGTCTATTACGCAACACTCGCAGTGGCCGGTCGTCTCGTACCCATGCCCGTCGACCGCCACGAGGCAGCCGTCCGTGACGTATATGGTACCGAAATACACTCTAACATCTCTGGTCTGGCCCCGACTCCCATCGTTGACATCGACGTCATTGTCGTCGAACACAAAGTGTTGTTTAGGATCCTTCAACATAATCATCAAGTGCGGACAAACGCGCCTGAAGAACCCCGACCGAACCAATGCGATCTCGCGGCTATGGCGGAAATCATGCTCCACGTGTACCAGGAACCTGCCGCCGACAATCTTGGGCGTAACGGCGCACCCGCTCGAGATGAAAGTGAGGTGGATACCCCTAGGTTGGGGCATTCGCGATGTGAACGGCGCCATGGTATTCTCGAGGAGTTTTTGCTGGTTCTTATTACTTCTCCCTCCCATACGGGTCAACTTTGGCGCGAGCTGTACGTGCATATGTCGGAGGTAACATCCACTCCTTTCGAAGACGTGGTAAGCATTCTGATGACAGCGAAAGCGGTTGCACTTTCTGTCCCCAGGGTTATCTTGTGTACAAACCCTGTGGAGTTTGCAGCAGGGACCGCAGACCCATTGGTTTGGCTTGATGTACGCGAGGCCCGTCCAGAAGGCGAGCTTTGCGTTGCGAGGGAGGGAGATGACAGCGAGGGTCCAGTCTCTTTGTGTGAGGGACCGGAGACCTCTGCAGGTGTGGGAGAGAACGATTTCGTCGTGTAGTGCGGGGGAGACAAGGATTTGGTAGAGGATCTCGTTTGGGGATGCGAGGATTGGCGGAGCGCTGTCTGGAGAGGACGACTTTGTTGTTTTTACGGGAGATTGTTTGAAGCGGTGGCTGTGGCGGACAAGCAGCCGTCTGATATGATCCATCTTACTTTGCTGGGATTGTGTAAGTTACAGCTAACAGACTGGGTAGGTGTATTTCGAAGCTGATAGAGCTGTGACTGCGGTATTCAAGGGATTTCTTGAAGGAAAAGTTGCAGAAATTCGAAGCTGGTCTCTCGAAGTAATTGGATCTGTGACGAGGAAAAGCTAGGTTGAAAAGTTTGAACACAGATTGAAAAGTCTTTAGTTCAGTTGGCTATTCGGGCCCTCATCAACACCTAAAAGGACGGTTTGATTGAGATTTTGGTCCTCGTGGCACTCTTCTGTCCTGAATCGACCTGGTGATACCCGTGCCGCAAAGCTTCGTACGACTTATTGGGCTCACGATACCCTACGATTAACCCAAAATTGTCGCCTCTGTTGCTATCTTAAGTGTTGAGGTGGAATTGATGGGAGATTCGAGAATGATTTAGCGTCTTCATTGAGAAATACCTACAATCAACACTAAAGTAAAGGAGCAGCTCACATGGCGACGAGGGAACGGATAGATCGGTCTCCATCAAGTTAATGCCTTCCTCTTCAAAACAGAGTTCGTAGGCTCTGCTCAGCAAGCTTCTGCTCCCGAGTCTGATCCCTCATCATCCTGATAGTATCCGGAAACCTTGCTCCCATGTCCACCTTTGGCGATGGCAGAAACGCACAAATCTAGCTCGACCCGTCTCCCAGTGCCACGGGCCTTCATGATTGTTCCGTCTAGAAGCTGTCAACGAGGTCTTTACCCTCGCTAGGCGTTTTCCAGAATCTTTGACGTTTAGAGTTGGTCAAAACCACTTGAATCTATTGATGATATCCTTCGGAGTGTTTCTTACCGAAGATAACAACAAGCCGGTTTCAATTGCCCGCCCAGAGCTATCCGTGACGGGCACGTGGAGGTCACACCACAGCGTTGCAGACCCATCGTGACCGGAATCCATGTTATACGCAAATCAGCATCATCGGCCCAAAGGAAACCATCCCACATGCCCTTTTGTGTGAAGTTCCGTAACGAGAGGTATTGCGGGGTACATGGGTAGAAGTTGGGGAGCCCCACGACCGAGGTGAAGTTCGTTCCTCAATCTGGTAAAGTGCTAGACCGGGGTATGCGTATGTATTCCCGCTTCTGGATCGATGCCTGGGTTGCTGACTGCTGTGATTGGCGTCATCCGCGACAATCTATACCGAAGGCGCGTCTGATGTAGGCTTGCTCCGCGCAGAGAGATGTGACGGTAGCCGAAGCTCAGCTGTCAAAGAACGAGGAAGGCAGTCAAGATATTCCACCAAGGCTTCTTGTTTCGTGAACATGGTCTCTCCCAGAACTTTGGGCATAAAAGTCGAGGCGCGTCGGCTGGCTCGGGTCATTGAGAGTTGACTAGATCGCCTCACATTCTTCTGCGCCGTTACAGTCAGAGCGGTAAAGTCTTGTCCAGCATGTTGATCTCACGGCCGCCCATTCGAGCCTTAGTGGCAACGACTCTCCTCGCAAGTTATTGCTCTGCTGAATGCTGGCGAAACTCGACATGCGACGGGCCAAGCTCTGCCTCTTTTCCAGGAGTTTGGGACCAGTACAACTATGCTCCTGCCTCTCGAAACGTAACGCCAAAGTCCATCTTATCCTTACCATCTGGAGCGAACATCTCCGTCTTCAACACACCAGTCAATATTACCAGCTCAATCGACGGCCTGGTCTTTGACTTTGGCGTCGAAGTAGGTGGCATCGTGACCATTGACTACAAGCTCTCCCAGTCCAGCAACGCTACTCTCGGCCTCGCTTTCGCAGAGGCAAAAAACTACATTGGCCGCAAGTCAGACAACTCGAATGGGGGGGCCGGACAAGACGGTGCTCTCTCGTACAACATCACCTCGGATGCAGCGGGAACCTACGTGATGCCCGATCCCAAGCTGCGCGGCGGCTTTCGTTACCTGACCTTATTCCTCACGCCGTCCGACTCGTCATCTACCGTCTCGCTGGAGATCCGCAACATAAGCCTCGAGGTCAGCTTCCAGCCGACGTGGTCCGACCTCAGGGCTTACCAGGGCTATTTCCACTCCAGCGAGGAGCTCCTGAACAAGATCTGGTACAGCGGGGCGTATACTATCCAGACGAATTCCGTGCCGAGCAAGACTGGTCGCGTGTCTGCGTCGAGTGGGCGTACGAGCTGGCAGAATGACGCGTACATTGGGCCTGGAGAAACCGTTCTCTTGGACGGGGCGAAGCGTGATCGCTGGGTTTGGATTGGGGATATGGGGACGGCAGTGCCTTCTGCATTTGTGAGCACCGGCGACATGGAGAGCACGAAGAATGCGCTCTTGGCGATCTATAACTATCAGGTAAGTTTGCCTAGAGATGTTGGGGTTTTGGAATCTGCTAAACGTCTCTTTCAATAGTCTACCGATGGTACCTTGCCAAAAGCCGGTCCCCCGTATCTCTCCAAGGATAGCGATAGTAAGTTGAGACTCGGTCACAATGGTCTCTAATATGGCTGATACTTCTGCCACAGCATATCATCTGTGGACACTAGTCGGCACTTACAACTACTTCTTGTACACCGGCGACACGGATTTCATGACTTCGATCTGGCCCAAGTATCTTAAAGCCATCAACCTCAGCAGAAGTAAAGTCACAGACAAGGGAATCATGAACGTGACTGGCGCTGCTGACTGGGGTCGATGGACATACTCCACTGAGCGCAGCTCAGCGAGCATGCTGTAGGCAATATGTTACTCTGATTCAAGAGACGAGGTACTGACTCAATGACCAGATTGTATCGAGCACTGCGCACCGGAGCCGATATCGCCTCCTGGTCTCCTACCCTCACGAACGCAAGCAGCTACCAGAAAGAGTGGACAAGTGCCGCGACCAAGCTGCAAACTTCCATCATGGCTGAGCTGTGGGATGACAGCAAGGGAGCGTTTAAGGAAAGTCCCGACAACACGTCGCTGTACCCTCAAGACGCGGACAGCATGGCAGTCGCCTTTGGCGTCGTCTCCGCAAATAGTGACGAGGCGCAAAATGTGTCCGACTACCTCGAGTCGAACTGGACCCCGATCGGCCCTCACTGCCCTGAACTCAAGAACAACGTGTCGCCATTCATATCCAGCATCGAGATCGCCTCGCATTTCCGGACGGGACGAGCTGATCGGGCGTTGCAGCTTATCCGGGATGCGTGGGGCTGGTACCTGAACAATCCCAATGGCACGCAGTCTACCGTTGTAGAGGGGTATCTCGTCGATGGAACCTGGGGATATAGAGGAGATCGAGGGTACAGGAACGATCCGTCTTATATTTCGCATGCCCACGGATGGAGCAGTGGTCCTACTTCGACTATGACGGAGTATCTTGTCGGACTGCGGGTCACTAAGCCTGGTGGAAGTGAGTGGCAACTCAAGCCTGTGTTGAGCGAGCTCTCGGAGGCCGAAGCTGGATTCACGACGAGCCTGGGCAAGTTTTCTGCAAAGTTCACGATTGGTGATGATGGAGTGGCTGTCGTTGAATGGGATACGCCGGCGTCGACTCGGGGATACTTGGTGTTGCCGGGACAGAAGTCCGTCTGGATTGATGGTGGAAAGGGTAACAAGTTTATCAGTGTCTAGCCAGCTTTTATATCATAGGGGTTTCCCCAGTTGCGCTCGCTTTACCAACTGGTTTGAATGGGATACCGGCTTTGCAGGAAAGCAACTGTGTGCCCGATTCTCTATGCAGCGGACTTTGACACTTCCATATTAGGATTTTCCCAGAAACACCGAAGCCATAAGCAAGGGAATGTCTGGTAGGATAGTTTCCTGCAGCGGGGCAGCATCATCTACTCTAGAATGAGGTTTCCCTCAGGGCGCCGTCGTCGTGACCTAGCGGGCCGAGACTAACGGCTTTTTCACAGGTTAATGATGCCGCGTCTGTAGGTATTGGCAGACGTCAAGCTTGCAAGCACAGAGAGGCATTCCTAGGACCTGGATTCGAGACCGGCTGATGTAAATTGGCTCGCGATTGGGAAGGGAACCGCGTCAGGACCGTCTGCGATGACTACAGTACATGATGATGCCTTGGGAGATTCCTCTGACGAAGGACGAAGTTGGTACTAAGACTGCTTGAGAACAATGAGCAGCGGTCGGGAAAGGATTTCAAAAGCCCAAATTCATCCGAGAGGTTGTTCCGTCTAGGATTTATTGGCCCCTCTCATTTGACAATCAGAAAAGACAGTCATTCTATGTGCGAGGACTACGAAAGTGACTAGTTCCATGCCCTCTAGTAGTCAATCGAGTCGACGACCAGGGAAGAGAACATTTGAGATGTAACCCAGGAGGAGCCGAGAACGCAGTTGGTGTAAGATAGCATCAACACGTTTCAGTACGTTCATTGCTCTCAGCGAATTAGTCCTCTCAGTGTCCAACAACAGCCCTCGTGATGATGGAAGCGGATACTGGTGCAAATATCAACGACAAGAAGACTGTTACTCAACACCAGCGACCAGATACTGTCCAAGACTGTTTGCCCTCGACGCCATCTTACATGACAGAGCAGTCCAAACCGGCCCATTGGAGAACAAGACTCCAAATTACCTCATTGATGGATGACCTCACGGCTCTGGTGATCCTGTTTCGAGTATGGACGCTCATCTTTCCGTCCTGTATTACCCCCCACGCAGGTTAAATCTAGAACTCAACCGACCTCGGTACGGCCGACGTGTCATCCGATGTTTCGTAATGCAGGGTAGCAGACTGCAAACCAGCAAGATGGCCCCGAAGGCCCGAAAGGGGGATCGTCCCGTGCCTTGCGTCAGGGTAAGGGCTAAATGGAAGGGAGAAAGCGAACCTCTTTTCGGGCAGTGGATCGAAGTTGGGCTGAAATTGAAGTGCCCATTCATGCATCATGCCAGCGCAGCACAACGAACTACGTGTAACGGTCGAATCCGTTTTGCTTTTCTCGTGGCTGGGCGGATCTTGGTAAGTCTCGCCGAAGTAGATAGGCTGGCATCGAGGACATGGGTTGGAACTACGGACGAAATACCTATGTGATTCTGACGTGAACGCCCCATTTCTACTTTTTTAATTCTCCGGTATCTTCGGCCGGGGAAGAGGGAGCTGCAGGGCCGGAAGGGCTTGATGGACTCATAGAGAGCGATGACGCCGGGGAGGAACCGGAAGTGAAGTGGTCAGAAAAGTTTAAAAGATTGGATGAGTCTTGGTATCTCGGAAGAAGCAATGAGAAGCTTTCCCCCCAAAGGCAGGGCGAGACAAGGTACGGCGCTGAAGGAAGCAAGAGGAGGATTCTGTTAAGCAAGAGTTCGGAATGGGTCGATGGTATTGAGCGGAGCGGGTCGCAGGGCGGCGAGGCAAAGGGAGTGAGATCTCTTTTCGGGTCCCCTTTTGAGAGATTATGGAACGTTTGGGAACGTTCGACTAAGACTTGCCAATCTTAGAGGTTTCGTTCTGTTTCTTGTCTCTCATCTCTTTCGATTTCTGCTTCTTGACATTCTCTGCATTCTGCACTTCAAAGGAAGGAAAAAGTGGGAAGCTTTCGCATCCGCGGCTTCTACAAACCGGCGATGCCGCGATACATGGCCGAGATTACGTGTACTGGGGAGAGAGACATCTCCAGTTCGTGCGTATGATGCGCTGGCAGAACTCTGGGAATCTGGATTCCATCCTTCAAATCATCGTCCACGTGGTTGTTGCTTTTCTGGAAACTTTCTGGATGGGGAGGGGTTACACTCTCGACGGGGTTGGCAAGGCTGGGTTGCGTCTTCGTTGCTTTTTCATGCCAGACTACCACCCACACGACCCTGTCACCTTCAAATCCTTTAGGAAGTAGGCAGACACATTCTGAGATGTTGAGGACTTGATGAGACGTTATGTACTTACTCCGTAAGGCTCGGCAGAACATTCTGTGAGGGGAGAAAGAAACCCTCATGCTTTGAGATCCACAGCAGAGAGAGCGCGCCAGAGAGGGAAATGGTCATTGGGTATGCTGGCACAGACGGGACAGTCCTGTTACAATGTTGGAGGGCCTCCTGCCATCCGATGTTTCGCGGTTTCTGTCTGGGTTTGATCACCAGTTCATCCCAGCATGGCGAATCCCTTGTCCTGGGGTGTCAGTGTCTTGTCTCTCACGCCCAAGTCTCTTTGTCTTGCTGTCAAACCGATGATAGGCGCGCCCGCATACGGACCACATGACGAGCATGCGGCACAGCAGCACATGGAGTACACGAGACAGAAATGCACTGCGAGATATGCACGGGCGATCATCGACGCGAGAATGCGCACATCGGCGCGACAAGGCACTGTGACCTTATACTTTTTTCCCCCTCCACCTCAAATTCTAGTGCAACTCGCAAGCGTCGGCGTCGATTTGTGATCTCGTACCCGAAGGGAACTGAGAGAGGGGCTTGACGGTGGCTGCTGACTGCCCGGCATCCTTCTGCGTGGGTTTTCATGCGGGATGCTTATGCTGCAGAAGGGGGAAGGGCAGAAATTTGACGGATCATCTAATGCAAGCCCCTCCAGCCACATCACTGTGTACGATGCAGCAAGCCTCTTCGTCAAAAAAGTCACCGCCATCGAGATCAGGTCTTATATCGCCTATGCCGCCGTACACGACGCGATGACTCTTCCCCCACCACGGCTCGTTCCCAGGTGGAGGGGATAGCGAGAGAGATCTCGCGATCTCAGGATCGATGTGGTCAAATGTCCGACCACGCTTTCTGAGCCGGTAGCAATTTCTCCGAGCCAATGAAGACGGGGGCAGACAGTACACCGCGGAGCCGAGTGGACGGAATATCCGAAATCACGCCTCTAGAAAGGCAAGTCGAAGGGGGGGGGGGGGGGGGGGGGGGGGGGGGGGACGTGGCGGGCAGATGAAGATCCCAAGATCGTGGCATGCGAGCGCAAGGACAGCCGAAGGAGGGGAGGACCCGGAGGGCGGGCGCCAACAAACAACGCACAGATGTTACGAAAATGATGTGTCTTTTTGGGACATGATTATAATCCTTGCTATTTAGCAGGGATATATGCTCGTGAAGGGATGGGTGGCAGGGGTGGTGATGGAAGACGGCGTTCCGAATCCTTGAGATAATTGCTTTTTCTTGCATTTTCTTTAACCAGAGTTTTTTTGCTTGTCTTTGGAGGGAAGAGAAGTGAGAGAGATTCCGTCTCGGATTTTGGGGGCCTGGCTGAACGGTGGCTGATACAAGAAATCGGTTACGATGACCTGAAGCAGTTCAAGATCATCTCTAGTTCATCGATCATGTCGCTATCCGAGACTCAGGCACCGGGGGGGGCTGTGACGTCTCTTGAGGCAAGGAGGCGGCTTGGGCTGCGGCTCAACGAGAGGCGTTTAGGAGGCGTTCAGGGAGTCAGAATATTAAACATGGCGATTTAGATTCAGATTCAGCACCTATGGGGAAAATAGTTTGACAGGACGGAAGCTCCCGTTAGACGGCGTCCGACCTAGAGTACTTGACTACCAGGGGGAAATGATGTGGAAAGGGGGCCAGAGTTTGATATCGAAAAGAAAGGAAACGAAAGGAAGCTATGAGCGGGAAGACGGTAGGCTTCCGACAGAACCATGGATTCGGCTGTTCATGACGTCTCGACTTGTGTCCATCGAGTCAGGAATGGAATTGCGTTTCGATAGTATCCGGAGGAGCGATGCACGGGTACGTCCGTAGAGTGAGCGGCTTCTGACGTGGCTGGCTGGCGGACAAACATGGACCCAAACATGTCTTTATCCACGTGCCAACCTGCATCTGAAGATCAACGTTACACCATGCCATTGCCACGCACAGTTTACTGTCGTGAATCAGAGTGAGAGCGAATCAGGAGGATGTGAGGGGCGCCTGGGATGAGGGTACCTGGGAGACGTTGAAGGCGTGGCACGCCAAGTGTTTTGTCGAACGAGGATCGCATGGCAGATACCGGGCGAGAGACCAGGACGGGGGGATATCGACGGATATTCCGAATCGAGGATTTGGAGGACGATTAGCCGTGATTGATGGATGGCAACTGGAATCATGATTACTGGATTGGGGTGGCCAGAAGTCCGTCATCATGGACCAGAAACCTTGTGGGAGCAACGTTTCCTTCTTTCGCTACTTCATACCTGATGCGAGAGTTTTGGTCCGTCAAAAGTCTATCGTACTTCTTCATGTGCTTCTTCGTGGCTTACACTACTCCGTACAGACTCGGGAGATGGATGGTGGTGTTGAGATTCAGAGATGGGGATCTGCCGCAGGGGAAGGACGAGAGGACGGGGACAAGGGGGTCAAGTCTGTCCGGGGAATGAGGGGTCCCCGGTTCCGCGCCCGGGATTTCAACCCACAGCTTGTCTTGGCTCATCTTGAACTCTTTTGCTTTTGGTCACATCCCTTGTCTCTCCCGTGGCGGGATATGGTTGCTGGGTGCATGGCGTTTGGTATGCGGGCCCGGCGCGGGCGCACGGGAAGACTGAATCGTGGGGGACCGCCTCTTAGTTGTAGGTCTGCAAACGAAAGCTTTGGACCTTAGGAGAGAGATGTGGATGTCAGACGAGGGCCGTGGAGCGGGTGCTGACGATGTTTGCTCTCCCGGGCCCATGGACGGAGATATGGCTGGAAATAGTCGATGCGGGACAATTAGACGGATACACCTACACATCCATAACATCACCACATTTACAATTACTCTACCTGCCTACCTAAGCTAAAACTACGGCTACCTACCTAATTGTTGAAGTAAACATACCGACTCGTCTCGTTCCAGACTTTCCGCCCGTTTTCCATGCAACCACCCACCCCCAATCACCCGTCCTCCTGGTCCAACGACACCACCTTCCCGGAATTCCCCCTCAGTGAGAAACGATATCAGAAACGATGATTAAAACCCTTGTAAGTCCCAAGCCTCGCGCACTAGCCGAGGGAAGAAAGCAACTGCCACCTCAAAGAAACGAATAAGCGAGCCCCTCGGTCCCAGCCCTGTCAACTGCTTCCCTATTTTTGCCCACCATGATACCCGTCCATTATGCTTCCATTGCAAGCACCCTAGCCTAGACAAGTAGCTTCAAAGCCCAAGTGACATCCATGTCCAGACCTCAAGCGCAAGAGGACGCCCGTCGCCGCAACCCACCGGGCCAATGCGGCTTCACACACCCCTCGCACCCAGGACTGAGCACATCCGGCTCCTTACCCTCAAACAACTCGGGCCTGTACACATACCACTCACGGTAGAACTTCCACTCCTCGAGGAACTCGACCCAGTACGCAAGCTGCTCGACGAGCCAGCTATCACGGAGTCTTTCGCGGACCCACTCGGCCGTCTCCTCTTTTTTGCCTTGCTGCTGCTGCCCGGGCCCCGCTCCCGGACCTCTCGTCCAGTTCCGGAGGAGGTCCGGCCGGACGTCGGCGACGCGCTCGGCCGTGTAGTAGACGAATTCGGCCCGTTTGCCCCGCGCAGTGAAGTACGGGACGGAACCCCACTCCACGACGGCGCGGTGCTTGGTCAGCTCCACCACGCGCACCGTGCAGCAGGTGCATTTTGCCTGGTTGAGGAAGTCGCGGAGGACCGTCGAGGCTGAGGGCGTGCTGGTGCGAGGGTGGAGCTGCATGGTTGAGGCTGCGGAGTGATGGTGCTTTCTGCGGTTGTGGTGAGGCGGGCGACTACCTGTGACACGGGGACTCGACGGGCGAAGCTGCGTGTGGCATGTTAGTATGTTGGTCGGTTGAGGCTTCAGGTGGATAGAGTTGAGAGAGACAGAGAATCAGTCATGTTGTGTGGCCGATGCTTGACTCAGTGTGGTGGGGTGAGAGTAAGAGAAAGGTTGAACGAATAAAAAGTAAAGAGTGAGAAATTGAAAAGAGCTCACGAGGGTTAGCGGTCGATCTGTCGTCATCTCTGACCTGCGAGGATATCCAGGGTCGACTGCAAGTCACAGACTCCAGAGCCTCGTTTGTTTTTCGTTTGTATCACACCGAAGAGAGCTTTTCCTTCTTCGGCTTTCCTTCCTGGCGGCCAAGGATTTCGGTACCATCACCGACGACCAACACGACACGACTCGATACACACGGGCGGATCCGATGCTGCTGCTGATGCTGAAGCTGCGTGCGTACGAACACGTGCAAACTTCCAAACTGACAAGGCTGGCTTGGGCTGCAGAGGCGGCAGAACGGAATGGGGAGCTGGGATGGTGGAGAGATGAGCTGGAGCTTGGTGTCTTTGATCCCAAGGGAGAGAAAGGAAAACAAGGCCCGGCCGCCCCTCCAAAAAGTCTCTTGAGGGTTATTCTTTTTTTGCCCGCAAATGGATGGATCAACAATTCATTTATAGCAAGGTTTTGCTTCTCCCTCATGTCCCTCCCGTTACCCCAGTTCTGGCTCTGCGTGCCTTGTCCCCCATGATGTCTTACTCTTCTCGGCAAGGCTCGAGGTCTTTGCCATGACTATGAGGTCCAGCCTAGATGTTCAGCCATATATGTCACTGGGTGACTGGGTAAGTATGTGTCTGTAGCAATCCGTCATAGTATCTCAGAATGAGCGTCATAGGGGGGTGGATGCGAGCCTTCAAGATTCTGCGCCGCTTCTTGGTCGCACAGAAGGAAAAAAGAAGAGTGATACGCGCAAGGAGAAGCGAAATATGTATGGCATGGTGTCAGTCGTGCTGCGCGAGCGTGGGTTTCGGTGGGTGTCCCTCACTTCATGCTATCGTTGCCACGGAATGCTTTCTTTTTCCGCCCCGTCTCTGTGGACACCCCATTTCGAGGAATGTTCACAACCCTGGCACCTTTCGCCGGGGTGGATTACCCGGGCGATCGTCCGCCCCAATCGCGCGGATACCCCATCTCGGGACGCCCGTCATATTTCACATTCTCGCTTCTCCGCCGCATGATAGCGCCACCCTTGTGAGAGAGTTCTCTTCTTTGGGAGCTTGGGACCAAAAGAAAGAGAAACATGGTGCCTGAGCCCAGTGTGCCAGTACCTATCTGTACCTTACCTACGGAGTACATAGTAGGTGTATCAAACAGCAAGCCTGGAGCGGCGCCCCCCCTCCTCTCCCCTCCCCTCCCCTTCCCCTTCATCTCGCTGCCCAATCTTCGATACCACGCACGTCTCTCGGGGATATGCCAAACAAGGATTCATGCAGAAGTGAGATTTCACACTACCGCCCACAATTTGCCCATAGCTTGGGTTCATTGGCTTGAAGCTCCGTGACCATACGGCACGTTACAGCATTAATATCGAGCTTTCTCAAGTCTCTCTCTCTGATAAAATCCAGAAAAGTACTGGGATTCCTCTGCTATTCGCTGGGATTGCCATCTTCCGAAGGTGGTAGCGCCGGGAGAGATGGACCAACAAGGCTGGTGGTCCTAGGGAAAAGAACAATCAAAAATGAGCAAGAAGCCATTTGTGATCCCTCCGAGCTCGTGGATCGGATACTTGCTTTTCTTTCCTTTTTTTTTTTTCCTGACCTTCCTTGCAACAAAAAAAAAACACTCCAAGCCACTTAGCAAAAGGGCCCGTGGTCATCTGGGTGGCCTTTTGCCCATGCCCCCTCGGGGGTAGGTATCCGTACTTTGCTGACTCGAATCACTCATTCCATCCGTGTCGTCGGTGACAACAGGCGTGGCCTGGTCTTGGAAACACCTGGCCACGGCCGAAAGAAAAGATTGCGGCAAACGGCACGAAGAGAGACAACCCGATCCTAGATAGTCGTGCCAGCTTTCTGCAAAGACCCTTGGGCCTGTGGGGAGGGGGGCGGCGAGAGCAAATACGGCTGGTTGCTTTTGGGAGAGGAAGTACAGAGGTTGCTGAGAAAAGAAGAAGAAGAAGGGAAAATGAAGGCTAATTATTCCACCTTTTTCTTTTGGTTTGAGACAAGGGCAAAATCCACCGTTTCCCTTGATAATTTGGGAACCATCATTGATACGCAACACAAACAAGATGGGTGTATGTATTTGTGTGTGTACATACTGTCCCCATCTTTTTTCCTTTCTCGCAAAAGAAAACATCTTCCGAGGCCAGGCCCGCGAATGCCCATGCCTCATCCAGCACACGCCCGCCAAGTATTCCCAGATAGAGAGGGTGGGCAGAATATCAAAGGGCGCCCGGGGGTTGGAGCAGGATGGGGGATCGAGGGATGGAGGTACTAAGTCGCGGCCACTTTTTGAGATCTTATAGAATAATACCCTCGGACCTTTTCCCCTTAAGCCGTATCGATCCCGCTCCTGCAGCCACTTGAGCTTAAGATCTTACATATACCCGCTTGAACCACCACCTCGGGACGTCGTCTGACAGGCTGTTCTCGCTCACCGGTATCTGTCGGCCCTTGCAACTTGCCTTGACCGAGTTGTCATGCCAAGTCCCCTCTTTTCAGTCTAAATCAACCTCTCGCGCGCACACACGCACACACACATACTCTACCTTACTGTAGGTTCCGACGTCTGGCGTCTGTTCGGTTTGACGAAGTCCGATGTTGACGAGATGTTTCAATAGCTTTATAACTACCGCCAACCTCACCCTTCTCTGTTTCATCAATATCTCTTCAGCCCCCCACCGCCGCCCGTCATGTGCGAGTGGTACCGACGCAACTACGCCTGCGGGCACCACTTCACGGGCGCCTCCGAGTGGTGCTACCGGTACAGCCAGACGCAGAAGCGGTGCAAGGTGGTGGTGACGCAGGTCGACTACGACTCGTCTGTGTGCAAGAGCTGTATGAAGAAGGGCGTCAAGACTGAGGTGCCCTGGGAGCACATGATTGACCGGTCCAAATTCGATCCCAACCAGGAATGAGAGGCGCCAACTACCACCATCATCATCATCACCATCGTCTTGCGTCGTGCGTCGTAACGAACTATGACGAATGACCGAAACACCCACAAAACCTCGCAACGATTTTTCTTAATCATGTATTTGTTCGACAAAAACCGCCTATCGAATGGCGAGAAACATTTTCTTTTCCAGGGCGAGAGAGATGGATCCTCCCAAGGCGTAATTACGGGGCGGTAATCGGGGTCGTGTGGCCAGGCACGTCTATGGCTTATTAGAGCATCTGGGAGCGGCGCACCTTATACCCATTTGATTTTTGTTTGAAAAACTTGTTGGACTGGATCATGTCCTTCTATGGCGGTTGCATTTGGAGTTTTGGAAGCGGGATCTTCAAAAAGAAAAGTGGTTTCTGTTTTCGCCTACCTTGGCTGAACTTTAGCTTTTATGTGTAATGGTCGGTTGAGTCGATCTCATTAATGACGGATAGGATATCTATCACTCGCATTTCGAGATATCGTTGCGTTTCTGCATGCTGCTTGGTGAGCTTGGGTAGGTGTGGCGTGGCTATGCTGCGGCGTTGACTGTTCATTCATACTGACCAAAGGCTCCCTTACCTCGACGCAGGTGTGATGTTGGCTTCGTGCTGGAGGTAGCGGTGTACTGATTTGGGCACTGATGCTGCCACGATGTGCGGAATGTCAAGTCTCAGATCTCAGACATGAAGCAACCTGGAGGGGTTGGTGAGCTGTGACAACTGGGTAGGACCTGGATATCTGTCTTGACTTTTTGACAAATGAGTGTCCACGCAAGAGATTCATGATCCATCTGCGTTCCGTAGTCAACGGCACAGCGCGTGGTATCCCATGTGCAAGTCACCTCTGCCCAGCCTAGACACGAGGTCGCCATCGCATGACAGAAGGAGATGAGGGGGAAGAAGAAGAGGTTTCGTAACAACCAGCACTTGAAATTTTCTCCATATCGAACTGACACGGGTACTCAGAGGTAAGACAAACGATTGGCACGAGTCGCGATCCAAGGTGCCAAGATCCACGATCCGCGTTCCACACGGCATCGAGATGAGGAGCACACGCGTATGCTTTTGGCTCAGCATGTTACGTTCAGGCTGAAACAGAGCTGACGGAAGGATCAGCCACTGAATATTTGAGCTTCTGGTTTCTGAAGTGGTCTGGCGAGGCTTGAGTAGTCGTGACAACGGCCTTCTACGACGAATGTTGATTCCTAGGTACCCAGTTTGCCTTGGTGAGCATGACCTCAATATCATGTCACCTGGTGGCGTTGCTGGTCCCGCCTTTCCGGGAGGGATACGGGAGATCCACTCGTTTCCAATGTCTTTTATCGTATATCGGCCGAAAGCTGAGGCAACCCGGCCATCACAGCGTTCCGGGGCCGACGATGTTCGGCGCTGTGGTCGTTGAGCGTCGGAAGATGCACGGGCTTAGATCGGGCGCCCGTATGGTGGCAGTCACACGCGGCGCGGCGCGGGGCTCCTTCCCTCCATGAACTGGCGGACCCCACCTTGAAGTCTGATTACCTAATGATTTACACTGAGTTGCTCCGGAACATCTTGTCCTTAACAACTCATCACATCTCAGGCCAGGGTCATGTTGTGATGTCATGTCATGGTACGGAGTACTTTATACCTCTTAAATCCATATAGGCTCCAATCCATGACTGGCACATACCTAGTAGTCTCTTCATGTTCTCGTTACCATGTAAATCAGAAGCTAAGCACCACAACTCGAGAATGGCGCTACTGACTCCCCACCACCTCGGGACCCCTCCACATCGGTAACGCGGCGCCCACACCAACAATCCAAAAAAAAAAAGAGCTCTGAATGGCCCGTCGCCGCAGTCGGCCACTTGATCGCTGCTACTTTACTTTGACACTCCCACACCATGGAAAGATATCCACTCTTTCACAGACCATCAGCTAATCCCGTCAGAGGATTGGGGATACAGTGGTGCACCCAAGATGGTGGTTACCCAATGCCAAACCACGCTCCTCCGGGTCTAGCCATGTCACTATCTGACCATCTAATTCGCCGAGTGTGAGAGGATTTTTTCGCTCTACGGATAATCAGTGACTTATTTCGCGCGCCAATCTCGCTTGTTACTCACGCCACGCGCTTTGTATCATCGTCACCTTTCGACTGCTCTCTCTCAACGTTGACAGAGATTGAATTTTCATCGCAACTTTGGCGCCGCAGTCTCATCATCTGCTCTTTACTGGATAAGATTTAATATCGACAATCGCCTTTAAGCTGCAACCATGGGCCAACCATCCTTCGCGGCGTCTAACGCCCTCATCTACGTCACTTATGGACTCTTCCTGTATGAACTTTGCGCAGCTCTTCCAATCTCAACTCCTTTATCGCTGCTGTTGCCCCTCACCATTAGAGAGTATACGAAACTGACTCTTTCCTAGCATCACCGGCACTGCAATTGCGTGGAAGTTCCGCAAGCAGTCCAAGGGAGAGTTCCTGTCTGGAAACAGAACTCAGACGGGTCAGGAACTCTTCCCTTTTGCATCATGAGAGTGAGAGAGTGTGTGTTTATTGGGGTCAGGCAAGGCTGAGCCTTTTAGTCTCTGACTCCGGCCGCCCATGCACTCTTATCGCCGATTTATATGAACCCTCTCTCCTCTCATTCAGATCCTCCAATGTGTAGCAAACTAACACACACTCCCCGCAGCCTTCCCCCTGGCCCTCAATTTCATCGCCTCTGGTGAGTGAGGAAGACGCAGGCGGTCTAGCCACTGCGCTTCTTAACCCGATAGCAAAAGCATCTTCTTCGAGAAAGAAGAGCGGCAGAACGGCACGGAAGAACAGCAAAGACCACGAGACTACTTTCCCACGAACCGCACGGCCAGCAGAAACGCAAGTCTACAACAGATGACACGAGATGATCGACTTCTCTGTCGCAACCCTCTCCGCGATCAGAGTACTTAGTCATAAGACGAATGATCACGGGCGATGAATCCAAACGAGACTGACAGGCAGGTTCGTAATCCAACAACAAAGATCAACAATTACTCCTCGACTTCCACTCCCCCACCCCCTTTTCATCTAATCTCATCTTCTGAACTGGGGGAGACAATGCTACTAACCTTCTGGCCACCAAGAGACACCCCTTGAACGTGGCTAGAAATACTGTGGAAAACCCTCCCCCTTTCTGAAGATGTCATCAGAGAAAAGGGGGTGGAGGAATGGGATCATCGGGGATGCGGCTCACTACGGGCGCGGATTTGAAGCAGTCGCCGCGCATCCACCCTTTTCTGTTTCTTCGCCTCTGAAAAGCCCTTTTGGAGGCCTTTCAAGACGACAAAACAGAAGAGGAGATGCCACGACTTGTGGAAATGAAGCTGAGATTGCACCGTAATTACTCGATCAAGTTAATGCTTGCGTGGGAAACGTGCTGCCGCTCCGAACATCTCTCCCCCTCCCCTCCCTTCCCCTTTCTGCCTTGCGCCGACCTCGTGAAATACTAACAACCCCCCCTCAAGCCCTCGGCTCCGGCATCCTCTTCTCCTACCCGGAGCTCGCCACAATCACCGGCGTCCAGGGCGTCCTCGTCTACGCCCTCTCGTCCTCGCTCCCGCTCCTCATCTTCGCCGTCCTCGGCCCCATCATCCGCCGCAAGACTCCTGAGGGTTTCGTCCTCACGGCTTGGACGAGGCAGCGCTACGGCACCGTCGCCATGCTCTATCTCAGCTTCATGACCCTCGTCACGCTGTTTCTGTACATGGTCGCCGAGCTGTCCGCCATCGGGCAGGTCGTCAACGCCCTGACGAGTCTGGATGGCTTGCCTGTCATGATTGTGCAGTGCGTTATTACTACCATCTACACCTGTAAGTTTCCCGTACTCAGACAGAGAATATCTGATAGAAACGAGACTCACACCCTCACAGCCCTCGGCGGTTTCCGCATCTCCTTTGTGACGGACAACATCCAAGGCGCAATGGTAATCTGCCTCATCATCATCGTCGCAATCACAATGGGCGTCAAAACCGACATTGACACCTCCCTCATCGAAACCTCGGGCCTCCTCAAACCCACCCTCCTAGGCTGGCAACTCCTCTACATCCTCCCCATTTGCATCCTCACAAACGACTTCTTCCTCTCCGGCTTCTGGCTCCGCACCTTTGCCTCCAAAACAGACAAGGACCTCCGCGTAGGCGTCTCCATTGCCGTCGTCGTCATCCTCTGCATCCTGACCATGGTCGGCGTAACAGGCCTCGTCGCAGCCTGGTCCGGCGCCCTCCCGCTAGACCAAATCGCAGACAGCGGCTCCATCGCCTTCTTCCTCCTCCTCCAGCAGCTCCCCGCCTGGGTCGTCGGCATCGTCCTCGTCATGGTCTGCACCCTCTCCACCGCGGCCTTTGACAGTCTGCAATCCGCAATGGTCTCCTCCGCCTCCAACGACCTCTTCCGCAACCGCCTCAACATCTGGTGGATCCGCGCCGGCGTCGTCCTCATCATCTTCCCCACCGTCGTCATCGCCCTCAAGGCCCCCTCGGTCCTGCAGATCTACCTCATCTCAGACCTTGTCTCCGCCTCTGTCATCCCCGTCCTCGTGTTTGGCCTCGTCGACCGCTTCTACTGGTGGCGCGGCTTCGAGGTCGTCGCCGGCGGGCTGGGCGGCATCCTCACCGTTTTCCTGTTCGGACTCGTCTTCTACGACGGCGACGCGCAAAAGGCGGGCAACCTGCTCATCATCTCCGAGGGCCTGTACGCCAACGACTGGAGCGTGTTTGGCGCCTTTGTCGCTGCGCCCGTGGGTAGTTTCCTCTGGGGTTTCGGCGCGTTGGGGTGCCGGCTGGCGTTCCAGTACGTTTTGGCCAAGAAAAGCGGTCGTCGCTTCGACGCTCTTGATCGGCCTATCGGGCCTGGGTTCACGCCCGAGGCTGACGGTACTCCTCGCTACGTTGAGAGGGATGAGTATGAGGCCAACTCTGAGGTTGAGGTCATCAAGCCCGCTGGCAAGTTCTTTTAAGATACACCGCG